AAAAAAAAAAAAAAAAAAAAAAAAAAAAAAAAAAAAAAAAAAAAAAAAAAAAAAAAAGAAAAGAAAAAACTCCACAAATAAATAAAATAAAGTAAGACAAAAGTTGGTGGTTCATGCCTTTAATCCCAGTATTTGGGAGGCAGAGGCAGGCGGATCTCTGTGAGGTTAAGGTCAGTTTATTAGTGGGTTTTGAGACAGCCAGGGATATATAGAGACCTCTTCTCAAGGAAAAAAAGACACATTTATGAAAATACTTATACCCACCTAGGAAAGGAAGCTGAGGTTTACAGATTTCCAGGAGTAGGAGTGCATGCTCCCTCAAGGAAGCTCACAGGTTTTAGAGCACTGGATACATGGTGCAGGGGCTAGGGCTGGAGGACCAGCCAGAGCAAGCTGAATGCAGCATCAAGATACCAACCAGTAAGTGAAATTTTAGAAGCAACTTGCCTTTTTGTCTTCCAGGATTTGACTGTGAGAGGAACACATCTCCTAGGTCTTCTTTTTTCCTTTGCTGCTTACGTCTGAGAGCTCAGATCTCAGTAACTTCTCTGTCACCTGTCTTTGCTATGAGTGCTCCCTTGACCCTCCCACCTCTCCACTGAGGCTATCCCTCCCCAGCACACTCTTCCTCCTCACCTGGATGTTTCTCTTGATGATGTCTCTGACCAGCTGAACCTTGCCCGTGCTGGGGTCCACACCCGCCAGTGGTACCATGACCTCCCCAATGACATCATCCCGAGAGAAGCGATCAAAGCTGAGCACGAGGAAGTGTAGCACCAGATCCTGTAGCTGGCTATATGGGATGCCGTAGAAGGTGAAGGTCTCATCAAATACAGGGTCCAGAGTCTTGCGAAGCACACGGGTCTTCACTCGATGCCGCTTGTCAGGAAGAATGGTCATCTTGATGTAGGGATCAGAGCCCTGTGTCTGGTCATCCATCACTGGCAGCCCATGGGCCTCTTGGATTGTTACCACCAGAGCTTTTTTGGGAAAGTTATAGTCCACCGAGAAGGTAAGGGATCCCAGCATCACGTCTTCCTCTGGTGATGACGGGGAGGTGACTTTGCTCTCACCAGGGGTCAGGCTTGTCATGGGGCTCCTCAGTTCTTCCCCGCAGTCTACTTTGATGGGTAACTGGTCTATACAAGATGCAGAGCTAGGCCTCCTGGGGTCCTTTTCTTGGCCCAGCAGGCCAGACTCTGCCGCATTTACTAACAGGTTCCCTCGTCCACTCTCCCTCCGGGGATCATCTTTGTCTCTCCGAACTTTGATGATTTTCTTCTTGTTGCTGAGGGTCTCTGGGTAAATGCTAATGCCTTTCAGCATGTGAATAAATTTGTATGGAGGGGTCTTGTGCTTCTTCTCCACCTGCTGGTGGCAGCATGTCCACACAAAGACAGTCACGGAAACACACACCACCAGCACAGAGGCCCCAATGAGGCCAGCCGCCACTGGTGACACATCTGAAGGAAGAGAGTAGAGGTGTGTTAGAACAAGACTTCTGCTTTTGTCAAGAGAGTGCCCCTTGTGGGGCTGAACTATCCTCAATCCAGTCTCCACAGTGGGAGCTTTTCCGGCTCACTGCCCAGGAGGTGACCCGTATTCTTGCCTTCCTGCTAAAGTCAGGGAACACATTTGCTTAGCTGCTGTTGCTGCTCTTGTTTGAGACAGGGTTTCTCTGTGTAAGCCTGGCAGTCCTGGAACTAGCTCTTGTAGACCAGGCTGGCCTCGATCTCACAGAGATCCGCCTGCCTCTGCCTCCCAAGTGCTAGGATTAAAGGTGTGCGCCCACCACTGTCTGGCTGATTATTCTTTTTTATTAAAACTTTATAGCACTTGCAGAGTTAATTGGTCAGTTTTATTTGTGCTTCCCAGAAAGCTGTGCCCTGAGTGTTTGAAGGTTGCCTTTTGTGTAGGAATTTGTTACCCAGGGCGTGAGCTGTGTGTTTGGGTTTTAGGAGACTGATCCGGTACACCCAATACAGACAGTCAACAATGGCACCGTCTTGCTAACTGATTGAGAGCTGTGTGGGAAAGGGTATGGTACTGAGTTTCGTTGGTCTTGGGAGGGTGAGCAGGAGTGGTCAGAGTGGGTGCAAAGCTAAAAGAGTATTGAGCCGAGTTGGAGAGATGGCTCAGTGATTAAGAACACTCACTGCTCTTCCAAAGGTCCTGAGTTCAATTCCCAGCACCCACACATGGCAGCTTACAACTGTCTGATACCTTCTTCTGAGGTGCAGATATACATGCAGTCAAAGTACCAATATACATAAAATACATGAATAAATAAAATAATAAAAAAGAGTATTGAGTCATGATGAGCGACTCATGCCAGCAAACAGGAGTCTGAGGCTAGGAGGCTATTGCAAGTTGAGAGCTAGCCTGGCTCTAATGTCTCATGTAGCAAGCTTCAGTCTAGAGTACCCCAAAAGTCTACCTTAGCCGGGTGGTGGTGGCGCACGCCTTTAATCCCAGCACTCGGGAGGCAGAGGCAGGTGGATCTCTGTGAGTTTGAGCCCAGCCTGGGCTATAAGAGCTAGTTCCAGGACAAGCTCCAAAGTTACAGAGAAACCCTGTCTCGAAAAAACAAAAACAAAAACAACAAAAAAAAACCTCTACCTTAAAAAAGAATGCTGGTGGGATAACTCAGTAGGTAAAGGTGCCACCAGAGGTCCAGCGCCTGGATTCATCCTCGAAATCACACGGTGGAAGACAGCTGCCTCCCTCTGCAAGCCCTCTGACCTATATACACTTAGCATGTGTGTCCCACACAACAGAATAAAGAAATAAATGTCGAAAACAGAAGAAAGAAAGAGGGAAAGAAAAGAGCTCTAGGTCTGCAGACCGTATACTTCGTAAGTTGTTACCAAGTCTCTGGTCCTAGGTCCCTAAAATGTGTGTCTGTTATATGTCTCATTTATTTTCTTAGCATTTCAAATAGGAAGAAAATGTCAAATGCATTTTCTTTCCTTTTCCTTTCCTCCTTCCTTCCTTTCTTGCTCGCTCCTCCCTCCCTCCCTCCCTTCCTTCCTTCCTTCCTTCCTTCCTTCCTTCCTTCTTTTTCTCGTCTTCGGAGATAGGCTCTCACTGTGTAGTCCTGACCATCCCAGCATTTGCTTTGTACTCCAGGCTGCCCCTGAACTCAGAAATATGGCTGCCACTCCTGAGAGCTGGAATTAAAGGAATAAAGGAATTTGATACCACATCCAGCTCAAATATAATTTTCTCTTAAAACCTTTCTTGCCATGTAGCCAATCCAGAGCGCCCAGCACTTGAGCCAATCCACAGGGAAGTGTTTCCCTAGCACTGACAACCTTGGGTCAGACTGTGGTGGTGTGTGCCTTAATCCCAGAACTCTGGGAGCAGAAGCAGGTAGATGTCTGTGAGTTCAAGGCCAGCCTGGTCTACGGGGCGAGTTCCTAGCCTTCCTAGCCTTTAATCACAGCAGATTAACTGGGAGGCAGAGGAGGGGAATCTTTGTGAGTTTTAGGCTAGCCTTCTCCAAAGAGAGTCCCAGGACATCTAAAGCTACATAGAGAAAACAAAAACAAAAACAAAAACAAACAAACAAAAAAAAAAACCCTAAAAAACAAAACAAGGGGTTGGGGATTTAGCTCAGTGGTAGAGCCCTGGGTTCGGTCCTCAGCTTCAGAAAAATAAATAAATAAATAAATAAATAACAAAACAAGCATAAAACAAACATGAAAAAACTTAAATAAATAAAAAACCGCAATCTTTTCCACCCTCTATACTCTTAATAGCCCAGTCTGTCTTCATGGACCTTACCACTGTCTGTTCTCCCACACCCTGCGCGTGTGGAAGAGCACACAGAGCAGGCACGATGGTGCATGACTTTAATCCCAGACACTGGGAGGCGGAGGCCAAAGGATGTGTGTGAGTTTGAAGCTAGCTGGGTCTACACAGTGAGTTAGGACAGCCAGCGCTTCACAGAAAGAACTGATCACAATCCTGCAACCCCCTCCCACAAAAGAGACTTCCAACTACTTTTTAAAAACCGATTTAAGCCAGGTGGCGGTGGCTGCGCACGCCTTTAATCCCAGTACTTGGGAGGAGGTGGCAGGCAGATCTCAAGGCCAGCCTGGTCAATAAGAGCTATTTCCAGGACAGGCCCCAAAACTAAAGAGACACCCTGCCTCAACATAAATAAATAAATAAATGGATAAACAAATAAATAAATGGATAAACAAATAAATAAATAAAATAGATGAAATAAAAACCAATTTAAGCCCAAGCCCACATGAATAAGGAAAAAAGGTAGAGAAGTTTAAAAATACCCAGGTAACCACAGAAAAGCCAAATCCCGTGGAACTGGCGTTGTGAGCTGCCTTGTGGGTGCTGGGAGTTGAATGAGGGTCTTCTGAAAGAACAACCATTGCTCCTAACTGCTGAGCCATCTCTCCAGCTCCCTTTCTTTCTTTTCTTTTTCTGAAAACAGGGACTCACCCTGTTCTCTGACTGCCCTTGAAGTTGTTGTGTAGACCAGGTTAGCCTTGAATTCAGAAGGATCTGCCTGCCTCTGAAAGTTGGGAACCAATAAGAAACAAAGAGTTTTCATGTTCAGTAACATCGGTGGGGGCTGCAGATGGCTCAGCAGCTAATAGCACGGGCTGTCCTATTCCAGAGGACCCAATTCAATTCTGAGCACCCATTCATCCTGTGGGCTACTCCTTCAGTCTCAGACCTGATCACTGGCACTTCTCTCCCCAAGCAAAGCCTTTCACTGTCACTAAGACCCGTGTCATACAGCAGAATCAGAACGAACTATAGCAGCAGCCAGACACTGCTTCAAACCCTGACTCCTTCGTTCATTTGGACTTTATTCTAAGCTTCATTCTCCTGCTCTGGTGAGTGCACATAATGATACCTACACTGGAAGATACACCAAGACTAAGGAAAATACAGTATATAAAAAAGCACAGGGGTGGGCTCTGTTTCATCTCCTTTCAGAGGACTCTGGAGTTGAACTTAGAGAAAGGACTCTGCTGGAAAGAGGGTGTAAGAAGAAAAAGAGTAGAAAAAAATCCTAGGATTCTCATGTGATCACAAAACAGGTTTCAGTTTGGAAATCTCAGGACTCAGGAAGCAGACAGAGGGCAGAGCAGAACTGCAGTCCAGCCTTGGGGTCAAATGGGAGCCAGCACTGAGGGTGTGAAGACCCCTTGTGTGGATTCTCTGACCTGATGTCTCACTATGTTGAGAGAATACAGAACATTGGGTTCTGTTCTAGTCCTTAAAACTCTTATTTGCGAGAAAAGCCATTTTTTTTCTTTTTATTAAAGCTGGCTCCCTAAATTCTGGAACCTAATGCTCCCCCGGATTGTCTGAGGGATATACTCTCTCTTGATTGGGGGTAGGGGTGGGAGGAATATACTCTCTTAAGGAATGCGAAGGTTCTAGACTTGGAGCTACTCTCACTTGACAACTGCAATCACAGGGCACTTTTATTTTACTTATTCATGTGGTCAGGGAGCACGGCATGAGAAGTTCGCTCTCCTCAATCATTCTGGAGAAGTTGCCCAAAAGGAAACAACTTGGCCAAGACTCTCTTGCCTTCTTTCCCTACTCTTTTCCACTGCACTTTCTGCCCTAGGGAGAGTACAAAACTGTTGTTGGAGCCCAGAGGGCTAGGTCGCAGACTAGCGCTTGGAGAGATGACGTAATGCTTTCTGTGGTACACAAAGCGGCCTCCCCCAGGCTGGGCCTCTCTCGCCCCTCCCCCCAACCAGGAGTGCCGCCCCCGCCAGCACCAGCACGGGTGAGTCCCGCTTTTTGAAAAGCCAGATCAGGGAAACAGGGAACAAAGGCCCAGGAAGAAGCGCCTAGGCACTGCCAGGAGGCTCAGAAATAGACATCACGTCATCTCTCCACCCGGCGGCGCCAAGCGCCATTTGGTAACACCGGGAAGGACCTCACCATTACGGTGCAGAACGAAGCTTACAGGGCTAGCATTTTACCCCAGCCTTAGCAACCCTCTGACCAGCTTAAGGAGTGGCTTCCTTTCTACTCCCTACCCCCGCACCCTGCTTTCCCCGGGGGCCTCCGCCTCCCTTGGCTGCCAGCCACGCAGCCCATAGTCTCCGTGCTGCCATCTTGACGCCCCATCCCCCTAGCCACTTCCCTCTCCTGCAGCCCTCAGAAGTAGGAGGGGGAGGAAGGGGCACCGCCCTGCGTGCCCCCAGGGGGAGGGCTCGGCCTACCACCCCACCTCTCCTCCTCCAGAAGGAGGGGTTCACATCCTCCGCATGCCAGCCATGTCTCACCCCAGGCGGTGCTGACAGTGCACCGTGGAGGGCTTACGGTCAAGGTTTTAGCATCCTGGACTCGCCTACCCTCGGTGGCACTCTGGCCTTGCCCGCCCCTGCAGCCCGCAGATGAAATCCAGGCGCTGTGGCCCAATTCTAGCAGGGCTGGCAATGAAAGGATCCCATCTGCACTCCACTCCCCGCCCATTCCTCAGCTATCTGGCTATGCGCCGGCCTGATGGCTTCAAAATTAGTTTGTCAGACCCTACTTACCAAAGCTGGGGCGGATATTTGTGATCTCAGCCATGTTGTGATCAGAGGCTGTTGATAGCAACACTTTTGCAGAGGTCAGACAACTTTGGGAATCTGGTTCAGTACCGAGGCTGCGGCTGTGGACCAGGGGAGGGGAAGATGTCTGGCCGACTGCCCCTGCGACAGTCCGATCCCCGGTTGCTGGCTGCGCTTTCCTCTTAGATGCTCCAGGGATGCTCTGAGCTAAGGATGCAGGTGCAGCCAGACTGGTCCTGATGCGAGATAGGCTCCGCCTCTCTCCGAAGGGCCCTCGGCAGAAGACTCCGCCTCTGCCCGAAAGGTTCCGGAGGAGACTCTTCGAGAGGAGACCCCTCCCACTGCCGAGTTTTCCCGAGATCGAGGCTCCGCCCATTCACACAGGCTGTGGGCGATGGGGAAGAATTTCAAAGCCCAGTAGGAAGTGTGGGTGTTGTGTTAGTTCAGTGGCAGATTCCTGTGCTGTGGCACTCGAGTGGGCGAGGCAAGAGAGTCAAGGACAGCCTTGGCTAGGTCTCCACGCACTGAAGAGAGGAAGATAGTCGCTTTAGCGTCTTCTGAAGCTGTGCTTCTAGTTCCTGGGTTTATACAGAAGGAAGCTGAACCTTCTGTGTTCCAGAAGTTGTGAAAAGCAAATTACATGCAGTTTCAGCATTGACTGCCTCTGTTCTAGTGCATTCATGGGACAGTGAATGCAATTACGGAAACTTAAGCTTGAGAAATCGATTAAAAATCAAACCTGCCCAGGGGCAGGACGATCATGATCATAAATTTCAGGGTAATTGGGGGTGAGTGTGGGGGTATCGGAAGACCTTGTGTCAAAAAAGTCAAACAATAACAAAAGACCTAAAATGGACTGGGAGATCAAATCACCTAAGATAACGTGAGAACATTTTTCATAGTGACAAGAGGCAGGCTGATCTCCACGAGTACGAAGCTAGCCTGGTCTACAATGCCAGTTCCAGGACAGCCACGGTGGTTGTACCAACAAACCCTGTCTCGAGAAACTAAAGAAAGAATATAATGTAGGTAGGACTAACTGCCATATCTTGAGTTCAAGGCTGCCTTTGGTTTATGGTATCTTTCTGAATTGTAGGAATTCTTTTTACATCCTATGTTCCGTGTATTTTTTTGGAAGGGTGATTAGTTGTCAACTTAAACCATGGATTTCCCACCCCCATTTTTGTGTTGGACAATTAATTAAAGATAGAGAAAACTGGGACTTGCCCTTCTTTCATCCCTTTCTTCTTTTCTCTTCCTTTTTCCTTTTTCTTCTTTCTCTCTCCCTCTCTCTCTCTCTTTTGAGATAGGAATTTCTCTGTGTAGCCCTGGCTGTCCTGGAACTCACCGTGTAAACCAGGATTGCATCGAACTGAGAGATGTGCCTGCCTCTACCTCCTGAGTGCTGGGATTAAAGGTATGCGCCACTAAGCCCAGCAGGGAAGTGCCTTTCATGCTTTTATTTAGACAAGACAGAGAAGTTTGTGCTGAGAATAGCTTTGAACTCTTGATCTTCCTGCCTCCACGTTCCGAGTGTTGCCGTTACAGGTGTGCACCACCAAACTGGGCTTCTTTAGCGTTGGCATTCAAACTCAACAGTTTCCAGCAGGCAAGGCAAGCACTCTACCAAACTACATCTTTTATTTCCTTCCTTCCTTCCTTCCTTCCTTCCTTCCTTCCTTCCTTCCTTCCTTCCTTCCTTCCTTCCTTCCTTCCTTCCTTCCTTCCTTCCTTCTTCCCTCCCTCCCTCCCTCCTTCCTTTCTTCCTCCCTCCCTCCTTCCTTTCTTCCTCCCTCCCTCCTTCCTTTCTTCCTACCTACGTACCTGCCTGCCTGGCTGCCTGCCGGCCTGCCTGTTCCCTGCGTGCGTGCCTGCCTGCCTACTTACCATTGTCTATTTCACATTCACCTATCATGTGTTCTGTTACTTTTTCCCTCAACTGACGTCTTAGCCCTGCGGCTTCACGAGGCCCTAAAACAAGATGGCGCCTATAATTGTGCGCATGCCCCTTGACGCCCAGTTTCCGCGCCTCGGGGGCGCGCACGTAAGGCAGCGCCGTTGCCTTACTTCCGCTGGTGCAGAAGCAGAGTTTCCGCGGGATCGGGCCGGCGTCTGAGGGTACTGGGTAGTGTGTGGTGGGGCGGGAAGAGGCAGGTTGACGTGGGACTCCGGGGCGGCTGCCCGGGTTGAGGTGCGCGGCGCTGCAGGGAATTGGGTAGCAGCGGTGTGAGCGGTGGTGCGGAGTCGGGCTAGTGCTGAGCGCCGAGGAGACAGCAGCCAGGACTCCCTCTGTAATGTTTCTCCTGGACGGTTCCCACACCCCTGGGGGGCGGCTCCCGGATTAGCGTTCCTTCTTCAATCTGTTGGTTTTCCTCCTGGCCTCCAAGGAGCGGACTCTTGGAGCTGCCTTTGTTAGAAGCGCTTGCTTGGTTCGATCCCCGCACAGTTCTGACCGAATAGCGCAACAGCGCCCGGCTGCTCCCTTCTCCCCGCTTCCTTTCTGCTCTCCCTCCCCTGAAGCTCACGCAGTCATCTGTGAAGTAAAGGAATCGCCTCGGTGATTTCCACTCCTCTCCTTACTCGTTTACCGCCCTCCGTGACAGGATCAAAGAATCTTGTCTTACTTGAGATTTATCGAGCTAAGAACCAAGGCTTTTATGGTGGTGGCCTCCTTTAATGCCCTAGAGAAGGTGAACTTCGGAGGCTTAAGGTTAGCTTTTCAGATCAAACTCGGAGTCAGCGCGAACATTGATTGTAAGCGTGCCGGGCTCCTCTACCACTGTTGAGTGGTCTTTCAGTCTTGAAGGTTGCCAGTGTCGCTTATTCTGTTTTTGGACCTACTTATGAAAGTGAGTGTTCTCTGCGTAGAAGGGTGCAACCAGAGACCGGGCATGTACTCAGGTGGTAGAGTGCTCGCCTGGCCTACAGAAAGCTCTGGATGCACACTCGAATGTTGTCAGTGTTGTCAGCAGGGTCACAAGTTCAAGGTCTTGGGATAGATCGCTTTTGGAAGTCACCATCCAGTACCTGTGTAAACGCTCGATGCTTGGTCGGATTTTCAGCACAGCATTGTTGAAGCCCACTCTCATTCATTCATCTCTGCAGGGAATGGTCGCTGAGTGACTACTATAGTACCCGCATATTGCTGGATACTGGAGACACCAGTTAACCTTTCCTCACTGAGTTCATAGTTCTCGTGGAGGAACATAGAGATATTGCAGAAGTGCTATGTGATACTGTAAGATTTACTTTTTATTTTTATTTTATTTTATTTTATTTTTTTTGGTTTTTCGAGACAGGGTTTCTCTGTGGCTTTGGAGCCTGTCCTGGAATGAGCTCTGTAGACCAGGCTGGTCTCGAACTCACAGAGATCCACCTGCCTCTGCCTCCCCCTCCCGAGTGCTGGGATTAAAGGCGTGCGCCACCAACGCTCGGCTTACTTTTTATTTTTGTGGGTTTTTTGTTTGTTTTTTTGTTTGTTTTCGTTTTTGAGACAGATTTTCTCTGTAGCTTTGGAGCCTGTTCTGGAACTAGCTCTTGTAGACCAGGCTGTCCTCAAACTCACAGAGATCCAGATCCGCCTGCCTCTGCCTCCTGAGTGCTGGGATTAAAGGCATCACCGCCTGGCTTTCTTTTTATTTTTGGATTACACGTCTGTCTGTGGATATTTAATGCTAGTGCAGGTGACCAGTTCCAGGCTGGCCCAGAACTTAGTGGTGGACCCGGCTGGCTTTGAACTCATAGAGATCCACCTCCCTCTCTTCCTAGGCTGGGGATAGAGGCCTGCACCATCATACAGGCCTGAGGTATAGAATTTAAGAGATTGAGGTAACACTGTTCCATAATAGTGTTCCACTAATAGTATTCCATACTATTTGGGAGGGAGCTCGAGCTGCGCTCCTGTCATCAGTTTCTCCTCCTCCCTAAAACTCCTAGGCATTTGATGTGAATGTTGATGACTGAACCTGGGGATCGTGGAATGATAACTGAGCAGATGTCATTACTGTTAGTCCTGCTGAGGTGACAAGGACTTGCCTTGTATCTTTTCAGGATGGACCAGAAGTGGGGCTTCTAAAATGGTGCCATGTAAAAGGAGAAGAGCTGCAGTCACAGAGTCTGTGCAGCAGCCTGACGACTTAGACCTGGAGTCAGCTGCGAAGTCCTCACCCGGCCGGCTTAAAGACTTGGGGTCAGAGTCACCGTCCTGGGGTCAGTGTCAGGAGAGTTTAGGGTACCCCGAGGTGCATTCCGTGCATGATAGAGAAAGTCAGCTCAGCATGGAGGCTCCGTCTCTCAGCTCTAAGACGCTCGCCCAGCGTGGAAACTTACCGGTTCTGGAAGACGTTGATGTCACCATCTCTCAGGAAATCACCCTTCCTTCTGTGGAGTCTTCTCATTCCCTTACTGTACACCTCGATAAAGGGAGACTCCAGGCCACGGCCTCAAGGAAAGCAAAGAAAATTGTCTTCCAGCCTGGGCAGGTTACCAGAGAAGACCGAGGAGATCATCCTGTCATTGAGGAGCCTCCTTTATTAGAAGGAGAGCCTGGGGGAGAAGTCAAGGCAGAAGGAGGTAAGGGTGAGAGGTCTAGGTTGCTTTTTCCTTGCCCGTTTAGATTGAGTCTCTCTGAAGTTCTAAATTCCAAAATGCTCCACCCTTTACTCTTGGAGTACAACCATGATGCTTTAAGTGGAAAATCCCACACCTGACCTCACGTGAGGGGCTGTGTCAGAATGCTGGCCTTCTTCAAATATTGTGTAAGACTGTCTTCAGATGACAGAAAGGCTGTGTATGAGAAATAAATGAGTGGTATGTTTAAGCTTGGGTCCCATCTCTAGGATATCTCATGAATGTACGTCTTCGTATTGGACCCAGGCTTTTCAGATAAGGGACAGATATGTAACCTGTGCCACTTCGTTGTTTTCTTTTCCTTTTCTCTACACAGCCCTGGCTGTCCTGGAACTCGCTATGGAGACCAGGCTGGGCCCTATCTCAGAGAGACCCGCCTGCCTCTGCCTCCCAGTTGCTGGGGTTAAAGGTGTGCACCGCCACCCCTGGGTTGTCTCTGCTCTCTGTGGCACCTTTACAGAGAGATGTTCGTGGAGGGGATTGCTGTGGTGTGGTCTTCCCACTAGGGCTGTTCGGGTCATTTAGCATGAGTAGTGCCCTTTTGGACTGGGTCAAGATGGTCTTTTCCTCTCCAATTCTCTGTTTTCTCTTCTAGCTACCCCCTCCCCATTTAAAAATTTGATGTTATGTTTGTTTCTCTTGAATGGGTATATATGTACCATGATGTGCATGCCTGGTGACTGTGGAGGCCAGAGGAGGCTACCAGAGCCTTTGGAACTGACATTAGGGATGGTGTGAGCTGCCAAGTGCGTGCTGAGCATCAAACCTGGGTTCTCTGCAAGAGGTACAAGTGGTCTTTATTTCTGAGCCATCTGTCCCCCCACTTTTAATGATTTATTTATTAATGTGTATACAGCCTCTGCCTGCATGTGTCCTTGCGGGCCAGAAGAGGGCACCAGATCTCATTATAGAATGTTGTGAGCCACCATGTGGTTGGTGGGCTTTGAACTCAGGGCCTTTGGAAGAGCAGCCAGTGCTCTTAACCTCTGAGCCATCTGTCAGCCCTCACTCCCCTTTTCTCTGAAGCTTTATTCTGCATATCTGGTGAGATGAGATGTGACTACTCTGCTAATTGTGGAGGATGCAGCGGCTTAAAGGAAGGTCGTGTTTTGAACATTGAGACAGGCTCTCCAGAGATGGAGAACCCTCTGAACTGAGGGGCCTGAAGGTTGTGGTCTGGCAGAGTGCTGGCGTGGACACGGGGCTAGGTAAAGTTTAGATACACAAACAGAGAAGGATGGCGACACAGCATCTTGGAAGAATTAGGAAAAGGTCACTCCATGTGGCAGGTTAGGTTTTAGTTGTAAAGAGCATTAATTTTCATACTGGGCCTTTGTATTATTTCCAGTATGTAGCCCTTGTAATAAATAGGTAAGGAAAGTTAACACCATCTCTTACTTTGTTTGCAGTGTCTGAGATTGGTCTAAGGGTCTAACTGAGTCACATCCCTGGCCTCCTGTTAATTTCTGTTTTGATAAAATTTCTTTTGCATTTTAGAGAGATCTTGTGGTACTTAATTTGAGTGTGTGTGTGTGTGTGTATTTGTTTTGTTTTTGTTTTGATATATTTGTGTGTGTATATGCATGTTTTGATATATATAGGTTTGTTTTTGTTTATGTTTTTCATGACAGGGTTTCTCTGTAGCTTTCAAGCCTGTCTTGGAATTAGCTCTTGTAGACCAGGCTGGTCTTGAACTCATAGAGATCCACCTGCCTCTTCCTCCTGAGTGCTGGGATTAAAGGCGTGCGCCACCACTGCACAGCCCTCCTCATTTTTTTTTTAATATTTATTTATTATGTATACAATATTCTGTCTGTGTGTATGCCTGAAGGCCAGAAGAGGGCACCAGACCCCATTACAAATGGTTGTGAGCCACCATGTGGTTGCTGGGAATTGAACTCAGGATCTTTGGAAGAGCAGGCAATGCTTTTAACCTCTGAGCCATCATCTCTCCAGCACCCCTCAGTTTTTATTAATCATGCTGTAGAGATAAGTTTTTCCCTCTGTATCTCAGGGTGGTCTGGAATTCACTGTTCAGTCTTGTCTGTCCTTCAACGAATACCTTCTGCCTCTACCTTCTGAGTTCTAAGACTATGGTAACTCCATGTTGTGCTAGTGTTGGCCTTCAGTCCCAGAGTGCAAAGAGGCCGATGGAGCAACAGAAAGCTTTGAATGCTGCAGTGAGCAGAAAGAGAGACTGCCCTCCTTGAGGCAAGTTTCTGTGAATCAGCCAAATGGTTTTTTTTTAAGTTTTATTTATTTTACATGCAGTGTTCTTTCAGTATGTATAGTTACAGGCCAGAACAGTACACCAGATCTCATTATAGATGGTTATGAGATAGCATGTGGTTTCTGGGATTGAACTCATCACCTTATGAAGAGCAGCCAGTGCTTTAAACCGCTGTGCCATCTTCCCAGCCCTTAATCAGCTCCATTTCCTTCCAGATTATAAAGAATACATAGGACTGGGTTGCCTCAGAGCAAACCTTTATTTGCATTAACGGCACACTCCTGTCACAAGCCTTTGTACACGGCAGTCAGTTCTTACAGCAGAGCTCCTAGCACAAGGCTTCTTAGCAGGGATCTGTGTCAACGGTCAAGCTAAAGATGAATCAGCCATCTGGACTAGAGACAGCTTTTAGATAAGGTCAGTCCTCCAGTCCCAGTGACACTATCCAGAGAAGGGCAGGTAGAGAGGCAGGAAGTTCTGCTGGAGTGTGGGAGCTCCCTGTTGCTGCTGGATTGAGATAATCTGCTAGGCCAGTGGAGCCTGCCACCTCTACCAGCCAGCTACAATCCCCCAACATGCTATCATGCTTGATGGGGTGAATTTTATTTATTTTTAGTTTTCAGTAATTTCTGAAATACACACACTTAAGGTTTTGATTACCATATGTGAATTTGAAACCAGATTATAGAGTGAGGCACTTTAAGAAGCCCCGGGGAATATGTGACATACAGGAGAATAGTAGGGGATCTTCACATTTTCATGACCCTGGATTTGATCCTCAGCGGGGCGTGTGTTGTATAACTGAGATCACTCATAATAACAACTTTTTTTTTTTTTTTTTTTTTTTTTTTTTGAGACAGGGTTTCTTTGTGGCTATGGAACCTGTCCTGGAACTAGCTCTGTAGACCAGGCTGGCCTCGAACTCACAGAGATCCACCTGCCTCTGCCTCTCGAGTGCTGGGATTAAAGGCATGCGCCACCACCTCCAGCAATAACAAGTATTTAAAATTATATTGTAGGGGACTGGAGAGATGGCTCAGAGGTTAAGAGCACTGACTGCTCTGCCTGAGGTCCTGAGTTCAATTCCCAGCAACCACATGGTGGCTCACAACCATCTATAATGAGATCTGGTGCCCTCTTCTGGGGTGCAGGTATGCATGTAGGCAGAACACTGTATACATAATAAATAAATTAAAAAAATTATATTGTATACCATTTTTGTTTTATCTCTTCTTTTAAATTGTTTTTATTTATTCTGCCATATGCCACCTAGTTATAAGGTAAAATTTCTCTGTTAATCATATGAGTAGTCAAGGAGAAATTTCGTGAGTAGAAGTCAGGGTTTGAACTCAGGTGAGGTTCAGCAACAGGATGCTGTTGTAGTATTCATCCAGCCCTACTCAGTTTCCAGCAGCCTGTTTCTTTGCAGTGCTGAGGATCCTGCTTAGGGCCTTCTGTGTTCTGGGAATGCTCTGACTTGAGCTACAACCCCAGCTCTGCCTTGTTCCAGTCTTTGAGCTCTTTCAGCGGCTGGCTTTCTAGGCTTTGGTTTTACTTAAATGTGCAGCCTGGAGATACATCTCTACCTACAGTTCTGTCTCTTTCTGTACATACATCTCTACAGTTTGGTATCTTTCCCCAGTTACATCTGTTTTCTACAGAGCCACAGTTACATTTATTTTCACAGTTACGTTCTCCATACAGCTATGCAACTTCGCACTTTTTTTTTTTTTTTTTTTTTTTTTTTTTTTTTTGAGACAGAGTTTCTCTGTAGCTTTGAATCTTGTCCTGGAACTAGCTCTTATAGACCCGGTTGGCCTCTAACTCACAGAGATCCACCTGCCTCTGCCTCCTGAGTGCTGGGATTAAAGGCTTGTTCCACCACCACCTGGCTCACACTTCTTTACAGTCACATCTCTCTAATCTCTCTCATCTCTCCACTCCTCCACTCCTCCCTCGCACTTCTCCTTGTACATTCAGCTGAATCTTCCTACCAACACACACGCACACACACACCCCTCTTTCATAATGTCTTTACATCTTTCCTGCTGCTTCTCACAGCCAAAACCTCTGGACAAACATAAAGCACATTCTGAGAGTCACAGTAATGCAGTAATGCTTGAGTGAACGGTAAGAAACAGGATTAGGTGGTGGTAGCGCACACCTTTAATCTCAGCATTTGGTCGGCAGAGAAAGGTGGATCTCTGTGAGTTCAAGGCCATTGTGGGCTTCAGAACAAGTACCAGGACTGACTCCAAAGCTACACAGAGAAGTAGTGTGTCAAAAAAAACTAAAAAAAAAAAAAAAAAAAAAAAGCAGAACCTGTAAAAAAAAAACAAAGTAGTTCACAGTGACTGACCAGTGAGTATGGCTTGGCTAAAAAAAATGCACGTAGCAAAAAAAAAAAAGGATTCCCAGACAGAAAGTGACATTGAAATTCAGGCCAGTTAGTTTGCTGGTCCTTGATCATGTAGAGTATGTTTAGAAAACCCTTTGCTGAGAAAGTTATCTTTACTAAAGTTGCTTCAAGCCTTATTCCCAAATATGCAATAAACACCTGGGAAATTGAATTAATAAATTTCTCTCTAGGGAAAACCAGATATCCTAGTATTATTTTTTCTATTCATCAGAATTATATAGTTAAGCAGAAATCATCTCCATGACCATCCATAGCTATATGTATGCCCAATATATTGAATATTTTCATAAAAAAACATGCAAGCAGTGGCTAGAATACACATAGCTGTTTTTAGTGGCACATGAGAAAAATTACAGATAGAGTCAAATAGTCATTTATAGTCAGTGACTCCACGGACTTCCCAAGTGGATTTCCCGTCAGAAAGTTTGACTCATCTGGGAGGTCGACTTGTTAAATACTAGTTGCCACCTGTTGTAAACTTTTAGTGTCCTGGCAATTTGTTTTGTTTTTTTTCAAGACAAGGTCTTGCTATTTATTTCTACATGTTCAGGAACTCACTCTTGAAAGAAAAGGCTGGCTTTGATCTCAGAGGTACACCTGTCTACGGCCCCCCGCCCCTGCAAGTGATGGCATTGAAGGTGTTCCCTACCATGCCCAGCTAAGTGTTAGCTATTATGACTAGTACTGTAAAACTGTTACCAAGGCTGTAATAAACCATCATTGTCACATCTAAGTCAGACAGTAGGCAGGTTGGTTTCCTCCCGCTGTTGGTTTGGGACGGAGTTCCTAGAGAAGTTGTTCTGGAGAGTCTGTGACGTTCTTGGTTTGTTTTCAGAAGAACAAGAGAGTGAAGACAGTGATCAAAGGAAAAAAACCAAAAAGGGCACCAAGAGGAAACGAGATGGAAAAAGTCAAGAACAAGGGACGATGGCTCATGACTTGAAACTGGATGACATGCTTGATCGGACCTTAGAGGATGGTGCTAAGCAGCACAATCTGACTGCAGTCAATGTACGGAACATCCTGCACGTGAGTAGCCGTGGGCAGCTATGCAGTCAGCCTAGAAACTTCCCATTGAGAAGAAATACGCAGACCTGTAAGTCCCCTGAGTCCTGCTATACGAATTGGCAATTTTGTTGGTTAAGTGTGACAAAATGTTTTACATCTAAGGATAGTTTTCTCTTTGCACTCAGCACTAGTGAGGAGCTGAACAGATGTTGAGAAGATGAACTACCTGCACCTCCTTCCACTGATTTGGTCAATAAGATTCCTAGTCGGAAAAGCATCCATAGTAGTTGGTAGTGCTTTACACGTGTGAAGAATGCCTTGAGAGCTAGCAGAGTATTTGCTAGGCAAGCAGAACAGGCAAGATTAAAAAACACAAATGCCTTTATGTAATTCTCCTCTATGTCTTACCTGTGTCTGTATATTTCTGCCCCAGTAGCAGGAACTGAATGGCACCACTTGCTGCAACATTGTTTAAAGGCTTGCTTCTGCCTTCTTTATCTTTAGATGTTTTCTTGAGCTCAGTTTGAAGCTATTATTGAAGATCTAACTTCTGTTTATTCTCCACAAAGGTCTAGTGGCACTTACATAGAGATGAATATTGTTCAGGTGACAAATTTTTTATTTATTTATTTTTTTATTTATTATGTATACAACATTCTGCCTCCATGTATGCCCACACACCAGAGGAGGGCACCAGATCTCAGTACAGATGGTTGTGAACCACCATGTGGTTGCTGGGAATTGAACTCAGGACCTCTGGAAGAGCAGACAGTGTTCTTAACCACTGAGCCATCTCTCCAGCCCAGGTGACAAATCTTTTGTGGCATAAAGTGAGGTTTCATTTCTCTCCTCCAGGAAGTAATCACAAATGAACATGTTGTAGCCATGATGAAAGCTGCCATCAGTGAGACAGAAGACATGCCACTGTTTGTGAGTAGCCTCTTGTCACTCTTTCCATGCCATGGAAACTTTCCAATGTGGGAAGTCATGTAGCAGTTTGTAAACAACATGACACACCTCAGACTGGGAAAATCACATTGTAACTTTTATTGGCTACTTTCTTTCTCTCTCTCTTTCTCTCCCCTCTTAGGAGCCTAAGATGACACGCTCTAAACTGAAGGAAGTGGTGGAGAAAGGAGTGGTATGTGTTCTGAGTTTCTCTTTATCCTGGGGAATAGAAGCCTGTTCGCGGTTATTCATAGAGAAGAAAAATGTGAACAATTTTGGTCTGGGGTTTCTTTTCGAAATCATTATGTGTGGGCTGGGACTCCTAGCTTAGAGTGAGAATGCTTACCTAATATACATGGGATTACAAGTATAAGCCACACTGCCCAGATTTTCATGCTGTGCCCTGGCATGAATCAAGGGCAAGCAGGTACATCCTGGGCTACTGCTTTGGTTTTCCTTTTCTGTATAATGTAGTTGTTACTGGTGGTGGTGGTGGCTTGGTTGAGGCAGGGTCACACACTATGACCCAAACTGACCTGGAATTTACTGTGTAGCCCAGGCTCCTCTCTCAGTCCTGCCAGTGCTGGGATCATTGCCCCAGCAATACATGAGAATATAGTGCTCAGTGAGGCCTGTAGACCACGGTAGCTGCTAAGTTCAGTGTGGGTCTTTCTGCTTATCAGAAAAGGAAAAGCAGTTACATGTTATTACTGATATCCTTTTTCATAGGTAATTCCAACGTGGAATATTTCACCAATTAAAAAAGCCAGTGAAATTAAGGTAAATGCAGAAGTCATTGTTACTCTTTTCCCAAAATATGTCATCAGTTTTGAAAGCTACTACTTAGTTTGTATTCACTACTTTTAGACATGCTGGGGGGTTTTGTTTTTGTTTGGGGGGGCTTCTTTTTTTGTTACAGGTTTGGGTTTTTCCATTCCGTTGTACCTCAGCTGCACCTCATGGAAGCATACAGACCTGCCTGTGTTGTTTGATGTGACGGCACATTAGACTCAGAGAATTCTTTCTCCTCTTAGATATCTTCACTTTCTCTCCCAATGTGTGACTTGTGTTTTCACTCGCTCCCTCCCCACTTTCTCTCCTTCCCTCCCTCCCTCCCTCCCTCCTCCCTCTCTTCTTTCCCTCCCTCACATCAATCCCTCCCTCCCTCCCTCCCTCCCTCCCTCCCTCCCTCCCTCACCTCTATCCCTCCATTCCATCTGTCCTCTGCCACTGTTGGAGCCCAGAACCCTATGCATGGTGAGCATGTGTTCTCCTCTGAGATTTCTAGTCTCCAGCCCTGTTCCATTTCTTTCTCTGTGTTATTTTATGTTTACTTGTTTTTGCATGGTGAGTGGTGGGAGCAACTATCATAGCATGTGAGAATTGGTTCTTTCCTTTTACCATACTGGTCTTGAGAGTTGAACTTGGTCATTGGGCTTGTGCCTCTAGCTGCTGAGCCACTTCCCACCCCTGTTTTCCTGTGTTCCTATTGAAGCAACCTCCACAGTTTGTGGACATTCACCTTGAAGAAGATGACTCCTCAGATGAAGAGTACCAGCCAGATGAGGAAGAGGAAGATGAAACAGCAGAAGAGGTTTGTGAGTGTTCATTGTTACTGCAGAAAAAAATTGGGCTTGATAAAGACAGGCTTTGGTGACTAGTTTTGTCACCCATTCTTTAGACACGATTGAGAAATGTTCTCTTTTCTAATGATTTCTTAGCTGGTAGGTATTCTTCTGCTCTTCAAACTCCTTATACATTTAAGCTTACATTATAAAAGTAACACATACAACTCAAAGATGTGCTTTAATCTCAGCATTTAGGAAATGCAGGTAGGAGGGATAGGAGTTCAGGTTTATCCTCAGCTACACAGCTTGTTCTAGACTCTTTCTTAGAAAGCAGCAGACGCCAGGTCCCACGCCTTTAATTTTAGCACTCAGAAGGCAGAGACAAGTGAATCTCTGTGACTTCAATTTTTAGCCTGGTCTACAGAGAAAGTTTCATGACAGCCAGGGCTGTTAACACAGCAAAACCGTGTCTCGAAAAACTGGAAAAAACCCCAAAGATATCAACAGACAAGTGTACCCTGGAACCCTGATGTCTTGATAGTTTTTTTGCTATTTTTCTTTGTAGTTCTGTCACCTAAATATACACCTCTATATAGTCTTGTTTAATTTTTCTTGTTCATGAACTTTATCTTTTCTATTTGAGTTTTTGAGAAAAGGTCTCAGTACGTAGCCATGGCTGCCTTGGATCAGGCTAGCTTCAAACTCTTAGAGATCCTCCTGCTTCTGCCACTTGAGTGTTGGGGATAAAGGTGTTTGGCACCATTGCTTGGTTAGTAACGCTTTTCAAAAGAAGTCTTCTTTTTTCCTTCTGTGTTTTGTTAATCCTTTACCCTTTGACAGTTTATGATGAAGATGAGGCTGCAGATATGGTCCCTTCCATCTTTTCTTCTTTAGGATTATTAAGTCATTGAAAATCCATTTTCTTTCTACGATATATATATTTATTGCATATACTGCATGTATTCTTTCTATGACATAATTATTTTACATGTTATATATTTGCACTTGTATGTATGTACATATATATCTGTGTGGGTGGGTTTTGTGTGTGCATGCCACAGTTTGCTTGTGGAGATCCCAGGACATCCTGGTAAGAGTTGATTCTTGCCTTCCACCATATGGGTCTTGGGAGTGGACGTCAGGTCATCAGGCTTGGTCACGTACACCTAGTCATCTGCTGTGCCATCCTGGCAGCCCAAATCCCAGTGACTGGTGTTTTGTGATTCATTCTGTTGTGGCATTTCGTGCTGCGCACTGAGGTTGGGGCACACACGTGAGCATGCACTGGGTTTGTTTTAGAGCTTATTGGAAAGTGATGTTGAAAGCACGGCTTCGTCTCCACGCGGAGTGAAGAGATCCAGACAGCAAGCGTCGTCTGAAGTGGCTGAGACAGATGAGGAGAGTGGCATGTTGTCAGAGGTAACCGGCGTCAGACAAGAGAGACTTTAGACTTACGTGTGAGAAGTGGCTGGTTTTACCATTGGTAATATCATTGTGGGCTGCCACCTTCTCAGAGTTCTTGGGAGAATGAACAGCTAAGAGATGACTGAGACCTAGTCTTGGTCACAGAGGTTTTCTGAGTTCTCTTTAGGGGTCAAGTGTATGCAACCCTTGCTTAGAGTGCTGTCTTGAAAGCCAAGTGGTGTTCTGTTTCTCTCACTGAGATAGAATGAGACCCAACTAGTCAGAGCATGTGTTGTTGAATTGACTGTTCTCCTGTCTCCATCTACAAAAGAGGAAAGAGGCCACCTTCTCGTTATTCCTTCTTCCTTCCTGTCTTACCTCCCTCCCTCGCTCTCTCCATCCCTCCGTCCCTTCCTCCCATCCATCCATCCTAACACAGCATCCTTTTTGATCAGGTTGAGAAAGTCCCCACACCTGCTCTTAGGCACATCAGTGCTGAAGTAGTGCCCATGGGGCCCCCACCTCCTCCCAAACCAAAGCAGACCAGGGATAGTGCTTTCATGGAGAAGTTAAATGCAGTGGATGAGGAGCTGGCTTCGAGTCCTGTCTGCATGGATTCTTTTCAGGTAAGCATCGTGACTCTGAATTGCTGAGAAAAGAAATATGGTATGCCCATAAGGCTGATTGCTACTGGTCAGTAAAAAGAAGTACTGACAGGTGCTGGGGAACTGCAGGGATGAACTTTGCACACATCACACATTATGTATGTGAGCACCCTGAGACAGTCTGAACGGACACTGTGTAATGCCCTTATCTAAAATGTCCAGTAAGTAGGAAATCCATATCCATGGAACATAGATTATTGGATCTCTTATGTGGATAATGAAGTTATTGTGGAATTGGTTATATCACATGATTTTGTGAATATATTAAAATGTAATTAATTATACCCATTAAAAATGTGAATGTATTATAAAATATATACATATATTTTAAAACTCTTATAACTGTTCTTGAAATGTTCATTTTAAAACCGATAACTGGATAGGGTAGAAGGCTCAGCGGTTATAGTGTTAATGCAGAGAGGACCTGTGTTTGGTTCCTAAGACCCACGCTGTGGTTTAAACCACCTGTAACTTCAGTTGCAGAATATCCACCTCTGTTTTCTGTGGGCGTTGTGCACATGTGCTGCACATATAACAGGTAACACATAAAAACACATTCATAAAATGAAAAATAAATCTTTTCTTTAAATTTTTGTTTTACGTATATGAGTGTTCTATCTGCAAGTGCACCTGCAGGCCTGAATGGGGCATCAGATCTCACTATAGATGGTTGTGAGCAGCCAGTGGTCTTAACCCCTGTTCCATATTTCCAGTCCATAATAAATAAATAAAAACAAAACGAAATAAAACATACTTACCTGTCAGGGGAGAACCCACGACCACACAGGTTGTTTCTTCGGGGCATAGCTCGTTATTGTATACCTGATGTGCTGACCCCTGAGATTCCCTGAGTCGGGAAAGTTGACTGCATAATTTGTTCTAGTGGGGCAGGCACTATGTTGACAGTCTCCTCTGTAGAGAAACTTAAAGATTTAATAAAAAAGAGAAAATTATTTGAAAAAATAAAATCTACAAGAAATTAAAGTAGATTTTGAAGAAAGAAAATCCACATTGTTATGGATTTTGTTTGCTTCTTTTTGTTTATTGAGGCGGGGTCTCACGATACAGAGCCAGCTGTCCTGGATCTCATTATGTTGACTAGCTTGGCTTTGAACACACAGAGATCTGCCTGTCCCCACCTCCCAAGTGCTGTAATTAAGAGTGTGGGCCACTGTACACAGCTGGGATGACAGTGACCTACAGTGTCTTGATACAAGTAGATTTTTAAGGAGTGTTTGTTGTGGAGTGTGGAGAATTTGGAAGCATGACTTTGACCTTCTGGGTGCTTTTTCTTTTTACTTTGTCCAGCCGATGGAGGATAGTCTCATTGCATTCCGGACTCGGTCTAAGATGCCCCTGAAAGATGTTCCTCTGGGCCAACTCGAAGCTGAACTTGAGGCTCCAGATATCACCCCGGATATGTATGACCCAAATACAGCTGATGATGAGGACTGGAAGGTGTGGCTGGGGGGCCTCTTAAATGATGACGTGGAGAACGAGGGTGAGTGGTTTGTTTGCAGCTATGAGCTGCTCAGTTGGGGTAGAGACACGTTACAGACTGGAAGCACTAGTAGTGGGTTTGTTGCTAGGCGTGCTGGCTTAGACTTCTGCTTCAGCTGGGGAAGTTGAGACAGGCCGGTGCTCTAAGACATGAGGCTAGCCTGGGGAACATAGCGACACTTGTCTCAAAGAAAAGAAAGAAACTGGAGGCTGAGATTCTACAGCTCGGTGGGAGAACATGTATGTAGTTAGCACTTGGCACCCCACACATACACATACATATACACAATAAAAAATACTTTAGAAGCAGGAAGGAAGTGTCGTTTCTATGAAACTGAAGTGGGTCATATGGCAGACTTACCTGTTGGACGCATGTGGACATTGAGTGTTGTTTGGAGGAGCTGGAGCCTAGCTAAGAGGAGGGAGCAGGCACGAGAACAAGTCAGCTGTGGAAAATGACAAAGTATTGGAGAATGACATCTAAGAGTCGGGGAAGGTGGGGCGTTTTTGACACAGGCCTGTAATATAAGGAGGATCCTAACCTTGGAGCTAGCCAGGACTACGTAGTAACTTCTAGGTTGGCGTGGGTAACTTAATATGACCTGGTCTCAAAGAAAAGAAGGCAATAAAGCAAAGGTCATTGAGATGGCTCTGTGTAGAGATGATCACTTCCAAGCCCAATAACCCCAGTTCTTTTTTTTTTTTTTTTTTGGTTTTCTGAGACAGGGTTTTTCTGTAGCTTTTGGAGCTTGTCCTGGAACTAGCTCTTGTAGACCAGGCTGGCCTCGAACTCACAAAGATCCACCTGCCTCTGCTTCCAGAGTGCTGGAATTAAAGGCGTGCACCACCACTGCCCGACAATAACCCCAGTTCTATCTCTAGACCTCCCATAGTGGTAGGAGAGAACCATCTTCTACAAGTTGTTCTCTGAGCCCCAGATGCATGCTGTCAAAGTCACTGTTCTATTGCTCTGAAGAGACCATGACCAAGGCAACCTAGGAAAGAAAGCCCTTCTTTTTTTTTTTTTTTTTTTTTGGCTTTTCGATACAGCGAGACAGGGTTTCTCTGTGGTTTTGGAGCCTGTCCTGGAACTAGCTCTGTAGACCAGGCTGGTCTCGAACTCACAGAGATCCACCTACCTCTGCCTCCCGAGTGTTGGGATTAAAGGCCACCATCGCCCAGCTTGGAAAGAAAGCCTTTAATTGGGCTTTGGTTTGACAGGTTGTAGATGGTGAGTCTGTGGCCATCGTGGCAGAAATGGTGGTGGTCAGGCAGGCACTGCACAGGGTTAATATTGGAGAGCTAATATCTTACATGAAAATTGGAAGCAGAAGAGTGGGCCTGGGGTAGCTTTTGAAACCTTAAAGCTCACCCTTAAAGAGACACACTGGCTACAGTGAGGCCACAGCCCCTAAGCCATCTTGGAAAGAGTTGCAGCAAGTGGGACCCTATCATTCAGATCTGTGAGGCAGGGTGGCCATTCTTTTTCAAGTTCCCATACATGCCAAGGCTTCCACACATGCATATACGCAAATAAATCAATAAAATAAAAACTAATGTATGTGCTGTGTGGAAAGATTCTGTAACTCTTCTCTTTCCAGACATGTAGGGTCAAGGGTGCGTTCTGGGCATGGTGGGACTGTGGTCCATGCCCACAATCGCCTAATTTAGGAAAAAAACAAGGAAGCTGGGCAGTGGTGGTGCACACCTTTATACCTAGCTCTTGGGAGGCAGGGGCAGGCGGATCTCTGTGAGTTCGAGACCAGCCTGATCCACAAGAACTAGTTCCAGGACAGACTCCAGAGCCACAAAGAAACCCTGTCTTAAAAAAGCAAAGGAAGTGAGAGCAAGAAACATAGACATGCAAACATACACATTCACAGAGAGAGAGAGACAGAGACTTAGAGACCTTGTCTGGGAAAAAAGTAGGCAGAGTTTGTGCTGGGGCATTCCTTTGATCCCAGTTCTCTGAAGGCAGAGGCAGTTGGAGCTCCATGAGCTCGAGGCCTGCCTGGTCCACAGAGCGACTTCCAGGAAAGCCACAACAGTTACATAGCGATAACCCTGTCTTGAGAAATTTAAAGGAAAGAAACAGAAAGTGTCTAACGTATTCCCCCCCAGATGAGGCAGACGATGACGATGATCCAGAATATAACTTCCTGGAAGACCTTGATGAACCAGACACAGAGGATTTCCGTACTGACAGGGCTGTGAGAATCACTAGTAAGTCAGTTTGTTCGTTATTGTCTTTTCCACATGTCTTTGTTTACTCTGGAGGTGTATTGGAAGTCTACGGTTCATTCAAATGTAGACAGTGGATTTTCATTTGTTTATTTCTGTAAGTGTTTAAATGTAACACATATGCAGAAAGTTGCTATTGTAGATGCTGTGGTCCTGTGTTTGGCATTTGCTATTTGGCGAGGGTTGTATTATACTTTGAATGCCAAAATGAATGTGGGCATGGTCTCTGCAGCCTTGAGCTTAATAAGGGGATAGAAAGAGATGGGTGTATCTCAAGCATCTTGAGGAGGAAGTGAAGCAGGTTGGAGTTTCATAACTGCTGCTTGAAGGAGGAATGTGAGCATTTGCTCAGGCGCCTTGGGAGAACCAGCTACGGTATCACCCTGGAGGTCTTCCTTGCTACAGAATAAGACTAAGTTCTGCCAACATACTTCTTTGTCCTTTCACAGAAAAAGAAGTAAATGGGCTGATGGAAGAGCTGTTTGAAACGGTGAGTAACGATTTTTGAGTGAGTATCTTGGTGAAATTCTTTAGTAAGCTCTGTCCTTTGATCTTAAGGATTTTCTCTTCAGCAGAACAGTCTGCCTATGTCAGAGCCAGCAAGGAGCACGACGCAGGGAAATTCTGAGTGGCGTGCTCTTGATTATCCTCATGCGCTAAATGCTTGGTTTCCACGTGCTGTTCCTGAGCTGTTGTTGCAAAGTGTCATTTGAACTCTGATCGTAGAGACTTCTTCCGTAACCTGTCTCATGGGTTTAGGTTATTTTTCATTTGAAGCTGGGGTTTGTTTATCCCAGCACAGTTTATACTCCATAGAGACTGGCGTGGGTGATTCCAAAGGGCAGGCAAATCTGCCTTTTAAAGATAGGTTGGATGTCTGGAGGCGATGGAAAGATGACTCTAGAATTGACAGACATCTCGCAGCCTGGACAGTAACCCAGAGTTTTTCTGTAACGTCGTGGGCTTTTATTTTTAGCCTCCAGGCCCATAATATCCAGCAGACTGTCCATTAAGCAGGAAATCTGAAGATCTGTTGTTTTTCCCTCATCCTGTAGAATATCTGACAGACGCTTCCATGAAGCAGGAACCCTGGAGGACCGTCTCACCTTTTTTTAGACAACTATAGCAGTTCTATTTTTGTGGGTCCTGCATGTGCAGTTTATACAGCATACACAAGACTGCGTCTTGAGAGCAGTGGGACTTATTATTTGTTAATGTGAACGTGTCTGTCTGTGCACCACACGCCTGGTACCTGTGAGGTCAGAAGAGGGCGTTGGATTGCCTGACTCCGGTGGCAGATGGTCGGTGCTGCCGTGTTGGTGCTGGAATTGAATCTGGGTCCTAAGCAAGAACAAGTGGTCTTTTAACCCGGGATCCTACTCCCCACATAGGGTCTCTTTTGAATCCCAACATTATTAAAGCTCCTAAGTTCTCTAGTTTTATTTATTGTTGGTATCGCTAGAGAGACTTACATAGGGACTGTTCCCTCGAGAAAACCCTCCATTTCTTTTGCTCACAGTTCCAGGATGAAATGGGATTCTCCAATATGGAAGAAGATGGCCCAGAGGAAGAGGAGCGTGTATCAGAGTCTCGGCCTAACTTCAACACCCCTCAAACCCTACGGTATGCTGCTGAGATGCAGAGTGAAGGGTGATGTGTTTCTGAAGAGGCTCGACAGTTTTGTGGGTTTTGTCTTTGTCTTTTTGTTTTGTTTTTAGAAACTATAGTTATTTTTCCCTCAGCCTCTTGTTTAGGGCGAGGAGCCCTGGAGGTTAGTTAAGCAACCAGCAAAAACAGTCTCCCTGTTATGGGGCAGTGCAGCTACAGACAAAGCTGTATCTGTTTGGGAAGGGAGAAAAATCACAGCTGGCACTGAGAGCAGCTTTTCCATGCGAGTGGTGCTGGAAAGGTGTGCAGAGCTTCACATGGCCAGCCACAGAAACACCCACCACTGGCACGTATGCAGGTCCCTCGTGGGCATTGTTTGTCCTCTCTTCCGACTAGTGCCCCTGTGGGTTGATTGAGCAAATCCCTAAATACCTGCTCTGCTGGAGCAGGAGCCAGAAACACACCCTTTGTGTAAAGTTACTGAAAAGTGGTAAGGGGTGATCTGTGACTACTTCCTGCTCACACTGGGGCATAGATGGGGGCACAGAGTGCTGGCATGCTAGCCAAGGCCAGGAAGTGCAGATGGACAGTTTTGAGTTGCTGTCCAGGCTGCGCAGGACCTTCTGGGGTTTGGGAAGTACAGGCCTAGTTGTAGCATTTGCAGAGTCTGGACTGCCTGGATCAAGATCCTTAGGAGCCCTGCAGATGCAGATTCTGAGGGAATCTGGAGCTGGCCAGTTGGCAGCACAGTGTGTAGATGGTTTGAAATCTGGGACAGATGGACTAGAGAGGGGGAGACAATAAAGTTAAGGAGTTTAAAGGAAATTTTTTACCCAGGTGTACATTTGGAACTTCCAGGCCCACAGTCTTAGTTGTTAGGGAAGGGAAGTCCGAAGACCAGCGGAGAAAGTTTTTACTCTTAAGAATAGGCTGCGGGGTGCTGGAGAGATGGCTCAGAGGTTAAGAGCATTACCTGCTCTTCCAAAGGTCCTGAGTTCAATTCCCAGCAACCACATGGTGGCTCACGAGCATCTATAATGAGGTCTGGTGCCCTCTTCTGGCCTTCAGGCATACACACAGACAGAATATTGTATACATAATAAATAAATAAATAATTAACTAACTAAATAAATAAATATTAAAAAATAATAGGCTGCTGTAGTCTCGCAAACTGGGCAGTGGTGGCACACTCCTTTAATCCCAGCCCTGGGGAGGCAGAGGCAGGCTCTGGGTGAGCTCCATCTTGTTCACAGCCTGGCCTCTGAAAGTTGGCTGGGCCCAGCACAGTTTCCACTTCACTTCTCCTCTGCTCTTATCACCTGCCACTCGGATGTCACCATAGCTGAGGCACGTTTGGAACACTTTCTCTTTGGGGTCATTTTTACCCTAGGGATTGCTCCTCAAGACGGATCTTTCCAGGTTTGAGCTTTCCTTTCGTGTCCTGGAAAGAGCTCGCCTTTTGCTTTCCTTTTGTTCCATTTTCCCCTCATGGTGCTGTAAGTCAGCTGTAGATCCGCTAGAGCCTCCCCAGCGTGGACAGGTCGTGCTCCACCACGGAGCTCAGTGCTGCCACTACAGCCCCTCTCAGTCCCTGGCCCCTGCAGACACAACCTGTTTCTTGACGTTGCTGTGGACACAGTCCTGTCTTACTTTGCTCCATAAATTTGCCCTCCAAACTTACCACTCTCAAGCCTAGTTCACTGAGTAATGTCTTTCCTTCCTCTATTGTCTTCCAGTCCCTAATATTTGGGGGGAACCTCACCTGTTAGTCTCCAGTCGTGCCTGAAGGCTTGTGTGTGTCAACTTTTTAGGGAGTAATCTTCCTCCTCTTTCTTGTTTCCAGAGTAAGTGGTGATTTAAATTACTCAGTTTCTCTGCTCACCCAGCACTCAAGCCAGATCCGTTCATCTGCCCGCATATCTCACAGTTTCAAGAGGTGGTCTGAAAAACTCTTTTGCTAGGTCTTTCCTGGGGCTAGAGAGATGGCTCCGGGCTTGGGAACACTGGTTCTTCTTCTAGAAGATGTGCGTTCAATAGCCAGGCAACACACTTGGTTCTCACAACTGTCTGTAACTGGAGTTCCTTGCATCTGATGCCCTCCTCTGACCTCCTTGTGTTGTGAGACAGACTTCACATTGTAATTGCCCACATGTGTCTCATCACCTGCATGGGAGCTCAGGCCAGACCAAAGGGGAGAGGCGACCAGCAAAGTCCAACTTGGTGAACCCAAGAGTTTTATTGTGGTTAATCGCAGAAGAATTGACTCAGAGAGAGCTGCATCACCCCAAACTCACCCCATTATGGGTGACAGTTCACCAGATCTGGAAACCTGGAGCACACTGCAGGCAGCTCAGCACTTTGGAGGGTCCTTCCTGGGTGGCTCAGTTGATCTGAACCTCTTCCAGGCTGCTCTGCTTCCAGGTTTCTGCTTCTCCTGGGATGCTTGGATGATCTCTGCTTCTTGTTTGCAGCGAGACACGTGTGAGAGGGATGCCCAGCAGTCACTATTGTTACTCCTAGGAAGGAGGGGCATCGTGAAACTGGCCAGCTTGAGAATGGTCCTGAAGCTATCTTGAGTATTTTACTTCCGGTCCTGAAAGGTTGCCTGCAATGGGGGGCTGTTTCAGGCTTGGAGAAAACTGGTACACAACAATGTGGCACACAGACATACATGCGGGAAAACACTCATACACGTGAAATGAAAGTAAATAAACCTGATCTCTGTAAGTTCGAGGCCAGCCTGGTCTATGGTGTGAGTTGCAGGCTGTGCATTTCTGGTCAGGGTGTGAGGTTCTGGTCAGGCAGCACCAGAAAGGAGTTTGAATGTGTGAAAGAGGATGTTTGCACTGAGGTAGTCTAGTTCTGTTTGAACTAGGAACTCTTTCTCCTCATCTAATCTGCCCTGGATTTTAGCATATTGCTTTCTTATTTCATTGCAGAAAGGCTTTGGCAGACTTTTGGGGTTTTGTTTTTGGTGCTAGGATTCAAGCCCAGAACTCACATTTATAACGTGGAAATGAATGGAGGGTAGCCGGAATGGAACGGGCTGGGGTAGCCGGTAAAAGAGAGACCAAATGGTGTAATTTGGAAGGTTCTCTTCTCTGTCACCTTGGGAAGAAGGCACAACGTATGTGTTGCTATAGTGCAGGAATGGTGAGGTCCAACTGCCTGTGGCATTGCTTGTCTATTTCAGCTCAGTTTCCTCTCTCTCTATGTTGTATAGACAAGCTAGTGTATCAAAAGAAGGTGGAAGATAATTGAAAGTCTTCTTTGGCATAGCTAGAGATTGACCCCAGGGCTTCAAGCATTCTAGTGGTGTGTTCTACCATTAAACTATGCTCTGGGACCAGAATTATTTCATCTGATACAGTCCTAACAGTCTGAGGGAAACCTTTGGTCAAGGAGCATGGACCCTGGGTTATAGTGAGATTAAGGGATCAAATGTAAACATACGTGGGCTGGAGAATTGACTCAGTTGCTGAGAGCATTGGCTATTCTTTTTGAGAACCCAGGTTCCATTTCCAGCTCCCTCTTGGCAGCTGAGAACTGTCTGTAACTCCAGTTACATGGCATCTGACACCCTCACACAGACACACATGCAGGGAAGACACTAATGCACATAAAAAGAAATTAAAAAACCTTAAAAAACTAAAGTTTTTTTTTATTTTTAAAAGAAGATGAACATTGTTCAGCTTGGATAAAACGTCACTACTTGCAGTTTAATGTGTCATGCACCTAGGACCGTTCACAGATTTCTTTGCTTGTTGGGAATAGGTTTGAGGAACCATTGGCCAACTTGTTAAATGAACGCCATCGGACGGTGAAAGAGCTGCTTGAACAGCTGAAAATGAAAAAATCTTCATCCAGACCACAGCCTGAAGTGGAGAAGCTTAAACCTCAGACGGAGACAGTCCATCAGACTCTGGTTCTAGACCCAGCACAGAGGAGCAGGCTTCAGCAGCAGATGCAGCAGGCAAGACTGTTCTCAGTGTCTTGTAACTGTGTCATCTCCTAGCTTCCCACTGCAACCAAAAGTGAGCAGTGTTGTGAAGTCAGGGATGGCTGTCTTGCTTCCCACGGAAACCTGAGAGAACAGCATGTCCGTGACTTGTGCAGACAGGAAAGCAGGTCAAGACCCTGATAATGCCCAGGATGGGGAATTCAGAGTTGTTGAGAACGCGTTCAAACCCGAGTAGCTGACGGTATTAGGTTTTCTTCTTTCAGTCTCAGTCCCTCTGGTTTGAGGTTCAAGTTTGTCCGAGTTTGTAGTTTTGTTCAAAGGAAAATATCTCAGAAATTCCTGCCAAGATCCTGCTTTTACTCTAGTCCCTCTGAGAAGCAAGATTCATGCGGCACGTTTGCAGGCTTCTTGGTCACATCTGTCTCTGCAGAGTCCACGTTATCATATGTCAATCTTTCTCCTTCCCAGCATGTCCAGCTCTTGACACAAATCTACCTTCTCACCACCTCCAACCCCAACCTCAGCTCCGAGGCCAGCACCACCAGAGTGTTTCTGGTAAGGTTCCGTACATCCGTACCGTAGAAGACTTAGTCTGACGTTAGTTTGACAAGTCCTTCTTCACTGGTAATGTTATTCACTGGGTGCAATGTGTATTTCTTCTTCTCTCCTGGATGTACCTTCTTGTCCTGTGGCTTCCTGTGTTTGTGTGATAGAACAGTGAGTCTCAGGAAATGTTTTTACTGGTATTTTAATTGCACTTTCCTCATTTAGTTTTTTTTTTTGTTTTGTTTTGTTTTGTTTTTGTTTCCTTTGAGACAGTTTCTCATGTAGTCCCAGCTAGCCTCAGATTCACTGTGTAGTTCACCTCATACTTCTGATCGTCCTGACTTTACTGGCAGAGTTACGGATGTGCACTACAGTGCCCAGTTTGTGGGGTGCTGCGGATATAACCCAGGGCTTGCTGCATGTTGCTCTACTGAGCTCCTCAGCCTTTGACGCTTTGATACTTCTGTTGTTAAGGATGTTGAGGTCATGACCTGTTGATTAGGTACAGCTTTAGTGTTTAGTATAGAAGTGCTTTTGTTTATGACATGTTTAAGTGTTTTTAAGATTTAAAAACTTTGATGGATCTTTGCTCCTTCCCATTCTCCCTTTCACTGTCCCCTCCCCCCACCCGTTTTTCATTCCTATAGAATTAATAGTGGATCTGTGAAAGGAGATAAGAAAGAACTCTCCATTTGGAGGGGCTCCAGGGTCAAAGCATCCTGGAGAAAACCCTTTTTGTGGGTCCATGGTTTGTTTGCTAATAACCAAAGTTCTTTTTGGTGAATGAGTGTCTTCACTTCTTAATGTAGTCAGAGGACCGTGAGAAAGTTTTCTTTAGATGCACTAGTAAGAAATTTTAAAATAATTAGATTTATTTTATGTGTATGAGTGTTTGCCTTCAAGTATGTATGTCTGTGGGTAACATGCTTGGTTTTTGTCACGGCCAAAGGTTGTCCCCTCCCCCTGGAACAGGAGTTATGGATGGTTGTAAGCCACCCTGTGCGTGCTGGGAACTGAGCCTGGGTCCTCTACAAGAGCAACAAATGCTTTTAACTGCTGAGCCATCTTCTAAAACCAGGAGGCGGCTGGGGTAGTCCCCTTTATTTCTAGCACTTTGGTGAAGGAGAAACGAGAATCATGAGCTCAAGGCTCTAGGGCTACACAGTGAGATTCTCTCCAAAAAGAAAGTGTGTGTGTGTGTGTGAGTGTGAGTTTAAAATGTAGGGCTCTGAGCATTCTTCTCAATAGCCTCGCTGAATTTGATTCTTACTTGGAAGGAGAACATGCATGGCAAGAATGCATAATGCTCGGTGTGAGTGAGACTTAAAGTATGACAAATGACTGTAGGTCCAGTCCCCGAGTAGCTGAGGGTAAGACAGAGAAGTCGGAATGGAATGCTATCACTTAAGAGAGTTTTCCCTGCCTCTGGTCCTCTAGCAGGCAGGGCCCTTTCCCCTGCAGAGGTTTAGGGCTGTGGAATTAGCTGTCTGAAGTAGATCTCCTTTCTGACCTTTATCCTCAGAAAGAGCTGGGAACCTTTGCAGAGAACTCGGTCGCCCTTCACCAGCAGTTTAACCCCCAGTTTCAGACCTTGTTCCAACCCTGTAACTGGATGGGAGCTATGCAGCTCATTGAAGACTTCACACATGTCAGCCTGGACTGCAGTCCTCAGAAAACTGTCAAGAAGACTGGTAGGAGATGCATGCTTGTTATTTTGTTTTGGGTTGGTTTGATTTTGTGATTTTTTTTTTTTTTTTTTTTTTTTGATACAAGGTTTCTCTATGTATCAGCCCTGGTTGTCCTGGAACTCACTTAGTAGACCAGGCTGGCCTCAGAGATCCGCCTACCTCTACCTCCCAGTTGCTGGGATTAAAGGCATGTGCCAGCACTGCCTGGCTTTTAGCTTCAGGTTTTCGTTTGCAGTGAAGATGAGAGTCTTTAGTAATATTTTATGTATAATTCTTAGGAATGGAGTATGTAGAATATTTATAGTTTATGTTTTCTAAGAGAGAAAGGGTAAAAAGATGTCTGAGGATAACAATATTTGTGTGCACTGCTAAGTGCCTTATCTTCCTGTCTTAGGGGGTAAAGTGTTCCACACGAGGAAGGACAAAGGAATCAACATGGTTTAGCTCCTGTTAGCCGTATGTTAGGTTGAAATGGCTAAAAACTTGGGGGGTTCAAGGCAGAGAAGAAGATCTCCGCTTGAATGCTAGCTAACATGGACTTCTGTACTTTGTGGAGCCCTTGGTCCTTGGACGGTACTTAGCACAGATCATCTTTTCCTACAGCCAGTGAATTTCCCTGTTTGCCGAAGCAAGTGGCCTGGATCCTGGCCACAAACAAGGTGTTCATGTATCCAGAGCTCCTTCCTATCTGTTCACTGAAGGCAAACAATCCTCGGGATAAGATCATCTTTACCAAGGCTGAGGACAAGTAAGTGTGCTGTGAGGATGAAAGGAGACACAGGGAAGGAGAAAGACGGTTGCTTTCGAAAAGCATAGCGAACGGAGATGTGACCAAGCAGAGCCGTGTAGGCGGACAGAGATGCCACACGTGTCGTGGTATTATTATTATTATTATGATTATCATTATTATTATTTCCTTTTATGCAATGGGTGTTCTGCCTGCTTGTGTATCATATCTGTGCACCATGTGCATAACAGCCACAGAGACCAGCAATGGGTGTTGCTGGATTCCCTGGAACTGGAGTTCTCTGCACTGTTGTGAATCACCATGTGGGTGCTCTAATCTGAGCCCCAGATCCTCTGGAAGAGCAGGCTGTGCTCCTAAGCGCTGACCCCCTCTCTCCAGCCCTGCCACACATTTTTGAATCATTTAAAAGCGTTGTTTAACCTTTTGTTTCTTGGAAAGCCAATCTTAATGTAGTACCAAAAGGAAATACTCAAAGTAAGAGTTTTTAAGCTCTTTTCCTCCCTCCCAAAGACATTGGTCCTTGTTCGTTTTACCCCAATGGAGTTTAAGTTCTGATCCTCCTCCTCCTCCTAATAGGTCAGAATACAGCTGTGAGCCTTGTAGCCTAGTGTGCTGGGTGTTAGATTCCCTCAGGGCTTGGTGTGTGCTGGGTACTCTGAGTTACCGCCTTAGCTCTTTCATGGAATTCTGATAGAGCTTCAGTAATTTAAGTAATTTTGTCATTTGCTTTTTCAAACACACAAGGACTTGCCAGGGGGTGGCAGCCCATGCTCTTAATACTAGCACTTGGGAGGCAGAGGCAGCCTGATCTCTGTGAGTTCGAGGCCGGCCTGGTCTTCAGAGAGCAAGTTCCAGGACATCCAGGGCCACACAAGAAAACCGTGTCTTGAAAGAAAAGAAAAAGAAAAACAAACCAACAACAACAACAACAAAGAAAAGGCACAAAGGTTTCAAATTGTCATTTAATCCTCTGAGTCATTCATTATTAGTGTCTGAGGCAGGCCCTCACGATCCAGTCTCTTATTTGAAAATCCACCTCAGTGAGGATGGCCTTGAACCTTGAACCCTCTTGGCTCTAAAATTCTAAGAGCAGGTTTTTGGTTTTGGGCTTTTCTTGTTTATTTATTTATTTTTTTTTTATTTTGAACTTTTCCTCCTTTTTATTTAGGTTGGTTTTCTTCTTGTTTGTTTGGGGAGGAAAACAACAGTGTCATTGTGTGGCCTGGACTAGCCTCCAGCTTAAAGCAGTGGTCCTGCCTCAGCCTTTCAACAGGGTTGAGGTTGCAGGAGTGTGCCACCATGCCTGTAGCAGCTTACTCTGTGAGATGTTATGGTTTTTGTTATTGTTTTGAAATGTGACCAGCCTCATTAGTGCTTGGCTAGTGCTGGATCACTGGCCCTGATTATGTTATATCTGAAACCAAGCTGGGCGTACTGGAGTTCAGTCCAGCGAGTTACATGACAGCCCTTGTTCTCTTGATAAAGGGTTGTGCCGTGGACCCAGGCTGGTCGGAGCATGGCATCTCCTGCCCCAGCCACCGGGGCTTTGAGAGTGTGCCATTGACTTTGCGTTCTTCTGTGCTGTTATCCCAAGAACTCACCAAGGATGTTTGCACAGTGAACTTAAAGCAATTTTATTATCAGTGCTGTGGGAGTGATGTAGGGTCTTCTCTACGCCACTGATCCAGTTGTGTTTGCTTTTAAAGTACTCAGCACTCTGTAAATATCTGAAGGTGTAGAAGGCGCTCGTGAAGCATGAGCTGTTTGGAGAGCTCTTTTGAAGAAAGGTCTGTGAAGTTAGGTTGTATCTTTGCTTCTCTCTCAGTCTGCTAGCTTTAGGACTGAAGCACTTCGAAGGCACTGAGTTTCCTAAACCTCTAATCAGCAAGTACCTTGTAACTTGTAAGACCGCTCACCAGCTGACGGTGAGAATCAAGAACCTCAACCAGAACAGAGCTCCTAACAACGTGATTAAAGTGAGTGTTTCCTGCAAGCTCCCCTGTGCCTCCTGCAGAGGAGCACCCAGCCCTTTCTCTTCCTTCAGCTCTCCGTGAAGGCAGTGAAGTCCCTCCCAGAGAGGACAGTTCAAAGGACAGCGTCTCCCACTGTTCCAACTTTCCTTTGTAAGACAGTCATCCATTATTTTGCTCTTAATTTGCTCTGGAGTACCTTCATCTTAGCCTCCCTTTTGGATATTCCCTAGTAAGAAATTATTCAGGCCAAAGGATTCCACAAGTCCCGGACCCTTTTAGCCCTCTTGTGTCTCCCTTCCTCTGGGTTCTACAGGTCGACAGTATGGCATTTCCAAACCTTCTCCGCAGGGCTGCTTTTGTTTTTTAATTAAGCCTGTGTCTGTGTGTGGGTGCATACAGTCGTGTGCAATGGTTCAGATTCCTTTAAGCTGCAGTCATGTGCAGTTGTGAGCCACCTGCCACAGCTGTAATCCCAGGGGAAAAGGAAGAGGAAGGGGCAGAGTGGGATAGTTTCATTTCCAAAGTCAATGGCTGGCTGGAGGTGCTGGTGCACACCTTTAATCCCAGCACTTGGGAGGCAAAGGCAGGCAGATCTCAGTAAATTCTATCTCGAGCAGCCTGTACATATTGCATGCTCCAGGACAGCCAGGGCTATACAGAGAGATTCCTTTCCGCCTGGGCTGACAGCGGTGTGCTGGGAAATCAGTTTGGGGTCCTCTATGAGAGCTCTTAACCGCTGAGCCAAGGTAAGCCAGGTGTGGTGTCATAGACCTAACCACTGCTCCCACGGGACAGAGAGCCTGGAATTGCTGTGAGTCTGGGTCTATCCACGGCTCTATAACATTATCCTGTTGAGAGGAGAAAAATAAGAAAACAAACAACAGAGAAAAGATTTAAGTAGTTTAAAGAGCCAGGAAGCTTTTTCGAGGCTTTAGTTGTGGAAGTGTTTCATCCCTCTTCCTCGTTGCCCACATTGTTGGAAGGTGATGTGATTACCCCTTCATTACACAGTAGGTTTATCACCGACTTACTAATCTCAACCATGGATTCCTGCCCTCCTGCCTTCCTTTCTCTTTCTGACCTCCCTCTTTCCTTCCCTTCTCTTTCCTCCTTCAGTGCTAAGAGTCGAGGAATCACTAAACCACACCCCCAACTCACCTTACTTACTGATGTACTTCCAATTTGTGTATGTGTGTGTAAGATTTGTCGTTTTATATGTGTATTTGTGTGTGCCTGCTTGTATGTGCACCGTGTGTGTTCAGGTGCCCGTGGGGGTCAGAAGAGGACATTGGATCTGTGAACTACAGTTACAGATGGGTGTGAGCCGCCCAGTGTGGGTTTTGGAACTGAATCCAGGTCCATGGCAGGAGCAGTAAGCACGTTTAATTGCTGAACTATCTGTCAGCCCCTTGATTGATTAATTTTTTTTTTTTAAATCACACTTATTTTTCTTGGTAAGGACATGTACATGCCACAGTGCACAGATGCACACACGAGGTCAGAGGACAACTTGAGAAAGTCTGTTCTTCCTTGTACCTATGAACTTAGGAACTTATTTTCTCATGCTCAGGCCAACTGCCTGGCCCAGTTATTCTTTTTATTGTTTGTTTGTTTGAGACAGGAATCTATCTGTGTAGTTCTGGCTGTCCTGGAACTTGCCATGCAGACCAGGCTGGTCTAGAATTTACTGAGATCTGCCTGCCTTTGCCTCCCAAGTGCTGGGATTAAAGGTGCGTGCCAGCACCTCCAACCCATTGACTCTGGAATTGAAACCGTCACAGTGTATCTTTTCTTTTTCCTTTCCCTCTGGGGTCACAGTTTTCCCCATTGCGCCTGGTTGGCAGTGTCTTTTCCGCTCACCACTCTTCCTTGGTGAAAGTCGCTTCTGTTAGAGGAGGGTAAGGGCTGTGTGCTCAAGCAAATGTTTAATAAGATTATTGACTTCCTTTTCTGTGTTCCCTACATTTCCAAGTTTCCCTCCAAGGGGTGTCCTTGGGGAAGATAATTTGAGTCTTTTTGTTTGTTTCCAGACAGGGTTTTTTGAGTAACAGCTCTAGTTGTCCTGCAACTCACTTTGTAGACCAGGCTAGACTGGAAGTCCCAGTGATCCCCCTATCTCTCCTCTAAGTGCTGAGATAGTTTTGAGTGTCGGTATAATCAGGATGGACATTTACATTTATATATTTAATATTTGTGAGACTTTCATGAATTAGAGGAATATTGTTTGAAATGCACAAATATTCAACATTTATTACTGAGTCATCCCTGTGTGTGTCAGAAAACCAGCCCCTCCTCCCCATTTCCCAGTCTGAACAAATATGACTTTAAAATATGGTTTCTTGCTTAGTTTTATAAGAAGACCAAACAGCTGCCAGTTCTCGTGAGGTGCTGTGAAGAGATCCAGCCACATCAGTGGAAACCGCCCATTGAGAAGGAGGAACACCGGCTCCCATTCTGGCTAAAGGTCTGGCTATCCTTCAACGCTGCATGAGGCAGAAGTCCCTAAAAGTTCCTGTAGGAGTTAGATGATAATTTCTGACACAAAATTCAGGAAGGTCATACACTTGAGATGTGGTTTTCCTAGAACACTGCTGCACGGAGAAACCCTTATCGGGACTGTCTTCTACTAATCCTTAGAGCCCAGAAAGGTCATTTTCTTTCCCCTAGATTCTGACATGTGCTAGAGCACAGTGTTTCCGTTTCCTTAGGCCAGTCTGCAGTCCATTCAGGATGAACTTCGGAACATAGCTGAAGGCGCTGCAGAAGGAGCAAATGTGACCACAGCCACAGAGAGCGGCACAGATCAGCACTTGGAGAAAGCCGGCCCTGAAGTGGGGAGTGCAACTCGGTACCCATTGCTGATGCCCAAGGGTGTGGTGCTCAAATTGAAGCCAGGTTCCAAGCGTTTTTCCAGAAGGGCTTGGCGACAGAAGCGGCCATTGGTCCAGAAGCCCCTCCTCATCCAACCGAGTCCCTGTGTTCAGCCCGTGTTCAACCCTGGGAAAATATCAACCTGGCCAACTCAATCAAAAATCCCTCCAAGCAACAGGGTGGTCCAAATTCCTCATCTGATGCAACCAAACACAGTCTTACAGACACTTCCAGGTTTCCCTCCTGTGGGGGTCAGCGGAGAAGATACTTTTGAGTCTCCTGCAGCACAGCCTGCTGTACCTTCTGGTCCTGAAGCCAGGACCAGCTTCCCCCTGTCTGAGTCTCAGCCACCACTGCCTTCTTGTTCTGCACCCAAGATAATGCTACCCTCACTTGCCCCTTCGAAATTTCGAAAGCCATATGTGAGGCGGAAGCCCACAAGAAGAAAAGCGGCCAAGGTTTCTCCTTGTGTGAAACCTGCCCCCATCATCCACTCCACACCTGTCATCTTCACGGTTCCTGCCGCCACAGTGAAGGTTGTAGGCCTAGCCAGTGGCTGTAACGTTATCCAGCCTGTTAGTGCAGCTGTGGCCCCAAATCCGCAGACCATTCCTATCACCACTCTCCTGGTTAACCCTTCCTTCCCCTGCCCGTTAACCCAACCGCTCGTGGCCTCTTCCATCTCACCCTTAATTGTTTCTGGCAATCCTCTGACTCTTCCTGTACCATCTATTCCTGAAGATAAGGCTAAAGCGAACTTGGGTATTGCTGATGGAAAAAATGCTCCTCAAAACTCTGAGTCCACATTGAAACCCCAGGAACTAACTCCCCTCTGTGCTGCTGTCTTCTCCAAAGAGGAGCCTCGGCCATGGCATCTTTCATCCGGTGCAGAAAGCCAGGGCGCGTCGTCTGAATCGAGTGCCCATGGCTGGACAGGTGTGAAAATAGAACAGGTTGGGCAGGCTTTAGAGCCATTGTCTCCCGGTCTTCAGGAATCTCTGAATTGTGCACCGAAGGATCTAGAAGAAATGGTGAAGATAGAAGCTGAGGACTGTGTGGAGGAAATCTCTGTTAACTTCCCTGGAGAGAAAGTGAAAAAAGAATGCTCTGTGGAAGCAGACAGTGGCTGCCCTCAGGAGAAGCTGAGTAGTGCTCTAGAGATGAGAAAAGACACAGTCCTGCAGAAGGAGGAGACTCAGCCCGCTAAATCCCTTTCTGTGTCCCAAGACCCGCCCGATGAGGGGCGCACAAGTGGAGTTGGAAACAAAGGATTACCAAAAAGCACTCCGTCCTCCATGGCGCAGGACATGGTGCTTAGCAGTCCTCCAGGGAAGCCTGAGGATTCCGCCAGTGCTGAGGGTCAGTCTGTGGGGACCCCAGCAGGACCAGACACTGGAGGAGAGAAAGATGGGCCTGAGGAAGAAGAGGAGGATGATTTTGATGACCTCACCCAGGATGAAGAAGATGAACTGTCATCAGCTTCTGAGGAGTCTGTGCTGTCTGTCCCAGAGCTCCAGGTAAGAACCAGAGTAGTTGCAAGTATATGCGGACTCAGTAGAATGTTCCTTTGTATGTTATAGTCGTAAAGTGTCCTTTGACTTGTGATTGCATTATGGGACATAATTTAGAGACTTGTGACGTGCTATGGAAAGGGGACATTCTCTTTGGGTTGTGTATATTTCATTGTCAGTTTGAATCGCTTGAGCATACTTTATTTTTTTATTTTTGCATTTATTCTTTTATTTATTTGGGTATGTGCATAATATGGCATGTGTATAGAGGTCAGAGGACCAGGAGGAGGTGGTTATCTCCTTCCATCATGTGGGACCCAGGAATTGAGCTCAGAATGTCAGGCTTGACAGCTGTTGTCTGTACCTGTTGACCCATCTCATTGACCCCTTGAGCATACTTTAAATATCAGACAAACCAACAGCAAAGCTCATAGCACAGGGGCTATAGGTAAAATGACACCTGTTGCCTACCTTAATGGCTTGAGTGCATTCCATGGGGTCACATGGTGTACGGAGAACTGATATCTATAACTGATTCTCTGGGTCCCTCCCATGGGTTCCACAGCATGCATGGACCCCCAGCATATGTATACAGACATAGATAAACAAGATTTTAAAAAAACAAACAAACAACAACAACAATAAAAAAACGCATGGTGGGGAAAAGATGGCTCCACAGTTAAGAACAGCTTCTGTGCCTGGCAGTAGTATTGCAGGTCTTTAACCACAGCACTCAGGATTAGAGGCAGGTAGACGAGTTCACTGTCAACCTGATGGACAGAGCGAATCCCAGTACTGCCTTTTACTGCATTTTAGAAATCCTGTCTAAAACAAACCACCAACCAGAACAAAAGAACACTTGTTCCTTTTCCATAAGACCCCGATTTGAGTCCTCACCCACCTGGCTTCTCACAGTCTACATTGACTTCAGTTTCAGAGGATCGTGTACCCTCTTCATGCCTTTGTAGGCATATGGTACTCAGGTATACATGTAGGCAAAGCTCTTCTACTCATAATAATGTAATGATTAAAAAAAGTTTAGCTGGCCCTTCTGTTAGTACCAGCACTTGGGAGGCAAGGAAGGTGGGTCTCTCTGAATTTCAGGCCAGCCTGGTCTACAGACCTAGTTCTTGGGCAGCCAAGGCTACACAGAGAAACCCCATCTCACAATACAAAGCAAAATTTAAATAGCTCTTAAGAACTGGAGAAATAGGTATGTAATCGAGCATGTAGTTGTCATGTGCAAGGCCCTGATTCCATCCCCAACCCTTCAGAAAGGAAGCAAAGAACAACACCCAACAAGAAGAGAGAGAGAGAGTTACAAACCTCCTAGGTATGGGTCATGTCTTGCCTGTCCCTGTCCCCAGTGCCCTCAGACTTCTCCAGTCCAGAGTGGTGACCCTGCTTTACCTTGGATCCTCCTGACCCTGCTCCTGTACTTCAGCTCTGTGAGCTGCTAGGAGCCCTTGTAAACAGTCTTTGGGGTGCATTTAGGAAACAATGGAGAAGCTGACGTGGCTGGCTTCTGAAAGGAGCATGAGTCAGGAGGGTGATTCTGAGGAAGAGAACTCCCAGGAGGAGAACTCTGAGCCAGAAGAAGAAGAGGAAGAGGAGGCAGAAGGGATGGAAGCCTTGCAGAAAGAGGATGAAGTGAATGATGGAGCAGTTGGAGATGCTGCTGAGAAGCCCCCTTCAACCTTGGCCTCACCCCAGACTGCCCCAGAAGTAGAGACCAGCATAACCCCACCAGGTGAGTGCAGCTGACCCTCTCCCTTGGCTGCAGTGCCCAGAGGACAGTGTGCACAGTGTGCAGCTTACAGAGTCCCCGAGTAGCCGAGAGGCTCCTTTCTCTCTCTGCAGCTTTCCTTCCCCAAACTGAATAGGTTGGCGCCTTTGAAACACAAAAGACAGAAAGTTAGAATCTCTTCAACACTTCATTTACGTGAAGTCACTCTGTTTTATTTGTGGTTCTTGCCTCCTCTGTTCTTGAAGTTATGAAGTGTTTGGCTTTCATGTTTACTCCTTAAACTTCTCTGTTTTGAGGCCGGGTCTTACTGCATAGCTCAGGCAGTGTTGTTTGTTACAGTGCCTCTCTCCGTTGTAATGTCATTGTAAACTGGCATGGGACTGGGTGTTCCAGCGGCAGTCCTCAGTGTTCTCGCCTCCCCAGCACTTTGCTGCTCTTGCTGCTAGCTGGCTATGCCTATGCAAGGAGGCAGATTGTTTTGTCTTCCATTTTCTGGCTATTCTTTTCCAAGTTGTGCATCACTGTATGGGAAGAGTGCACTTATGGTGGGTTGCATATTTATAAGGATTGAGAAAGAATTTTTTTCACATGTACTCCAAGGAGACAACATCAAAACTGCTGGAAAAAGCCGAAGCGGTCATCGAGCTCGGAACAAACGGGGCAGTCGGGCTCGGGCCAGCAAGGATACCTCCAAGCTCTTGTTGCTGTATGATGAGGACATTCTTGATCGGGACCCCCTCCGGGAACAGAAGGACCTGGCCTTTGCCCAGGCTTACCTCACCAGGGTAGGCAAACAGCTAATTCTTTAGTTTTTAATGCCCATCTGTGTGCACGTGGCTGCTGCTGATCTGGAGGAGATATTGTGAACTGGACTGTGACTAAGTAGGTCGCCCAGCAGGAAGTGGCCTGGTCCAGCACAGTCAGAACTAAGGCTTTTCCTACATGCACAATAGGTTTTGTGTCTGCCTTGTTTGCTTGCATTTGCCACAGAGTTAGTTCTCTTAGAGACCCGCAAGGGGCTCCAGAGTTCAGCCTCAGTGCCCTTATCCTCAGCCCATCTCTCTTTCAACCAGGGATTAGGGGAATGGTGATACTGCTGTCTGCAGTGCCGCGTTGTGAGTTCACAGATTGGGTTGACTGCTACCATTAGTGAGCGTTTAGTGAAAAGAATGGCAGGTAGTATGTAGCCTGGTGTGCTAATCTCGAGATGTACACCCTAGGCTTTTGTTGTCTCTTGCTACCCTGTGTAGCTGCTTGCTTCTCAGTTAATCATCCGGCAGAGCACTTAGCTGATGCAGCTGCTGGTGTTGCTGCTGCTGTCTGCTGTTATTAACATTCTAAGTTCGGGTATTAATGTACCTGGTATGACCTGTATTAGAATCCAAAAATTCCTCTTATTAGGTTATATTTGGGACTCATGTCATGAAGGCAATCTTAGGAATCCTTAGTTTTGTGACTCTAATCTCAAGAAAATACAGGTTGTCCAGTTGCCCCTCAGAGAAAAGCAAGTCTGCCTTGCTGCTTATTCTGTGTCCTTTGTCAGCCTCAGGTCAGGGAGAGCCTCTGAAGGCTAACTCTTAGAACTGTGACCGTGACTCTTTCTCCTGTGCCCTTGCATGTTCTGGAGGCCCAAGGAAAGGATGTTGACTATTGGAAGTCTTGTGTGTAGGTACGAGAAGCTCTCCAGCATATCCCTGGCAAGTATGAAGATTTCCTTCAAGTCATCTATGAGTTTGAGTCAAGTACCCAGAGGCAGACTGCTGTGGATCTGTACAAAAGCTTGCAAACCCTACTCCAAGACTGGCCTCAGCTCTTGAAGGACTTTGCTGCTTTCCTGCTTCCGGAACAAGCCCTGTCCTGTGGACTAGTAAGTAGAGACGCACAGTCCGCACAGCAGACTCTAGCTCAGAGCAGACAGGGCTTGAATACAGCCGAGTCAGATAGTTCCAGTCTTCTGATTCATTTGGGTCACCCTCAGCCCATTTCACCAAGTCTTCTCAGGTCTTTCTCTTTGCAGTTCTCTCCTCCCGTCTGTTTACAGTGTTTTCTGTAGTACCAGTAGAGACCTCCGTAAGTCCTATTCTTCTCTCTCTCCTCACTGGAGAAAAGTATTGTTTTAGGTTCCTCCCCCTCCCCCCTTTTTTAAAACAGAGTCTCTGTGTAGCCTTGGCTGGCCTGGAACGCACAGTGTAGACCAGGTTAGCCGTGACCTCTCCAGTGCAGGCATTAAAAGTGTGCACCACTATGTCCCAGCTCTTTCTTTTCCTGAATGTTGGTTGAGTGCCAGGGAAACACAGAGATGCTGTGACTGTAGTACTTAAAAAAAAATTAAGATTTCTGCCTTCTAAGAGGTTTCATTTTTATGAATAAAGTCTGTAAAATATGTAGATTATAAAAATCGTCACATATGTCATACATAATCCTTTATGGTGATACTTCATAGAACACTAGAGTAGAACAGTAAACTGAGGCAGAAGGATTGCTGCTGCTTCATGGCCTAGGATTCATATGTTCTCAATATCCTGGGGGACATAATGAATTACTGCCAATAAAAAAAATAATTAAAGCAAAAATTTGAAGCCTAAGAGTTGAAATGGGAGGAACGGCAAATTGAGCATGGCCGCTCCTACTTGTTCTTGTACTTGAAAGGCAGAGACAGAAGGGGACGAATGGAGACCAGAGGGAGGGAGAAGGAGCAGAAGTCAGTCGTAGACTTCCTGTCAGTGGGTAGCAATAGGAGTGAAGGGAATTATCAAGGCGTTCTCATAGATTTGTGAGCATTTGATGGTTAATTGTGAATAAAATGTCCACCTTCATCCTGGCATCTTTGTGATGAATGAATGAATGCATGTGCAAAATAATTTTCAGGGCTGACAGATGTCTCTGAGGTTGAGAGCAGGGGCTCTCTTCCCGAGGTCCTGAGTTCAGTTCCCAGTAACAACATGGTGGTCACAGCCATCTGTGAGATCTGGTGCCCTCTTCTGGCGTCCGAGCATACATGCAGGATGAATACTGTATATGTATAAATAAATAGATTTATTAAAAAAATAATTTGTAAACTCTGAAGTTCCACAGAGTTTGAGTATTTGATTTTATTATTTGTAAAATAAATACAAAACAACTTGATAACAACTTGATATATAGTTATCTCCTTTACTTACTTGTTGACACAATTCTCATTGTGAACCCCACGCTGACCTTGATCCTAGAATCCTAGATGCTTCTGTTAAGTCACTCATTCGCATCTTAATTCTTAGGAATTCCACAATTCCACAATTGGCTGTTATGATTTTAAATACTTTTTTTTTTTTTTTTTTTTTTTTTTTTTTTTTTCTTTTTTTTTTTTTTTTTTTTGTTTTTTTTGAGACAGGGTTTCTCTGTAGATTTGGGGGCTGTTCTTGAACTAGGTCTTGTAGACCAGGCTGGCCTCGAACTCACAGAGATCCCCCTGCCTCTGCCTCCCAAGTACTGGGATTAAAGTCGTGCACCACCACCGCCCGGCCAAGATTTTAAATAAAATTCAGTCATAACCCGAGCCTCTGGCCCATTGTTTAGTTCTTCTCAGGCCCTTCAAGTTCTGATCCAGCCGCTTACTGATTCCTTTCCTGTCTTCCTTCCATTTGGTAGTTTGAGGAGCAGCAAGCTTTTGAGAAGAGTCGTAGATTCCTGCGGCAGCTGGAGATCTGCTTTGCAGAGAACCCTTCCCAGCACCAGAAGATTATCAAGGTCCTGCAAGGCTGTGCAGATTGCCTTCCTCAGGATACCACTGAGGTACTCCGTCTGCCTATTTATTCATGTGTATGAATGTTTTATGTACATGTCTACATGTGTGCCACATGCTGGCCTGGTGCCTGCAGAGGTTAGAAGAGGACATTGGATTTTTTGGAAGTTGAGTTTACAGATGGTTGTGAACTACAGTCTTGTCCTGGGAACCTAGCCTGGGTCCTTTGCAAGAGCAATAGGTCCTCTTAACTTCTGAGCCCTCTCTAGCCCCTTTTCATCGTCCTTTCTCTCTCTGCCTAATGTATTCTGTATCTTTTCCCTCTGGAGTATCATAAACTCAGGCAGAAAGCATGTTTCCTACTTCGCTACAGTGTGAAGCCCAGGGACATGGAAGAATGGCTCCTGGACTCCAGAGCCTGACTGGCCCTCACAAGCTCTGTAGCCGTCAGTACACTGGAAGGGGTTTGGAAGAAAGTGGGTGGGTGAGGAAGGCTTCGGACTCCTCATTTGTTTCTTCAAGAGACCAGTAAGGCAGGAATGGAAAGTAGTGTCACTGGGAATTGCATTTATGATCGGTATACCCTCCTCCCCACCTGACTCCCACCTTTGTAGAAGCAAGCAGGGAAATGCTTTACAATTTTTAGCTATCAAAGTAGTGGCACACACCTTTAATCTCAGCATGCAGGAGGCAGAGGCAGGTGGATCTCTGTGAGTCCCAGCCCAGCCTGGTCTGCAAAGAAAGTTCCAGGAGTACACAAGAAAGCCTGTCTCGAAAACATTAACATGGGCCAATGAGATGGCTTAGGTGATAAAGTTGTTTGCTGCCAAACCTGTCTGATGTCTTTATTCTTTAGGAACAAAAATTGGGAGTCTGATATTGGGGTGATAACCTAAATGTCCAGAGAAGCAACCAGTTACCTCCTCTATCTCTCTCGTCCCTCCATTCAGAACGTCCTAGACCCTCTCTAAGCCTTGCCCTTTACATCATCTGTCCTCATCCTCCAAAACATCAAAGATTAATTTTGGTCAGTTAGTAACTAGTTCTGCTCTCTGTTTCAAAACAAACTTTATTGTCAGTCTTGGGAGTATCAGAATGCAATCAAGATATCACAGAACACCTGATGATAAATTCAATCTCTGGGGCTCCTGTGAGAACTGACTTTCTTTCCTAGGTATGTACTGGCCTCTGTGCACTGACGCTAAGCCATAGATCTGAGTTTGATCCTTGGGAGTTCTTGACTTCCACAGGTGTGCAGTAGCTGCATACATCCACACACAGACACACACACCAAACAAATAACAAATAAATCCTTGTAATCGAAAAATAAGAGACTTTTAAAAAAAGCTTTGCTGCCTATAGAAGGCAGACTAATGATTCATTTGGGATTGGTTTGACTGCAGTCTAGGAAGATTCTCCAGATGTCTTCCTAGCCTTCCCAATTTTCCTCAGCTAAAGACACAGATGTGGCAGCTCCTCAAAGGCCATGACCACCTACAGGATGAGTTCTCCATCTTTTTTGATCATCTGCGCCCAGCAGCTAGTCGGATGGGTGACTTTGAAGAGATCAACTGGACTGAAGAGAAAGAGTATGAGGTACAGGCCCTGAGGTTGTCAAGGGGAAGGCTGTCTGCGGGAGGGTTTGGCCAGTCTGCCTAGTACCACCAATTCTTGTTTAGTTTGATGGCTTTGAAGAAGTGATCCTCCCTGATGTAGAAGAGGAAGAGGAACCTGCTAAGGTGTCCACAGCCTCAAAGAGCAAGAGGAGAAAGGAGATTGGGGTCCAGAATCATGATAAGGTATATTTGGGAAATATCTACTTTTCATGAATCAAGCTTTGGATTAAACTCTGCATATATCCATGTTGTATGTAGGATAGCTCACAGTATTAAGGTTGGAGATGCTCATGGGGAACAACCCAAAGGTGAGGCTGCTGTGGAGAACCTATGAGACTTCATTAGAAGGAATCATAGCCCTGCATGATGCCACATACTTATAATTTCAACACTTAGAATCTGAGGCAGGGGTATTGCTGCAAGTTCAAAGCTAGCCAGGGCTAGCTATATGGTGAAACCCTATCTCAGAAAAGGGAACAAAACAAAACAGATTGTAGTTCATGCTTTTCTCCCTAGCTCAGTGCTACCCTTTTTCTTACCTATGGGTTTTAATTTTTCAATTTTGCCCATGGAAGGAAATAGAGCCCTCTAATGATAGACGTAGCAGTTGCGTTACTATGTGGCACCATGTAGATTATTAATTAGCTCGTGTAATTTTCATAGTAATCCTGAGGAAAGCTTTATTTATGTGACTAAAGAGCCAAGACAAGACAATGCCAGAGTGACCTTGTCAGGTGTCCATGCTGGGACACTGACATAGGTGGCTTAGTTTTAGCTCTAGAGTCTGCTCGTACTCGGTACCAGAAAGAGCCTTGACCAGTGAGTGGGTAAAAGTTCTTGACTCCAAGCCTGATGACGAGAGAGAGTTTGGTCACCAGACCCATATGGTCAGACTGTTCTCTGACCTCCATACATGTGGTATGACAAGCATGTATGTGCATATAATATAGTAAAAAATATAGATGTATTAATTTTAGAGAAAAATTTGTGTTTAGGAATATATCTGTGGAGTTCAAGTGCCCAGAGATCTGAAGAAGGTTATGATCTCCTAGAACTGGGGTAAAGGGTGGTTTATGCACCTCCTGATTTGGGGTCTCCTGAATTCAAGTCCTAATCAAGAGCAATACATAATTGTCCTTACTATTGAACTACCTCTTCAGCCTCCAAATTAGTCTATTTTTAAAGATGATGATGATTATTTGAAATAGAGACTCTTATGTAGCCCTGGCCTTGGAACTATGTAAACCAAGGTTGACCTCAGTGTCATGCTAGGATTAAGGCATGGGCCTTTTTTTTTTTTTTTTTTTTTTTTTTTTTGGTTTTTCGAGACAGGGTTTCTCTGTGGCTTTGGAGCCTGTCCTGGAACTAGCTCTGTAGACCAGGCTGGTCTCGAACTCACAGAGATCCGCCTGCCTCTGCCTCCCGAGTGCTGGGATTAAAGGCGTGCGCCACCATCGTCCGGCTGGGCTATTTTTTTTAAGTTAAAAATTTACATTTACATACTTTGTGGGAGAGAGTGGGGGGGATACACATGTGCCACTGAACATTTGTGAAGGTCAAGACATTTGGATACCAGGGATTAAATTCAGGTCCTCATGCCTCTAGCCACTGAGTCATCTCACTTGCCCAAAGAGGAGGTCTTTTTGTTGTTTTATATTTTTGTTTTTCTGAGACAGGATTTCTCTTTGTAGCTCTAGCTTTTCTAAAACTCACTCTGTTGACCAGGCTGGCCTCGAACTCAGAGATGCACCTGCCTCTGCCTCCCAAGTGCTGGGATCAAAAGTGTGTCTTTGCTTTATTAAGTGAGGAGTCTCTATACAAAGGGAGACAGAAAGTCAGTAGTCTGGATCTTACCTTGGAGATCTCCAGTGCATTTTCTCAAAGTCTGAGGCTTGTGGGCTGCTAGGATGCTGCTTTCTTTGAGGATTCACAACAGGCTGAGTCAAGATTGGGTCAGTGACCTCCAGGGTATTAGGTGGTCCATTAGAAAAAGGGTGGGAGGGACATTCATAACTAAGGCCTCTCAGTGCAGCTGTTTCTTGTTTCTAATCAAGTTGGGGTATTTTGTAGGAGACTGACTGGCCTGAAGTGGCCAAGGACTGCTCCTGTTCCTGCCATGAGGGAGGTCCTGATTCTAAGCTGAAGAAAAGCAAGAGGAGAAATTGTCATTGCAGTAGCAAGGTGAGGCAGGTGCTTGGTGTGCTGGGACTGCCTAGGCCATACTGTGCAGGTGCTCGTTTCTTGTGGTTCTGTTTTTGTTTTTGAGATAAGGCCTCTCTACATAGCCCAGGCTGTCTTCATACTCACCATGTAGATGAGGCTGGCCTCAAACTCAAAGACATATAGCCTGGCTATATTCTGCCCTGCTATAGGCCAAAGCAACTTCATTCATTAACCAATAAGTATAACACATATACAGAAGGACCTCCCACACCATCAGGTTATTTGGACTAATGGCTTAGCAGAGTAAAGCCAGGTAGGAAATCAGAAGAGATTGAGAGAAAAAGTAGGCAGAGTCAAAGAGATGCCATGTAACTGCTGAAGGAGACAGACACTGGAACTTTACCTGATAAGCCACAGCCTCGTGGCAATACAGAAAATAATAGAGATGGGTTAATTTAACATGTAAGTGCTAACTAGGAATTTATGCATAAGCCACCGGTCAAACAGTGTTGGAATTAATATAGTTTCTGTGTGATTATTCGGGTCTGGGCTGCCGGGAAATGAACAACCAGTCTTATTAACTTACATCTTAACCCATAATTTTTGTTTGTGTTAGCCATGTGGCTTGATACCTTTATCAGCAAGGCATTCTCATCTTGCTTCCTCTGTGTCTGGGTGACAGCTGCAGACTGACTCCTCTTCCGAGAACTCTCCTGTTCTTGTCGCCGCCCCGCCTATACTTCCTGCCTGGCTACTGGCCAGCCAGCGTTTTATTAAAAGAAAGCGACAAATCTTTACAAAGTCCAAGACCATTATCCCACAGCACTACAGTTACATTTTTGCAAGTTTTTAAAGAGAGTCTTTGATTTGAATATGGTGGTCCACCCTTGTAATCATAGCACTTTACAGGCAGAGACAAGAAACTGGGAAATAAGACCCTATATAGCATGTTCCAGGCAGCCAGGGCTACACAGATACCCTGCCTCAACAACAACAACAAGTGTGGCTGGAGAGACTGCTTAGCAGTTGAGAACCTGTGAGCAAAACAGAGTGAGTTGTTGTCAGAACAAATGCAGTCCTCGTGAGTAAGACCAGAACATTGTCACCCTTGCAGGTTTGTGACAGCAGATCTTACAAGAGCAAGGAGCCCCTGGAGTTGGTGGGTAGTAGCCCCCTTCAAGAGGCAAGTTCTATGCCTGCAACTAAGGAAGGAGGTCAAGGCAAGGACATGTTGGAAGAGGAAGCCCTGGAGGAGCAGGAGAGTATTGATGTGACCCAGATTAGGACTGGCAGGACCACCAGAAAGGGAGAGACACCCACTCCAGGTCAGTAACCTGACTCCAAGCTATGCCTTTCCCTCCTTTTCCACACTGCAGGAAACTGGATGAGCCTAGCTCAAACACCTTTCCAGGGATGTGCCAACACTTTGTCATGAAAACATGGAGATCCCTTTTCCCTTCCTTCTCACATAGTTAAAAGATTTTGTTAAAATGCCAGGCAGTGGTGGCACACACTTTTAATCCCTGCACTTGAGATACAGGGGCAGGCAGTCTGTTTCAGGCCAGCTTAGTCTACAGAATGAGTTCCAGGACAGCCAGGGCTAAATTGTCTCAACATTCCTCAAGTCTTCTCCTTCCCATTAGAAGAACCGTGCCCTCCTTTGCTGCGTGACTTCATCACTTCCCCGTCTTTCCAGTAGCTCCCCAGTGGTGTGGTTTTTGGTGTATCCCCTGATCCCCCATGTTCCTCCTAAGCAGGGTCGACAGTTGGGAGTACCGTGCTGTGCTCTGCAGAAGTGACTCTCGTGGAGCGACCCTTGGAGGGCTCAACCCTCTGCTCACCAGAGACTCCCGGGCTTCCTCCTCAGACTGGAGTTGAACTCTCCTCTGTCAGGAGAGACCAGGCTGGGCCTGAAGTTGTCTCCTGCCTTGACACATCCACCATACTTCCCGAAGAGGGCGAGGACATGAAGTCTTTTGCTAATTCAGAGACTATTGTGCCGCTCCCAGATACATCAGAAACTGAGAAACTGCCAAGCACTGTGGAGATCCCCGCTTCCCTCGCCAGTCCTGTTTCCTCAAGGACCAGAGACACAGGGAGAAGACACACATATGGAAAAGTCTGTACTCAGAGCTGGCTACGTGAGAGCCCAGTGGAAGCAGAGACAGCCCATATGGTGGCTCCTGTCTGTGGAACTTCATCAGGAGTTGGTGCCTCAGAGATCACTCCCAAAGCTGCCAGCGGGGTCATAGCTGAAGACAGTGGAACTCAAGGCAAAGGTCCAGAGGGGGGCCTGCCAAAAGCCTCAGAAGCTACTGTCTGTGCCAACAACAGCAAGGTCAGCTCCACTGGGGAGAAGGTGGTATTGTGGACAAGGTAGGTAAAAACAAGCTGTGTTTGCAGAGTGTAACACAGGTCCAAAGCGATCCTCAGGCCTAACTATGCTGCCTGGCTTTCAGGGAGGCTGACCGAGTGATTCTCACCATGTGCCAGGAGCTGGGCGCACAGCCCCACACCTTCAGCAGCATCTCCCGGCAACTGGGTAACAAGACCCCTGTTGAGGTGAGGTGGGGCGGGTCACAGGGTGATGGGGAACGAAGGCAGGAGGATGGGACCAATGGGGTTTACAGTCATAAGGAACTTTTAAGGAAGCAACTGGTTCTTTTAAAGCTTGGCCTAAGGAAAGGCTTGGCCTGTCAGTGTAGTGGGTTTCTGTTGTTGTTTTCTTTGGAGATGATTTTCACTGTGTCCCTGGCTACCCTTGAATAAGTAGATCAGGCTGGCCTTGTACTCAGGAATCCTCCTGATTGCTGGAATTAAAGGTGTGTATCACCGAGTCTTGTTCCCAGGGAAGACTGTTCTGTTTGTGGCATTCACCTGTTTCTACAGAAGACACAACCTTGCTCTGTATAATAAGTGGGTGCCAAGTTCATTTAAGCAGACTGGAACCATGAGCCCAACCCCTTTCCTTTGCTAGGTTTCCCACCGTTTCCGAGAACTCATGCAACTCTTCCACACAGCCTGTGAGGCCAGCTCTGAGGATGAGGATGATGCCACCAGCACCAGCAATGCAGACCAGCTCTCTGACCGTGGGGACCTGTTGTCTGAAGAAGAGCTGGATGAATGAAACCCTGGGAAGGTATGGGTTTCATCTGCCAAGACCAACCAACAGCCCTCTGTACAAGGGTGGTTGTACTTGACTCATAGAGACCTTGAACCTTGACAGAGCCAGTTGGGAGATGGTTCTGCGGCCTGTGTCTCTCAGGGACTTCAGTGAAGACTTTACAAACACATTCTGGAAACAGCATTGGTGGAGAACGGGGCTTGGCTCTTTTGTGAACTCACTCTTTTTAAATGTACAAATGCATATATCTTGCAGCAATCCCAACACACTGGGTTCCTGCACCTGGCAGCTTTTATTACAAATTATCTCCCTAATACCTTCCCTGGAACATCAGTTTGAAAGGCTGTTACCCTCCTGGTAACACTGGGCCAGGCTGTGTAAGTCCTGTAGCAGCTCCTCCATGTCATCCCGCTCCACCCCAGCGTCCATGAAGCTAGCCCAGCGCCGCAGGTCAAGTCTGGAGAGCTCTTCAGCCAAGTCTCCCAGGGTGCGGTACAAGGATGAAGATGAGCGCAGGGCTCCAAACACAGGGATGCTCTGCACCGCTGTAGAGGGAGAGAGCTGGGGTCTACTCTGGGCGTGGTAGATTGTAAAGGACGGCAGTGAAGTGTGTGCCGTCGCTCTAGTACGCCAGCACCCTAGAGGGGCTGTGGTCGGGTGGAGGAACGCTCAACTGTGAAGACAAAGAGTAAAACTGCCCCTGTGTGGCTCAAGTGTTAGCTTCTCCATGTCCTACCTGCGCCCTTGGGGGTGCCATCCAGGGCCAGCCCCTTGTGACTGAAGCTGGAGAAGAGGTGTGGGTAAGGAGGAGCCACTCTGCAGGGCGTCAGCAGCAGGTGTGAGGAGCTGCAGGCAGAGGGCGGTGACTCGGTGACTCGGAGAGCAGAGCAGAGCAGCAGAGGCTGCCCACCGCCCAGGAGCAGGGCAAGTGCCCAACTGACCTTAAGACTCTAGGGTGCTGCTGTTGTAAATAGAGGGCCAAGACTTCTTCTCCAGAGGCACAGGCATGGAGAGCCGACGGCAAGGGTGTCCCTGGGTTGAGCTTACTGCCAGAACAAAGGCAAACCTTTTGTACATACTTCAGCTGTATGAATAAGAGCTAAGAATCCTTACATCCTTGGACCAGCAGCTGGATCAGTCCAGAGCTCATGTGAGGCGGTGGTGGCGGTCAGAAGCAAGCATACCCTCAGGAACAAAGACCTGAGCAGGTCTCACAGGGCCCATAATAACCCGGTCTTTACCTGGTGTGGCTCGTACTGTCTATACCCCTGAGCACCACTGACTGGGCAAAGCATCGACTTCCAGCAGAGTCCCCACAAGCAGAGAGTGGGGTCCACGGGGTGGTTCCTCCAAGCTGTCCCAGGATGTCGGGAAGGGACTGGCCTGGATCCAGTGGGAAGGGGATGACTGCTTCTGCTGTCACCACCTACAGACCAGGAGGTGTCAGGTTACAGAGCCTTTCCTGGGCTCTGGCCAGGCCCTCAGAAAGCTTCTTACCTTTCTCCCGGAGAAACTTAGCAGATCAGCCAAATGAGCCATGGGCACCATGGAGGACCGCAGGCGGAAGGGAGCTGTGACTGTGTCCAGGGCTGTAGCAAGAATGGCGCTACAGTGGAAGGGCAGACTGGCCTGTCAAGTGGGACAGGAGGGGATATTGGGTCTCTCGGGTGTGGGAAACACACCAAGGGCAGAGATCTAGGGAATGAAGTAAGGCTGTTCGTCCTGAGGCCGGATAAACATGAGCTAAGAGGTCAGGTTTAAGGTGGGAACCCAACTTGGTGTAAAAGTGATTCCTGAGTATGTGTTGGGTGCTAGGTTCAGTCCCTAGCACCACACGCACATGGCCGGGAGGTGGGGTGGGAGAAGAAGCAGAGTCGCAGTGATAGAGGCTGACATAAATGGAGCTTCGAACCTTACATCATAGTGTAGGTCAGGGAAGCTGACAGGTGGCTTGGGTCGCAGGCCCAGGTGCCCTCCCAGGGATAAGGGACAGACAAAAGAGCTGTACCCAGTCAGGTGCACCAGACCGAATGCTGTGTTTAGGAGGCGATAGATATTTTTCTGGGGCTCCTGGTAAAAGAAATGAGAGTGGGTTGCTCCAAGTAACTTCCTCAGTGGGGTCCTCTCCTTCCCACCAACTCTGCTGCTTTTCTTCCAGCTTCCACTCACCCCAAGACTGTAGGGAGCAGGGAGCAGACCCCACGTTATTACTCCTCGTCCTGAATACTCGTCTTGTAGCAGCTCTGCAGTTTTAGCGCCTACTCCAGAGAAGCCGTCGTGCAGGTCACACAGGATCTGGAAGCCCTGCAGAGAGGTCAACAGAGCAGACTGGAGCCTGAGACCAGTGTCTCCCCAGCACCTGCACTGCCACATAGCTACCTGCAAGTAGTCACACTCTTCCACATAGAAATGTAGTCTGTCCTCCAGCTCCTCCAGGTACCTGGGTTCCTTCAGGATACCCTCCCCTTGTCCAAAAGCTTCCAGGCGACCTGTTTCACTACCAGAAATCACTGTGATGAAACCCCAGTCCTGCCCTCAGCTCCCCAATCTGCTGTTTTGGAGGAGGGCAGGTGAGATGGAGTCCCCATACCCGTCGTGGTTGTACTTCTGAATCACACAGATGCTCCGCGGATGGAGATGCACCCTGAGGAAGTCTGACCAGACTCTGATGCTGTTCTCTGTGGGGGAAATGGGCAGCCCGAACAGCGAGCAGATGAGCTGCACCTTCCCCAGAGTCCCTGCTCTGCTCAGTCTCCAGCATCAAGGGACACCTCACCTTTGCCATTTAGGATAGGTTTGGTCCTCCAGACACCATCAGTATTCAGCACTCCCTGGGAGGGGTGAGGGAAATGACATTTAGTTCCAGGAAGTTCTCCTCTGCCGTGTTTTTTCTTATGTGTATATGTGTGTGCCCCTGTGGATTTGATGTGCACCACTTGCCGGAAGCCAGAAAATGGAGTGAGGTTCCCGGTTGTTTTGAGATGCCTGAAGGGGGCATTGGGAACTCAGCTCAGGGTCCTTTGAAAGAGAGGCGAGGATTCTTTCTTAGCCTCTAAACCAGATTAAAGGTTCCTGCCCGTTTACAGCCAAAGGTGCTTTGTCCAAAATCAAATGTTTCTAAGGTATTTATAGTGGCTAGATGCCTCCTTTTCTGCCTTACTACTTTGCATGTGGTAGGTTTCAAAGTTTAGGGCAGAGACTGCATCACCTCTGCACTTAGAAGGTCCTGGAGGTTAGGGTTCTTTGGGTACTCTTCTTCTCTGTGTGTGGTGAGCTTCCCTTGCCTGAAAAAGAGTGGAGATGAAGCATTTGATTCTCTCTCCAGCCTTTTATGCTTGTGCACTGGCTCTCCCCCTTCCTACATTAGACACACACCATGCTACTGCAGCCTCTAGCTGCCGGTCCTTGTAGAGGCCACCTTCTTCCTTTAGTGAATTCAGACTTCCTGCACAGAGATGAAAGACAAAGTCAAAGCCTAGAGCATCATCTCCCTCAGACAACCTGATCACCTGTCAGGTGATGTGTGGTAGCACTTGGCAAAACTTTTTGTTTGGCTTTTGAGATGTCTCCCTACTTATCCCGATCAACTATGTAAACCAGGTTGGCCTCGGACGCAGAGATCTATCTGCCCCTGCCGGGAATAAAGGCGTGCCCAACCGCGCCAAGCACTGCACTTGTCTTTTTAAAGCATACTTGGATATACGCTAGAAGGATGGGGAATCTGGACTCCATCCTTCTGCTGGGAGCCCGTGGCTCTGCCCACTTCAGAGTTGAACAGTCTGGTCTTCCGGTGTCCTCTGGGGGCTTGTCCCTGTACGGGAAAACTTGGCTGAGCTCCGCCACTGCCTCACCTTTCAGATCCATGAGGATGAGTCGCGGCGTATAGGTTTCCTGGCCATGCAGCGTCCGGCCGGCTCGGTACAGGACGTCGGGGCACAGCTCCCCCGGTGACGAGTCGCCTTCGGTCCTAGGTCCCAGCGCAGCATCCTGCAGAGTGCAGAGGGCTGAGTGGCGTGAGGAGGGGCATGGCCATGTACCTTCCGTAGGGAGCGCCGGGCCGCCACGCGTAGCCTGACCTGCTGGTTCCACCAGTGTGCCCCGACGAAACCCGCGAAGTGTCCCAACTGCAGCGTGAGTACCTCGCGCACCCCGCCCGCCATACCGCCGCCGCTGCTCACCGCTCCACTGCCGCCGGGGGGGCGGGCCCCGCGCCCTATTGGCTCCTGAGTGCGTGCTTTCCCGTTGGCTACACGTTGGCTCAGGCGTGCGGCTCGCGCCCCGCCTCTTCCTCTCCTGGGTGACCGGAAGCTGGCACGTCCTCGCTGGTCCCAAGCCTTTCCCTCTCCGTCAGGGCTCCTGTTCTGGCCAAGGTCATGGAATGTTCTCCCACTTGTTTGTGTCAGTCTTCTCGCAGTTGCCTCTCTCCTAACTAGTAATTCTCGAGAGGAAAAAACAACTTGGCGAGGAACTCGATGCTCCACTGACTGACTCCTCCCAGTCTAAGGTCCCAGCCTGGCTAAACCAGTGAACTGGGCAATGGGTCGTCTGTCTGCTTCTGTTACGTTATGGAGAAGGTTTTAGTCCCCTTCTTCATGGACATAGAGTTCATTTGCACTTCTGTACTTTTTTATTTATTTATTTCCTTCCTTACTTATTATTTAGGTTTTTCGAGGCAGGGTTTCTCTATAGATTTGGAGCCTGTTCTGGAACTAGCTCTGTAGACCAGGCTGACCTCGAACTCACAAGAGTTCTGCCAACCTCTGCCTCCCAAGTGCTGGGATTAAAGGCGTGCGCCACCCCCCACCCTGAGCCTTTAATTTCTTTTTAATTTGAGTCATCATTTGGGCAACGTTTTGTGACAGGCTCACTGTTAGCCCAGCCTGGCTTCTTGGAAAAGGCTTGTGCTTTTTTTTTTTTTTATATCCAGCGGACAAAGGATTTCCAAACCACATGTGAGGGCACAACCCTGTTATCCTGTTCTTGGAGGAGGGAGACCAGTCAGTCCTTAACTCTGTAGCAAGTGGAAGGCCCACTTGGGCCCCCTGACAGCATGTCTAAGGTCCAAAACAGATCGCTATTCCCGAATGTCTTGCTTATATTTGGGGGGGTGGGGGTGGGTGCGAGTGTCTGGTATTTATAGCAGTGCACTATTTAGGACATAAATTTATTGCTAGTAAAATGTACAGACAATACCTTCTACTGAACAACATTTAGCTTTTATTCTTTGGTGCCTTGGGATGATCAGCTTCTAATATTGTGTGGGTGCTGTGTGCATGCCAGAGAACAAGTTGAGGGAATTGGTTCTGTACTGCCATGTGGGTCCTCCCCCAGGCTCAAGCTCTTCTTGAGGCTTGGCAGCAAGCACCTCTTACATTGAGCTTTCTGCCTGGGCCCATTCCTTTATTCATACTTACATTATTATTTGGAGGCTGTTGTGGGAACGTCTACTCCTCCATTCATAAGAAATGTTGAATGATCATTTTTTCTTTCAAATTCAATCAAACAAATTTTGTGCTTGAGTGGTTGTGTGTTTCTGTGAGACTCTGCGGCCATCTTCCATACAGAGTAAGACCACTAGACACAGGCTGTGGTGAGCTTACAGCCACCAGCTAGATGAGCAGCGGTGTCAGCCCTCGGCCCAGCTGCTGGGGGCTGCCTGCTTGTAATCATGAAACGGACTGGAACCAACCTCCTTTCCCAGGCCCCGAGACAGGGTGCAGTCTATATAAACCTTTGTTCTAACCAGTGAGGTGGGGAGTTCACGAAGGGAAGGAGGCTGGCCCAGCACATGGCAGAAGAGGACAGTGGTCTTACACATTAAGGTCCTCAACTTTTTGGTGTGGGGGGTGCTGGGGTGACACAGGTAGCCCTGACTATCCTGAACTCTGTCCCACTTTCCATGGAAGATTTAGAAGTCTCCGTTGATTTGTTGGAGCTGGAGAGATGGCTCAGTCATTAAGCATCCTTGTTGCTCCTACAGGGGACCCAGCTTGGGTTCAAGCATTCACGTGGATCAATGTCCTCTTCTGATAGCCATTGTTATTTCATGCACATAATGTACATAATACTCATATACATACAGTACATACATCTGATGAAAATGTTGGAGCTGGAGAGATGGGTCAGGGGTTAACTCTTCCATCACTGGGACAGCGGCAGCTCAGAATTCTTGTAACTTTCTCCAGCCTCAGGGTAACCGACAGCACAGGGTGTACACAACATATACACGACATACACTAAGTCATACAGACCTCTGAGGGCACACACTGAACATAGACATGTCATACACTAACATGGTGATATAGACCTCTGAGGGCACACACTGAACATATACAAGACATACACTAACATGGTCATATAGACCTCTGAGGGCACACACTGAACATAGACATGTCATACACTAAGTCATACAGACCTCTGAGGGCACACACTGAACATAGACATGTCATACACTAACAAACATGGTGATACAGACCTCTGAGGGCACACACTGAACATGTCACACTAATGTAGTTTTCAACTAATGTAAATTAAAAACTTTTTTAAAATGAAAAAAAACCAGTTTTGTGCCAAATCACCATGCCAGCTATTTTTTTTTTTCTGTGCTGTGTCCCTTCCTGCAGAATTGTGTATTAAAAACCACTATCCCTCCTCTCTTAAATTTGATTTAGTCCCAACTATCCTAGTTCTAACTGTTCTGAGACCAAGCTGGGGAAGCAGTGAGTTTATTGAACCTCCTCACAGAGCATGAAGGAGTTGTTTACTAAAGGTCGGGGCATGGGTCATCCTGTCCCGTGTGCCCCGTCCCTACCTTCCTGCAGATTATACATACTCATTTCCCAGACTCAGAGGACAAGTGCAGTTATGACAGAATTACATACAAATAGCTGAGGACAGCTATTAGGACTTCAGATGAGGCGCCAACTACATCAGTGGGGACTCCCTAGGGACCAACAGTGGGTTGGTGGGATGACCTCTTACAAAGCACAGGTCATCTATGAGTATGGAGAAGAACAACCAAAACATTTGCTGGTGCTGTACCAGAAGATCCATTGGAGGGAACCTTCATCTGGCGATGGATGGAGATAGAGACAGAGACCCACACTGGAGCTCCCAAGGTCCAAAGGAGGGGCAGAAGGAGGGAGAACATGAGCAAGGAAGTCAGGACCGCGAGGGGTGCGCCCACCCACTGAGGCGGTGGGGCTGATCCAATGGGAGCTCACCAAGGCCAGCTGGACTGGGACTGATGGAGCATTTGATCAAACTGGACTCTCTGAATGTGGCTGACAATGAGTGCTGACTGAGAAGCGAAGGACAATGGCACTGGGTTTTGATTCTACTGCATGTACTGGCTTTGTGGGCGCCTAGTCTGTTTGGATGCTCACCTTCCTAGACTTGGATGGAGGAGGGAGGACCTTGGACTTCCCACAGGGCAGGGACTGGAGAGGTGTAGGGCCCGGGTCTACCCTTGTTCCTGGGGTGCATGTTGAGGACAGTTTCTGGTCAGTTAACTAAAGCATTCTGTTTGTTCCGGTGCTCCCCTTGCCCCGCCTGGTGATTAGCTGTAGGGCATCGTTGACTCCATCTTTGGTGTGGTAATTTCCCACCTGCCCGGGCAGAAATCCTTGTGCAGCAGCGAAGTGTGTAAGGATTTCCCCAAGGTTGAATAAATGGCATTCAGCTGATCTCCTTTCGAATGACCCAGGTCTCTTTGTGTGTTCTTTCAATCTCCAGGCCCTTGCCTGACTCGCGCTTACTGTACCGAGGGGTAACACAGAATCGGGTGTTAGAGAGGGAGGGGGAGGGAAATAGGAGGAGGTGGAAATTTTTAATTAAAAAAAAAATTGCTGGTTTGAGCCTGGTAAGGACTCCTCTTTCCTGAACATTTTACCCCCTCCTGCCAGTTAGCCAACAGCATCAGGTTGTCTAGTTCCCACTAGCGGGATCAGATGGGGAAGTTCTGCCAGGAGCACAGCCACGGCAAGGGGATGCTGAGTGTGAGTGGAGCAACTGCAGCTTCCTGGTCCACTCTCTCGGGCCTGAGATTGGTCTGGAGAGCTATCCTGCTCCGCTCCAGCGCTGTCCACTGCAGCTTGGCTTTGCTGTGTGTGTCTGTTTCTCATTCCTGGCACCCCAGTCAGAGTAATACAAGTCAGAGTAATACAAGTCAAGGCCAGAGACCCGGTCAGAACTTAGGTCAGGGACAAAAGGAGACAACCATTTTAATCAGTGCTTGCTAACTTGGTTTGGGTCTTAGCACACCCTTTTTGCAAAACAAATTACTTTGTTGTGCTTTTGCTTGTGTGTTCCTTTATGCAAGCAACACTGAGGTTATTCTTTGTCTAACACTGGGAAGCACTTACACTTCTACAACAGGGGTGGTACAGATCAATGTACAGATCAATGGGGAAGCCCTGAGCATCACACAGCTCAGCCCTGAGCTTTTAATACAGCAATAATTGGTTATATGGACTTTTGTCTATTCCAGTTTCAGTCCTTAAATGCTATATTTTTCTAAGTGTCTTAGGCCGAAGAGACGGCTGAGCAGTGAGGAACATGAAGTGCTGAAGTAAGAGCTCCAGCTTCAGGAGACCCAATGCCTCTGGCTATCACAGGTACCTGGACTCAAACCCACACACATGCAAACTTATTTGGGAAAATAACAAACACGAACCTTGAAAATACTTCTTAGGTCCTGGTATGTTGTTGCTGTGGAATCCTTTTGTGTACTGTAAAGATTTGTCACTCCAACTGGTTTATTAAAAATCTGAGTGCCTGGTAGCCAAGCAAGAAGTATTGTCAGGACAACCAAATTAAGGATGCTGGGAGGAAGAAGGGCAAAGTCGGGAGTCACCACAGATGCAGAGAAGCAGATGGACATGCTGTACTGAACTGAGAAAAAGTGCCAAGCCAAAAAAGCAAGGCATAAATAAAAATATGAGTTAATTTAGATATGAGTTAGATAGATAGGTAGCCTGAGTTATTGGCTGAACATTTATAATGAATATAAGCCTCGGTGTGTTTACTTGAGAGCTACTGGCAGGACAGAAACGTCTGCCTAAAATATGTATTCACAGTAACACCAAAGAAAGCAATGGGGAGAATTGACGGTTACTAATAAATGGAGAAATAATAGATTCAGAGCAAGGAAGATTGTAGCGAGTGTGAGCGTCACAGCTCTGGAGCTGCAATGAAAGCCTGACTTATGGAGAAGCCAGGCTGAATAGAGCTGCAGACACCTAGAGACTCTGTGGTGTGAGGCTGTAGTCCAGGGGACAGGTCCCCGCAGTACTGTGCACATTTAGACACACCAGGAAAGAGTTTATCCACACAACTGCACCACAGAGTGCAGGCTCTCACAGAAAACCATCCAAATAAAACACTGGCCCATCCAAGCCAGGAGGAGCTTCCTGGCTGCAAGCAGCTGCCTGCTGTGGTAAGTGCTCACGGCACCCTGGGAGGTAGCATTACAGTCACCACTAGACAAGAAACAAGAAATGCAAATGACTAATAAGCAGGAAATCTGGAAATATACTGAGTTCTCACTGGGCATGGTACATATATCCTCCACACTGGTGGAGGCGGGAGAATCCTGAGTTGCCTACATAGAAAGTTCTGGCACTCTGGGCTACATGAGATTTGGTTTCAAAAACGAAAACAAATCAGTCTTTTGGGGCTAGTGAGATGGCAAAGTGTGTAATGGAATTTGCCACGTGACATGGCCAGCCTGACAATGCCCCAAACCCACATGTATCGATATTTTGTTTGTATCTAACAGATAAAGCTTGCCTGAAGATCAGAGTGCAGAGCTAAGCCACTAGTTAGCTACAGAGGCCAGGCAGTGGCGGCACACACCTTTAATCCCAGCACTAGGGAGGGATTCAGGAGTGACATGGCTAGGTGGAGAGAGGAATAGAAGGCGGGAGGAGACAGGAACAGATGTAGACTCAGGTTTCGTAGATTCAGTCTGAGGATTCGTAAAGACAAGATCACCCCCTTGGTCTGAATGTGCAGAGGTAAGAACTCTCTAGTGGTTGACTACTCTGCTTCTCTGAGCTTTCAGCTTTAACCCTTATATCTAACTCTGGGTTTTTCCTTGTTTTTTCAAGACAGGGTTTCTCTGCGTATCTTTGACTGTCCTGGAACTCACTCTGTACACCAGGCTGGCCTCTGCCCTCCGAGTGCTGGAATTAAAGGCATGTGCCACCATGAACGTCTGGCTCTGAGGTTTTACTAATATCAATCAGAATTCGTGCTACAGCCACACACACATGGAAGGAGAGTACTAACTTCAAATAGCTGTCCTCAGGCCTCCACGCATGTGCTGTAGCATGTGCACACATAATAATAATAAAAATGTAAACTGAGTCATTTCTTTCTGTAGTTCTTTGAAGGTGTGTACATAAATATAATTCTATCTGCGTTAGTGTTAACTTATATAGCATGGGTGCTGTAGCAGCTGCTCAATTCTCTCAGGAACTTGTGGGAAGGGGCAAGCCACACCAAACAGTCCGAATGCTGCTGGGGCTACAGTGACACTGTACAGAATCAAGAAGGAGGAAGGAACAGGGAGTGAGAAGGTCCAGGAATAGTGGAACTGGGCCGTGAATCATGGTCTCCTGAACTAATTTATGCTCAGTAGACAGACAATGAGCAATTTCTGTAGAACTGAGTTTCTTCAGATGCCGACAAACAGAACTGCAGAGAAATTCAATTTGCTTAGTGTGTGCGCGTTCCTTGTCACGACTCTTAGCACTTAGAGACACACAGCACTTAGAGAGCACAGCTGCCTTTAATGCGGGGCTCAGCAGAGGGACAGCGGGACGTGGTCACTGCGGCCAGGCAGCCCCGCTTGCACTAGGCGCTGGTGCTCACAGGGCAGCACAGAGCCGCTCTAGCTGCCCGGGGTTGCAGTTACTCAGGAACTTCAGCTCCTTCCTCCCTTCTTCCGTCAGAGCTGGAACAGTCAAACACACAAATGGCAGTTTTTTCCTACTCCAAACTGTAGCCAGGGCTTCCTGTTTAGCTCACTACCCCCTATCAACCCTGAGCTCTCACCCCTCCACCTCCAGCTCACTACAATGCCACACTCTTATGTTCCACCTCCAGTTTCAGCTTCTATTAGCTTAAACTTTGCTTTTGGTTGGGCTAGAGATCAAATCCAGGGCTTGCAAGGCACATGCTAGGCAGTGACTCTACAACCAATTGTTTCTAAGCCAAGTCTTATGTTGCCAGTGTGACCTGGGACCACAGCAGGCATCACTGGCTCCCTGTTACTCAGGGATAGAGCAGTTTACTATCTGCATGACGAGAAGCAGACACACAAATACCTAGAATGCTCACAATGCGAGCTATCAGGTCTGCCAGTAAGAGTCCCAGAGCTTCCTCAAGAGGCAGAGGCAGGTGGATCTCTGTGAGTTCAAGGCCAGCCTGGTTTATAACAGCCAGTTCCAGGACAGGCTCCAAAGCTACAGAAAAACTCTGTCTCAAAAAACTTAAAAAGAGTTAAGAGCTTTTGAACCCAGGTGTGGATCTGTGCTGAGACTTCAGCTCAGGAGGCTCAGACAGTAGCCCAAACACAGACACACGGTGAGACACTGCTCTAAAAAAAACAAGAAAAAGGACAAAGATAGCAAAGATCTGGTTTGATGATAACATCTCAATTAGTATCACCCCTTCTGAGTGTCTCAGCACTGCTGTCTGATGTGAGCACACCGAGTAAGTGCTCCCCAGTGTGATGGCCGCAGCCTAGACACATGGAAACTATCCAGGAGCAGGCCGGAAAATTGTTTCCTTCTTTAGCACCAATGCTTTGTTCTGAACAAGGTGAGAATTTAAGCAGAAATGTAATTTCTTTTGTAAATTAAAATGCAGCCACTTTCAAATAGTATTTTTGTATTCTCTTATTATATAGAAAAAGTCAAAAGGAAAAAAAAGGAAATACAAAATATATAGGTCGCTGCTGAGGGTAAAGAGCAAGGCCTGGGGCTTGACTGGGTCACGCACTGAGTGCTTGGGCCCACAGCCGGTGGCTCTGAGAACTTGTAGGATTAGGGGCTCAGCAGAAGGGAGCAGTTCTTTTCTCTAGGCCTTTCCTTTCTCTCTGCCTCTCTGTTTCCTGTCTTCACTGACATGAACACCCTCTGCTCCTACACAAGCAAGATCATGGAGCCAAGTGGTCACGGCTGACCCTCCTGAAGCTGAAGCTGTGAGCCAAAATAAGCTACGGGTACCCAGGTCATGGTGATACCAAAATGCCCTGTGCACTAACTCAGCAGACTGTGCAGTGAGCAGCGCGGCAGAAGAGTGGACACACGACTGACCTTTCTCATGCTGAAGCCAATTATTTTCTAGATAATACTGGAAAGAACTTTCAAATTCCTTTGGATTATAGTTGGAAATGAGGATGGGAAGGAAAGGGTCTAAGGCATCAAATCCTTCCTGGAGAGGAGAAGGATGAAAGACAGTGTTAGTCCAACGAGAAATGAGCTGAGACCACCTGTGCTGTGAGGACAGGGCCTTTCTTCCGTTCAACTCTAAGCCCACTCGGCCTTCCTGCCTCACAGAGGATGGCTACATGTTGGCTAGTGACTTCTTCTATCGCCTTTGTAAGTTTGAGGCCAGCCTGATCTAAACAGGGAGTTCCAGGACAGCTAGGGCTATACAGAGGGACCATGTCTCAAAACAACAAGATAAAATAAAAGAGAGAAGTGGGGGCTGGAGAGATGCTCGTTAGTTAAGAGCACATGGTACTGGAGAGCTGCCATGTTTGAGTTCCAGCACCCACATGGTGGTACGCCCATCTGTAGTCCCCGTTCCAAGGGATCCAAGAGACACGTGCATGCACTCAGACATATAAGCAGTCTCTAGAGCAGTGCTTCTTAACCTTCCCAATGCCACGACCTTAAATTGTGGTGACCCCAACCAGAAAATTACTTCTGTTGCTGCTTCATAACTGTAATCTTCCTATTGTTACAGATGACAATGTAAATATCTGATATGCAACCCCAAAAGGGTAGGGAACCATAGGTTGAGAATTCTTGCTCTATGTCTACGGTTACTCTAATGGAAACAGGGAAACGTGACCTTTCCCAGAAGCTCGTGCGGCAAATATGCGGCTCGGGACTTGAAGAGCGACCCGGTTTGGCTCAAACTCAGCACAATTGCACCTCCATGCTGAAAAAAAGACAAACAGTAGAATTTTATAGAGATGGAAATGACAGCCACTCATCAGTCCTCTGTAGGTATGACCCACAAGTGTCATGACAGCACAGCTCAGCATGATTACTGCAACAAATCAGTTACTGCTTCTTGCTTTGGCTCTGACACTAAGTCACTACAAGACCTTAAGGTTACCACAGTATACTTCTGCTCGTCAAGTTCTTCTGCAATGCCAACAAGCCTACCACTTTAAGCACTTGAATGAAGCAGAGGAATTTAAAGTGGCGGCAGAGTGAGTTGTAAGGTGGCCTGAGCTACAAAATGAATCATATCTAGCTGTCTGTGGGCTTGGTGGTTCATGCCTTAACTTCCAGCACCCAGGATGCAGAGCTCTGTGTGTTCCAGGTCAGCCAGGACTATACAGTGAGACCCAGCCTGAAATAAAAATTATAGTATCTTAAAAAAAATTATAGTATTTTTTGTTTGTTTGTTTTTAAAGACAGGGTTTATCTGTGTAACAGTCCTATCTGTCCTGGAACTCACTTAACAGTGAGTTTGAGGCCAACCTGGTCTGAGATCCGCCTGCCTCTGCCTCCCAAGTGCAGGGATTAAAGGCATGCACCACCACTGCTGGCAAAATTTTAATGTCTTAAAAAACAAACAGGGGGCTGGAGAGATGGCTCAGAGGTTAAGAGCACTGCCTGCTCTTCCAAAGGTCCTGAGTTCAATTCCCAGCAACCACATGGTGGCTCACAACCATCTGTAATGGGGTCTAGTGCCCTCTTCTGGCCTGCAGGCATACACACAGACAGAATATTGTATACATAATAAATTAAAAAAAAAAAACCAAACAAACAAAAAAAAGAGACAGACAGACACACACTAGTGAGGAGGCTCAGTAGTAAAGGAACTTTCTACAGGGTCACTCTACACAGCTATGAACAATAAGATAGAAGAACAATAAAGCTGGCAGCACACTTTCCTCTGCGCATCTTGAGAATCTGGGGCACTTACCCAATCATTTTTCACCATTTTCCTTAGGCTGTGGACCAGGGATAGTTCCTCCGGGGCAATCTACATGTTGCCAACAAGAGAGCAGAGACATTAGGACTTTACTTTTCTGGCTGTTTCCTGAGAAAATTGAACGGATAATTAGATAAAAGGTCAAGGTTTTTTTTTTTTTTTTTTTGGAGACAGGGTTTCTCTGTAGTTCTGGAGCCTGTCCTGGAACTAGCTCTTGTAGACCAGGCTGGCCTCGAACTCACAGAGATCCACCTGCCTCTGCCTCCTGACTGTTGGGATTAAAGGCGTGCGCCACCACCGCCTGGCTAAATGAAAAGTTTTTAACTACTGTAACCACAGTACGAGAATATTCTTCCTCTGGAGTAAGAGAGGAAGAGGCAGGCAGGAGGAAAGAGGATGACTGTCCCAAGTGCACCTTCCTCCCTTCATATTTCTGATCTCTACATGGAAAATAGCAGAACCAAGGAAGAAAGCAAAGCTCCTGGGGCTCCTGCTGTCCTTGTTCATGTTCCCTTGGCTTGCAATGCACGATGGAGCATGTGACATCATGTGCTGGGTAATCTGTCAACTTCAACTGGGAGATTCTGCCATCAGACTGGCCCAGCGACAGCCTGCAGGACATTTTCTTGATTACTGATTGATGTGGAAGAGGGAGAGCAGCCCACTGTGGGTGGTGCCATCTATGGACAGGTGTAAAGAAAACAAACTGAACTGGATGGTGGTAACCCACAACCCTTAATCCCAGCACTCAGGGAGGCAGAGGCAGGTAGACTGTTCTGAGGCCAGCCTAGTCTACAGAGTGAGTTCCAGGACCGGCTCCCTAAGCACTGGGAAACCCTGCCTCAGAAAACAAAATAAGAAAACTGAGCAAGCAAGGAGGAGCAAGCTGGTAAGTATCACTCCTCCGTGTCCTCTCTTCCTCAGTGGACGACTGCCATATGGACCTGTCCTCTCACCCACGAGGAGTTGCTTTGGGTCATGGCGCTTCATCATGGCAAACGAGGCCTACTAAGCCGGGCGGTGGCAGCGCACGCCTCTAATCCCAGCACTCTGGAGGCAGAGGCAGGCGGAGTTCAAAGCCAGTCTGGCCTACAAAGCTAGTTCTAGGACAGGCTCCAAAACTACAGAGAAACCCTGTCTCGGAGAAAAAAAAAAAGAGAGAAACCTTGTCTCAGAAAACAAATAACAACAACAACAAAAAAGCATGCAAACTAAGACTTATCTTTCCTAGTTTCTTTGTTTGGTTTTTCAAGACAGTTTCTTTGTGTAGCTCTGGAGCCTGTTCTGGGGTTAAAGGCGTGCGCCGCCACTGCCCAGCTGACACATCTTCTTTTCTCTTTTGAAGCTAATTCACTGTGTTCCTCCCCCTTTTTATAGTGTAGAGATTGCAGTCTGTGCCCATTTAGGCTCACCATAGAGCTACTGCTGGCTTGTTTCCAGTTATCTTTTTGTTGTTTTTAAAGATTTAGTTTCTGGGCTGGAGAGATGGCTCAGCGGTTAAGAGCATTGCCTGCTCTTCCAAAGGTCCTGAGTTCAATTCCCGGCAACCACATGGTGGCTCACAACCATCTGTAATGGGGTCTGGTGCCCTCTTCTGGTCTGTAGGCATACACGCAGACAGAATATTGTATACATAATAAATAAATAAATATTAAAAAAATTTAGTTTCTTTATTTTTATTTTTTTAATCTTTTATTGAGACAGAGTTTCTCAGTAGCTATGGAGCCAATCCTGGAACTTGCTTTGAAGACTAGGTTTGCTTCCAACTCACAGAGATCCATCTGCCTCTGCCTCCTGAGTGCTGAGATTAAAGGCGTGCGCCACCACCACCCAGCAAGCTTTATTTTTATGTTATATTTTTCCTAACAGTATGTACGTCTACTGCATGAGTGCTTGGTCCAGAGTTACGGATGGTTCTGGACTGCCATCTGGAGACCAGGAACCAACCTGGGTCCTCAACAAGGGACCCAACGCAGCTGTTGTTCCAGTTCCAAACGTAATTTAAACTCCAGGGCAAAAAAGCATCCTATGTGGCCCTCCCAGGAAAGTAGCAGGCCTTGTGTATGACAGAATCAGAGCAAACAAATATTCCTACCAGGGTCCTGTCTTCTCTTTTCAGTGTGGTCCTTCCCCAGAGGGCATTGACCCCATCCACTGCTACCAGGAGGCGGAAGTGTCCTTCGGAACTCTGGCTCCTAAGCTCCTTCATCACGATCCCGACGGCGTCTGTGGCATTCCTCACGCGTGTTATGCCCTGTTCAACAACTTCTCCCAGAGGGCTGCCCTTCTCAGTGCTTTCTCTCTTGTTCCAAACGTACTTCCCCTGAACTTTTATCTAAAGGTAGGCAGAGAAAGAAATGAAAGAAGCTGAAGCCTTTCCCGACAGGGACTCAGCTGAACCACAAGGGGGTGCAATGTGGAAATCAGACCTCCAAAGCTAAGGCTGTCACATAGAGAAACCCTGTCTCAGATTTTTCTGTGCTGGGAATAAAGGTGTGAACTGCCACACCTGGCCCTTCCAGCTAAAAGGTCCAAACATCATCCTGCACACCCCATAGTGCTCATCAAATCCCAAGCTTCAAGCATACTAGGTAAGTGCTCTCTACTGACCTATACCAAGCCTTGGCATTCTCATTTTCCTTATTTCCTTTGTTCTTGTTTTTTTTTTTAAATAACAGGGTTTCCTTGTGTAGCCCTGGCTGTCCTGGAACTAGCCCTGTAGACCAGGCTGCCTCTGCCTCTAAGTGTGTGATGAAAGGCCTGAGCTACCACCACCTAGCTGGCATTCACATTCCCTAATACCTTTATTTACTTGTGCATGTGACCATGCATACATCCAAATATACAAAGTTAGCATGCTCTCCCATCAGGTTGAGAGGCACAGCGGCAAGCGCGCCATCTGCTGAGCTCACCCTGTCAATGCACTATTGCCGCAGACTGTACAGTGGGGAAGCCCCAGTTAGAGCTCAATCTAAGATGCCAGAGGGCTGGGTATTATGCATTCTGGGGTGAGGCTGAAGGACTGTAAATTCAAGGTCACCTTGGGGTACATAGTAGGCCCAGAGCCAGTCCAAACTACAAAGGAAACGAAACAAAACAAAATAAGACTGGAATGAAATCTTACTTTCACGTTTTTGGTTTATGTGGAGGAAAACCCTACTGCTGGCCATGTGCTTGTGGAGGATTAAGTTCCCCCAGAGAGAGTGATATTTACCAGGCACTCAATGGACAGCTTATAGCTGTTGTGAGTCCACTGTGAGCTAAAATATTAAAGGAATACAAAATGGCTTATTTATTATTAATTGCAATGTCAAGTCTCCATAGCACTCAAGGTGCAAAGATGGAATCTGGACAAAGGTCATCCTGTACTGAATTCCTAGCATGCAGTCACCTGGCTCAGGAAGCGCTTATTGGTGGTTTTGAAGTTCTTCAGCCAGGTGGACGCCTCTAGGGGCTGATCGAAGCGCTCTTTGTTGTAGGTGGACTGCAGAAGCTCCCGGCAGTTCTTCACCCAAAGATGAGCTTTTTAAAAAAAAAAAAAAAAAAAAGGCGTAAAAGTGAGGTAACCCAGACACAGAAAGACAAACACAGCATAAGTGGATATTAGACATAAGACAAAGGATAAGCAGCCCACAGTCCACAACCCAGAGAAGCCAGGAAACAAGGAGAACCCTAAGAGAGACAGATATGGATCCCCTGGGAAGGGCAAATAGAAAAGATCTCTTTAGTAAATTGGCAGTGTGGGGGGAAGGGAGTAGGAGGCAGGGAGAACACGAGGAATTGGGAAGACTGAGCTGGTAAAGGGCAGAGAAGGAGGGCAAGGAAAGAGATGTCTTGATTGAGGGAGCCATTGTAGGGTTAGCGAGAAACCAGACACTAGGGAAAATCCCAGGAATCCACTAGGTTGGCTCCAGCTAAGAATCTAAGCAGAAGAGGAGAGGGGATCTAGAATGCCCTGCCCCTGTAATCAGATTGATGAATACCCTAACTGTCATCACAGAACCTTCATCCAGGAACTGATGGAAACAGATGAAAAGATCCCCAGCTAAGCCTCCCCGAGTCTAGTCACAGGGAGGAGCGATAATATGAGCATGAAGGGGAAACATAGAAACAATGACCCAAGCTAGTGGGCGCTCACCAGCTCTGGACTGACAGCAGGAAAACCAGCGTAAAAGACGAATTAGGCCCTCTGCAAGTGGGGGACAGTTGTGGGCCACTAGCAGTGGAACCAGGATTTATCCCCAGTATATGATCTGGCTTTTTGGAAGCCTCTCTGCCTAGCTTAGATACAGGGGAGTGGACCGTGGTCCTGCCTCAAGTGATGACAGACTTTGCAGACTTATTTAAAAAGAAAAAATTAAATTAAAAATAAGTAAATAAAAATTGGTAGTGAGTCAACATGACAGTTCACTCAATATCTTATATTCTGATTATAATGCAATGCTCAGAGATCAAGAACATAAAGGATCAGTCCCCAGTACCATCACACACAAGAAAAAATGTCCATATCGTATTTTGGTATGTTTGTCTAATTTGAAGAGTCACGCACAGGACTGGAGAGACGACACAATGCCTAGGAGCACTGGCTGCGCTTGCATGGAACCCAGGTTCAGTTCGCAGCACCCACACAGCTTCCTCTGCATAGCCTGGCAGGCAGACCTGGAACTCAGCATGTAGACCAGGCTGGTCTCAAACTCACCTCTGCATCCCAACTGCTGAGATTAAAGGCATGTGCCACTACCACCCAGAATACTGCCTTTTTCTTTGTGCAGGACTGCACAGGCTCTGAGAGACTCACAACTGTAACTGACAGGACAAAAAGTGGTGTGTGGTTGTAGCCGGGAGACAGGGAGGCAGGAGGGGTTTGTTTCAGCTCAAGAATTCAGAGTTATTATGGGCACTATAGCATGGCCATGATCTCTTAGGCAGTCACAGAGAAGATACACAGGAAGCTCGTACCATCCGGGATATGCAGAACCAGCCAGTCATGTTTTGCACAGAAATGAACAGCATGGCAAAGACTGAGAGTTTTTCCTGTTCCCTTCTCCCCATCTAAAGCGTGTGTTAAAGAAAACATCGTCATGAGGAAGGCATTCCCCACCCATAGCGTTTCACACCAGGTGTGGTGGTGCATTTGGTCATCACAGCACTCAGCAGCAACAGCACAGGCAGATCTGCAGGAGTGTGCGGCCAGCCACTGATACACAGCAAGACCTTGTCCCAAACCCAGCATCTCCTTCTCCCAAAGGAGGGGAGAACGTACAAGGACCCAGGCATGTGGGAAAGGATACAGAGAAGATACCGCACAGCGGGGTGAGTGAACTTGGTATTTTTCAGGTAGCCCAGAAGCTCTAGAGCTGGCTTCCTTACCATCAGACAAGCTTCACCGAAAGTCTTCACCTAGGCAAAAAGGAGGAGGAGGAAGATGGGCGTGAAATTCTAGCCATGTGCATACTGAGACGGACACCACACACCACCGCTCATCCAAATGCAGTTATGAGAGCCTGGGTTGGCACCGAATTTGAAATCAATCCATGTATTTTAGCTAAAGTCTGAGGTACATTGTTTCATATCAAGTAACATAAATAGGTAGCTTTTGATGATTATTTTAAAAATATGTATGTATGTATGTATGTATTTTATGTATATGAATGTTCTACTTGCATGAATGATAGAAGGCACCAGATCTCATTATAGATGGTTGTGAGCCACCACGTAGATCCTGGGAATTGAACTCCATCTCTGGAAGAGCAGCAGTACTCTTAACTGCTGAGCAATCCCTCCTGCCTGATGCTTCTTCTTTCCATGTACTTATTTTGTGAGGATGGGGACGGAAATTCAGCTATGGACTAGCGAACACTACAGTTACTACAGTTTACCTTTTGTTAGCCACTTAAGTACACTATAGAACTAGGTAAATATTCTTTTATAAGCAGTACCCTGCACTTACCATATACATACATTTTTTTGTTTTTCTCTTGCTTTTTTACCATAACACAAGATCTCGTGCAGACAGTGAGGACCCTGAAGATCATTCAGCTTCTTCCTCGCAGAGCACTAGGCTGGCAGGTCTGGGCTAGCACAGACAAGGGTTTGCACTGGGACCTCATACTGTAGCCCAGGGTGGCCTATTACTCAACATACAGTCCAAACTGACCCCCAAACTTGAAGCAAGTCTTCTCCTGATGACTCTCAAGTGCTGGGATTACAGTTATGTGCCAAAATACCTACATTAAATTCACTTAAAAAAATATCATCTGAATGCCACGATTCCAGGAATCCTGCTCAGAAATTCACAGAAAAGGGTACTGCAATGTACTTAAGTGGCTAACAAAAGGTAAACAGTAGTAACTGTAGTGTTCACTAGTCCATAGCTGAATTTCTGTCCTTCAGAAATGTCTAAGTTTCTATGTCTCTCATTTAATCCTTTCCCTGACAACTGCCCACTGTACTTTGGGCTTCCCTGTTCTGGTCTCTGTATGAGCACCTACCTGCATCATGTACCTAGGAGGCAGGCCATGAGGAAATACTGTCTTCAGATCATGGAGGGGGATGCTATAGTACTGGCCCTCGTGCTGCTCCCCATGGTTAGCCTGGAAACACAAAGGAACAGGGGCAGGAGGTCACAGAGTGACACGGGCTTTGAAAAGAAGGTAGGCTGGGCGTGCAGTCCTAGCACTTGAAGGCTGGAACAGAATTATCTTAAATTCCAGGCAATCTAGGCTATAGAGACCACACCTCAAAAACAAACAAACAAAAAAAAAAACAAAAAAAACCAACCAAACAAACACAACAAACCACCACAAAAACAAAAAAATCCACAAACCAAAACAAACTAAAAATTCCAACAAAAAAACCACAACAACCAAAAAAACAAAACAAAACAAAACCTGAAATCAAAACACGCCTAAAAATAAGCTAACCACAACAAAGAGCAGCAACTCCTGCCAGGCAACACAGGGGCAAACAGCAACGTCTCAGAGAGGGGAAAGGATTTCTTTTAGAATAAGCCCAGGCTGGCCTTGAATGCTGTAGCTGCCTGAGTGCTGGAATTACATAGTGTGCTACTTGTATTTCCACCGAAAACACAGGCTGCTGAGACAGCAACATGGCTCAGGGAGTAAACACACTTGCTCCAAGCTTGACAACCTGAGGTCCAAACAGGAACTACATGGTGGAAGGAGAGCAATTCCCAAAAGTTGTTCTGTGATCTCTATATGACACAGGCATAAATCCATTCCCACAACAAATACATCTAATGAAGTGCTGCTATCACCAAATCCAGTGTATGTTATCATATAAATTTGGTGGCCTGACTAATAAAAGTTAGTTGTTCAGCAATTATTGATGGGGACCAACATGATTTCTGCCACCTGGATTCTTTCATGCTATGAAGAGATGCTTCAGACATGTGGTAAGATCATCTGCATGATGCTGTTTCCATAGAAACCCTAAAGGACTTGAAAAATAGCAGTGAAAGACACTTTAGAGTGACTTCATTAATTTATTCTATTTCATTTTGCATCTGTGAGAACAAGTGAAGGTTAACTTCAAGTTCTAAACATACCCTGATGAAATTATGTTTTGGTAGAGGTATATCTTTTTAAATTTCAACCATCATATTAAGACGGGAAGAATCAGATTGGGAGAAGCACACACAAAAGCTGACGGCTACCTTCACATTAAAGAAAGCAGGGCCTGCACTGACTCCATTTTTAAGAGGTGGTTCAACACTGGCACAGAGAAGAGCCAGGACCCAGGCTGCCAGGCTGTGAACCAGAACGAGGAGCACCACGGCCGCCAGACGCCAGCTCTGGTGAGCTTCTGGACACCAGTACATGACAAATCCTGGGTCCTCAGCACACTACTCAAGGGTTATCCCGCTGCACTTACCACAGCGAAAATTCTACTGCAACATAACCACAACAACTTTGAAGTTTAAAACATACACCAAATGGTTATTAAAGGAAAGCTGCCCCAGCTAAAAGATAAATAATTAGTGCCAAAATTATTTCAGAAGGAATTGGATTTAGGCAATTTTTGTTTGTTTGTTTTGAGACAGGTTGGTCTTGAGCTCAACAGAAATCCCCTTGTCTCTGCTGGGATTGAAGCGAGATTAAAGGTGGGCACCACTATGCCCAGCTAATTTAGCCAATTCTTAATTCAGCAAGATTCATGGCACCAGGTGAATTCATTGTTAAGATCACATTAGAGGACCAGTTAGTGCTGGTGCACACCTTTAATCCCAGCACTTGGGAGGCAAAGACAAGTGAGTCCAAGACCAGCCTTTTCTACAGAGAGAGTTCCAGGACAGTTAGGACTGTTACATAGAGAAACCATCTTGAAAAACAAACCAAACCAACTAAACAAACAAACAATCACATTAGAAGAAACTTGGACTAACTTTGTACTTTCTCTTTCCCCAGCACTGCAGGTTGAGTGACTCGCCCAGGCCATCACCTGAGCATAAGAAAACCAGTTTGCTGATGTGGAAAAGGAGTCCACGGCAACGCAGGAGCCCACCCCCTCCCCACACACAACTTACCGGGTCACTGTCACTGGTGCGGGAAACAGTTCTGGGACGCTCAGCTGGAACTGGATTGCTCTGAGGTGCTTGGGCACTCACGTGTAAAAAACACCGCAGGTCCAACTACAAAAGGAAAGTTTTTAAGTGTCCTAGAGTCATGAGGTTTTTAGATGCTTGTTGTCACAGAGGAGTCAAGCAATGTCTCTAAACATGACATTAAATACATTTTAGTTCTATACAAAATGGATCCTAATAATTCAGTAAATCCAGTCACAGTATTATCCGTTTGGTCTGTCTCAGCACATATATCACTAGGCTAGGGCTCTGTCCTACATGGAAACAAAGATTTCTGTCCTACTGTTCAGGAGTTCAGGGCAGCTACTGATAAGCTAAAATAACTCGGTTTTTGTTTTGGGGAGATGGGGGTCCCAGACCACACTCGCCCCTAGTTTATCACACGCCTGTCTCAGTTTCCCCAGCCTGAGACTATCTGCTGAACCAGCTCTCCTAGCCACACTTACTAATTTGAGTTGAGGTCTTGCTTACCTGCCTGGGCAAGCCTTGCATTCTGGGCTCAGTGATTGCTCTATCTCAGCCTTCTGAGAAGCTAGGAACACAGTGTAGGTGTACCCAGGTGCTCAGTTCAGGAAATTTGTTTAATTCACTTGCACTGTGATGCATGATTCCTAATATTGGAACATTCTGAGGCATAAGAAATGAACCCTCAACCATGAGGGTTAGTGCAGTGTGCGTCAGTGTGGAGGGTCGTAAGCTCACTCACAAGATGTATCTGGCACTGAATTCAGAGGTCTGGCTGCCTCTGCCTTCCGAATGCAGGGGTTAAGTTATACCCTCTTTCCTTTCTTTCTGACAGAGTCTGGCCTTCAACTGTAAAGGTCTGGCTGCCTCTGCCCCATCAGTGCTGCAAGTAAAGGCGTGTGCGTATCTGCCTGTAATGATGGCCAGCAAACTAACAACCTTTCATTAGTGACATGGAATTGGGGGACTATGTAATGTCCAGCTAAGCAAAAAGCTAAGTGAACCACACTCAGGAACTCACAGAATGGTGGAAGGAGAAACAGATGGGATCTTAGGAGACAAATACAGGAAAATCCTAAGGAGAAATCTCAATGCACAGCACATGGGGATGCATGTCTATAAACCAGCATTCAGTAGGGCCAGGAGCTCAAGTCCAGCACGGGCTTGATGAGATGCTCCTAAAGAAAAGAGTCCCCGAGCCTTACAAAGGCGTGAGATTAGGACATGAATTCAAGAGGAACAGAAAAGGGAATTTGAGTGTATAGCCGGGGGAGCTGCCTTATAAGTCCCGGCAACTTCCAGAGTGTAGTGACAGATGTGGCCTGAGAGCTGTAAGCTGGAATAAATCCTCCCCTCCCCAGACTGGTTTTGGGCAGGTGTTTAATCACTGTCTGAAAAATCCTACCGAAGATCACAACCAAGCTTCATTTCAAAATCTCTATTCTTTTTTTTTTTTAATATTTATTTATTATGTATACAATATTCTGTGCGTATGCCTGCAGGCCAGAAGAGGGCACCAGACCTCATTACAGATGGTTGTGAGCCACCATGTGGTTGCTGGGAATTGAACTCAGGACCTCTGGAAGAGCAGGCAATGCTCTTAACCTCTGAGCCATCTTTCCAGCCCTTCTACTTTTTAGACAGGGTCTCATTCCTAGGTGGCCTGGAACTGCAGACTAGGCTAGCCTTCAATTCACATAAATCCAACTGTCTGTCTCCCATCTTGTGGGGCCCAGGGATTGGACGCAGGTTGTCAAATGAAGTGGTATTTCATTGTATTATAACACATAAAGTGTGCTGGAAGAACAGAAAAGTAAAACAGGCACACTGGCCAGCTATTACAGACCAGGCAGCAATGACACACACCTTTACTTCCAGTAGCCACATTAGTTGCCATAGAAACCAGGGATTAATGGTGCACACCTTTAATCCCAGAACCAGAGAAGATTATAAAACAGGAGGAGGCAGCTCTCAGTCTCATTCTGAGATTCTGAGAGGCAGTATCGCCATGAGGTCAAGGTAAGAGCCAGTGGCTGGCTGTTTTGCTTTTCTGACCTTCAGGTTGAACCCCAATATCTGTCTCTGGGTTTTTATTATTTTTGTGCTTCAGTAGAGCTTAGTGTCTCAAGCTTTCAATGTTCTGGACTCAGCATTTCAGTGCAGGGATTACAGGCATGCACACCACATCTGGCACAGATTCCCAGAGTCCACATAAAAGTGAAGGAACTCATCGTCTTCATTTCCACAGGTACAACCCTCTATATACATCATATACAGCAATAATAAATACATTTTTAAAAATGTAGAAAACTGCCAGGCAGTGGTGATGCAAGCCTTTGGGAAGCAGAGCAGGTGAACTAATGTGAGTTCCAAGACAGCCAGGACAAAGAAACTCTGTCCTGAAAACAAAACCAAAACCAAACTCAAACAAGTAGGCTAGGGAGCTGGGGACATGGCTCGGTGGTTGAAAGCACCAGCAGCTCGTCCAGAAGACTCTGGTTTATTCCCGCACTCACATGGTAGCTCACGGCACCTGGAACTGCGATCCCAGGTGATCTGCATCCTCTCTGGCCTCCACAGGCACCAGGAATGCACAAATGCACAGATACATATGCAGACAAACAAGTAGACACATAAATAACAGTAACTAAAACATTCCAGCGTCACAAGGTGGAGCTATTTCTACAGTACTCTGATGACTTCTTAGGTAGTTTTCTTCTTCAGTAAATAAGAAGCTAACAAAATGGATTCCTTATGTCTTAAATAGTTTCTTGAGCTGGGCGGTGGTGGCTCACACCTTTAATCCCAGCACTCAGGAGGCAGAGGCTGGCGGATCTCTGTGAGTTTGAGGCCAGCCTGGGCTACAGAGCAAGTTCCAGGACAGGCTCCAAAGCTATAGAGAAACCCCATCTCTCGAAAAACTAAACCAAAGCAAAAAAAAAAAAAAAAAAAAATTTCTTTTTAAAAGCCTCATTTCTGGGAAAACAAGCCTATGTACAATTCCTTCTGCTTAGTTCCAGAATGGACTTCATGCAGTTCCCCAATTACCAGGGAGTCAAACCAGGTAATCCTGAGCCAAGCAAAAACCATATACATTAAAATATATATATTTTATTTTTATGTGTATGGATATCTGTGCACCACATGTGTCCAATGGTGCCCTCAGAGGACAAAGTGCAAAGGGGTCACATGGAACTGGAGTTATAGGTGGTTGGAGCTGCCGAGTCAGTGCTGGGGATCAGATAAGCATCTTCAGCCAGTGTTTTTTACCACTGAGCCAGCTCTCCAATTATACCTCCTTTTTGAGACAAGTTCTTACTATGTAACTCTAGCTGACATGGAACTCACTATGTAAGCCATACTGACCTTAAATTCAGATGTTTGCCATCTCTTCTCCCTGCCCACTGAGATGAAATGCATGCATCACCACACCTGGCCCTTATTTTTTTCTTTCATGTGCATTCTGCCTGCATCTGCGTGTGCCTCATGCTCAAGACCAGAAGAGGACACCTGATCCTCTGGAACTGAAGTCACAGGTCATCTGCAAGAGCAGCAAGACCTCTTACCTACCAAGCCAACTTTCTTGCCCCAAATGTGTTTTCTTTTGTAATTTTTTTGTTTTGTTTTGATTCTCTAAAATGGATAGAGACTTTTTATAAATCCTAGGGTAGGAACTGGAAAAAAAAAAACAGAAAGAAAACAAACACCTCCTTCCAATCCCAAAGATGTACAAGGAGAATGTAAACACCTCCTTCCAATCCCAAAGATATACAAGGAGAATGTTCCTCTGTTGCAACTGACCCTTCTTCTAGGTCTCATCCTGTTTCTGGCTCTCAAGCAACCAAGGTTTAGCAGTACTCATAAGTGCTGCCCAAGAACCAGACAGCCAGTGTAGTCATGTATTCATGACTACTGAACTGTATGCTTCTGAGGAACATGGAAAGCATGTCATATGTGCACTGGAATGTTTGTTTACACTGTGTGTCTCTGCCTAAGGAGCCTTCTGATTGCTTTAATAACAGCTAAATGGCCAATAGCTAGGCAGGAGAGAATAGACAGGACTTCCAGGCAGAGGCAGAAAGACAAACTGAGAGGAGGAATCTAGGTGTACGATTTTGACACAGGACATATGTTGTGTTTTACTAAGACAAGGTAATCAAGCCATGTGGCAGAACGTAGGTTTAAAAAATATGGGTAAATTAAGTTATAAGAGCTAGCTGAGAAAAAGCCTAAGGAAGGTCAAGCTTTCATAATTAATAAGTCTCCAGGTATTATTGCAGGCTGGTGATCCAAAAATAGTCCAACAAGAAAGCTTGCGAAAGTTAGGCCATCGGCTCTAAAATCCACCAGCTAGCATCTACACTGGCTTTACAGCTTCATGACCTGTCTTCTTAATAGGTTATTTATCCATTCTAATTCATAATTTCCGCAACTTTAAAACAAGGATATTATATTGTCATAAAGATCAAGAAATAAGGCACACACGCATACGTGTGCGGACACACACACACACACACACACACACACACACACACACACCCACCCCTTTAATCCCAGCATTTGGGAGGCAAAAGCAGGCGGATTCTTATGAGTTCTAGGACAGCTGAGGCAACACAGTGAGATCGTGTTTAAAAAAACAAATATAAGCCAGGCAGCGGTAGTGCACGGTTTAATCCAGCACTTTTGGAAGCAGAAGCAGGTGCATCTCTGTGACTTTGAGGCCAGCCTGGTCCAAAATAGTTCCAGGACAGCCAGGACTGTTACACAAAGAAACCCTGTCTCAAGACAGACGTAGAAAGAGACGTGGAGACACTGCTGTCTTCCTCCCTATCCTTGTCACATGCACTTCTGTAGACCAACGGGATTTAACGCCTACATTTGTATAAACTAACAAACACACACAACAAATATTTGGTAAATTATTGAAAAGAATAAAACAAACCAGTAAGATAACATCTTCCCCTCTAAGCAGACAGGTCAGCCTGGACCCTTCTATCTTAATCTCCCAAGCGCTTCTACAGACTGTGACACCATGTCCAATGTAGGACTGTCAGGATATATTTTTGTGTTTTTATGTGTGTGTGTGTGTGTGTGTGTAGGTCAGAAAAAAAATGCTAGATATCCCTTAGACCCGAGGGATGCTGGGGATCCGAACTCGAATCCCTGCGTTTGTTCAGTGTGAGCCCCTAACTCAGGAGTCATCTCGCTGTCCCCATCTTTTTTGAAGGGTAGGGTGAGGAGAGCTGGCAGGGTCTCACGTATTCTAGGCTAGACTCAAGTGTGTCACACAATTGAAAGTGACCTTGAGTGTCTGATCCTCCTGCCCCCACCTCCAAAGTTTGGATTGCTGATTTCTACTTGTTCAGTTCATGTGGTACTGGAACTCAAACCCAGGACTTCTGGGATGTGAGTCAAGTCCTCTACCGAGCTACATTTCCAGTACAAATGCAGGGCTATCTTGTCCTTCCTTCCTGTATGTCATGTATGAATTGTCATGTGCATGCACGTGTGGAGACAAGGGGCTGATTTCAACTGTTTCCCTTGATTTCTTTCTACCTCGTTATTTTATTTATCTATTTATTTTTGAGGCAGGGTCTTTGAATGCATCTGAAACTTACCAATTTAGCTAGGCCAGTCAGCCCACCCACCATGCACTGCAAGGGTCTACCTATGTCCATCCTGCCAGTTCTGAGGTTACACACCCACCCCAGCTTTCACTTGAGAGCTGCACGCAGGTCCTGACTCTTGCCTGCCACTACCACTTTACTAACCAAACTATCTGCCCAGTCTCCAGAGACAGACTTTTTAATACATGATTTTATTCTATTATCAAAAATGTAATGTCAAAAAGCCAACTTGCTTTCCTTTTCAACAGTTCACCTTTACAAAACTTTTAAAATGATAATTACCCTACCACATGTTATCTCAAGCACACTATTTTTGTCTGTGGTTTAGGGAGGCTCACTAGGCAGGCTAGGCTGGCCTTGAACTCCCAATCCTCTTGCCTTAGCTCTCTTAGCTCACACTGGATTCCAGGCACACCTACCTTCAAGCCAACAATTCTGAGAATTTACCTGAAAATGAGAGACGTGAGCAGTCTGTTGGGACTTACCTTCTGGACCCTGGAGAAAAGCCTTGTTATTCCTGTCAACATTGTCTTTGCTCTCTTAAAAAAATAAAGAGACAGAGAAAAAAGAAGGTAAGCCACTATTAAAAGATATTTGCAATATAAAAATCTGATACTATCTAGAATATCATAGAAAATCATCTATGAATCAACAGACTAGGCAAAACACAAAAATAAGCATTTCACTCAGGAAACATTATGGGTAATAATTTTATACATTTTTTTAAAAGTGACATATATTTATTTATTATGTATACAACTCTCTGCCTGCCAGAGGAGGGCGCCAGATCTCTTTACAGATGGTTTGGAGCCACCATGTGGTTGCTGGGAATTGAACTCAGGACCTCTGGAAGAGCAGACAGTGCTCTTACCCACTGAGCCATCTCTCCAGCCCCCTGGGTAATAATTTTAATATCACAAGTCACAAGAATGAAATCAAAACCTCAATAATGAGATGCCAATCATAAACCCATCCACCATCTTAAGAAAAATAAAAAAGTGCCACGCCAATTGTAAAATCCAAATGTATGGGGGGAAAAAAAAATCAACCTTTACAGAGACCTGATACCCAGTGTCAGTCTGAAACCATGGAAGACACCACACCAAAAATACTCGTTTTTTTTTTTTTAGTATACATATTCTTACAATAAAGTTCAATGAATAAATGATGGCATTTTACTAAATGCCTTATTTAAATAAATAGAATCATAATAAATAAGTTACATAAATGTAGTTTCCCCCCTTTCCAGATGGGGTGTCATTATACAGTTTAGGCTGGTGTCTAATTCATGGTCCTCTTGCCTCTGAGCAAGCATTCAGACAGATCTTCTTCAAAATATCTTAGTATACCTTCATCTTCATTTAGATGAAGCACTTTCTACCACCTCTTTGGCATATCTGAACTCCCAGCATTATTACCCTCTCTCTCTTTTAAAATTAAATTTCATTTTTTTTCTCTCTAAATCTCTGGTTTTCCTTAAAATCACAGAGTGCACGCTATCTGTCTCTGCCCCCCCCCCCCCCCCCCCCCCCCCCCCCCCCCCCCCCGCCAAGTGCTGGGATTAAAAGCATATGCACCATCATACCAGGCTCCAGATCACCATCATACCATGCCAGGCTCCAGCATCATTACTCTTAAGCTTCGATCTTTAATTAACGAAGGGCGACTTGACAGTCTCGAGTGCTGCCACTGTTTATCTGATACCTAAACGACTACTAGCTGGCAGCATGGTAGAGTGAACATGGTGGGAAACAAAGGTTCGGGTCCAGGAAAGATGGGGCGCCACAACCCAAGAGTTCAACAGGTCCAGGAAAGATGGGGCGCCACAACCCAAGAGATTCAACAGGTCCAGGAAAGATGGGGCGCCACAAACCCAAGAGTTCAACAGGTCCAGCAAAGATGGGGCGCCACAACCCAAGAGATTCAACAGGTCCAGCAAAGATGGGGTGCCACAACCCAAGAGTTCATCAAGTTCATCAGAATGGCATTCAAATTTGCAAACTGCTCATTGCTATAATTTTGGACCATGGTTGACTTTGAATTTTTTTAAAATATTTATTTATTTATTATGTATACAATATTCTGTCTGTGTGTATGTCTTCAGGCCAGAAGAGGGCACCAGACCTCATTATAGATGGTTGTGAGCCACCATGTGGTTGCTGGGAATTGAACTCAGGACTTGGAAGAGCAGGCAATGCTTTTAACTTCTGAGCTATCTCTCCAGCCCTGACTTTGAATTTTTTAAAGATTTTCTTTTTTATGTCTACAAATGCTTTAACTACATGTATGTATATGTACTATATTTATACCTGATGCTAACAGAGATCAGAAGAGGGCACTGGATCTCCTGGAACTGGAGTTATAGATGGTTGTGAGCCACATGGGAGTGCTGGAAGCTGAACCAGGTCGTCTATAAGAGTAACAAGTATTCTTTTACCTGCTGAGTCATCTCAATAGCCCTATTGTTGACCTTGGATGACTGAATTTATGGAAAGCAAATTCTTCCACAGGTAGAGATTCCTGTACTTCAATGTAACCACAGCTACATAGCATTGACTGAATAACTAAATGAAATCTCTTGGTAATTATTACTTTATACCTGTTACAACACAAATTATTAAATCAATAACATAACAAGAGAGTTGTACCAATACCAGTAAATACCATGAACAAACACACAAACCAGCCTGGAGAGATGGCTCAGTGTTAAGAACATTTGCTGCAGCTGCAATGCACTCAGGCTTGAAGCTCAGCACTGCACAGCAGCTTACAACAGTCTGTAATTCCGGTGCCATGGGATTGGGTGCCCCTTCCTAGACTCCATGTGTACCAGACATACATGCAAAACACAATATTTTTAATAAAAGATGTATTTTCATCTTATGTCTATGGGTGTTTTGCCTGCATGTTTGCAAGGGCACTGCATGCATGCTTGGTTCCCACGTCTCAATCATGGGTGGTTGTGAGCTGCCACACTGGTATTGGTAATCACATACCGTTTTAGTTACCATTTACTTTTTAATTAATTCCTTAATTCAGTCACTCAAGAAAAACATGAAGTACTTCCATGTGCTCACTCATGCAGGGTACAGAGGTGACAAGACTGATGTGGTTTCTACTGGCCTGCCCTCCCCCTTCTTTTTGAGATGGGGCCTTACTATGGAACCTTAGCTGTTTTGAACTCATGACATGGACCAGAGTGGTCTGGAACTCACAGAGCTCCTTGTGCCCAGGCCCCCTGAATGCTGGAATTAAAGGCAGGCTCCACCAGCTCCTGCTTCCCTTTCACCTGCAGGGCTCCAGGGCTCTTTTGCTAGACATGGAAACCACAGCCCTAAAGCATCATTTCCCGAGATATCTGGCGAATACTAACTAGTCCTATAAAATGAACCAATGGACTATGATCAAAGACATCTGAGAAATAATGCACTCATTAACTTTTGATAAATTTAAAATATATATCAAAATTCTTAGGGAAAACTATAATAAAGACCCTTGATTTTATTTCCTTGCTTCCTTTCTTATTTTGAGGCAGAGTCTCATATAGCTCACGCTAGCTTCAAACTTGCTATGTAGCCAAAGATGGCCTCTACCTCCCAAGTACCAGATCAGCAGGTTTGTGCCACTGTGCTGCTAAGAGACTTCCCTTTAAACCACAACCCAGACTTATCCAGCTGAGAATCCCTTTACTGCAGAGCAGCATCAGCACCACTGCAGGTTAGGGTGGAGGCAGCTGCTATGGGGGCAAGGCTGTAGCTCAGAGTGTGGGTTCAAGCCCATGGACAAACCCTTCACCACTCACAGGCTGGAGCATAGCTCTATCTAATGTGTTACCTCTTCTACTTAATTCTCTTGGTCTTTACAAAGTCTTCATTAAGCTGGGACATAGTGGCACACACCTTTAACTTGGGAAGCAGAGACAGGCGGAACTCTGTGAGTCCGAGACCAGCTTGGTTTACAGAGCGAGTTCCAGGACAGACTCGGCCACAGGAGTACTGCTGTGAGATCAGTACTGGCCTGGGCTACAATGTGAGTTCCATGTTAGCCTGAGGTACTGAGAGATACCCTGTCTCAAAAACCGAAACCAAGCTCTACTGCCCCCCCCCCCAGCCAAACCAAAAAACAAACAAAACCACAGTCGCACCAAGGGCTGGGAAGTAGCTCAGCTTGTACAGTGCTTCCTTACCAAGCACAGAGTCCTAGATTTCCTCTCCAGGACTGCATAAAACAGGCACCTGAGAGGTGGAGGCAAGTTCAAGGTTAGCCTACACTACTTGAGACCCTGTCTCAATCATCCTATAGTAAACTACGCTTTGTTTTACTTGTACAGTAATAATGTCAGGGATCGGCTCAGGGCCTTGTGTATAAGACCAAGGCTCTAATGAAAGACGCGCCCGGCTTGCTTGCTTGCTTGATGTACTCATAGGCAGGGTTTCATATTGGGTGCAGACTGGTCCTGAATTCTTTTTTTTTTTTTAAAGATTTATTTATTTATTGTTGAAATAGGAGCGGCGGGGCTGCGTCCCTGGCACCCGGCTGCCCGCATGGCTAGCTTATGCCCGAAATAATTACACGGAAACTGTATTCTTTCAAACACTGCCTGGCCCGGCTAGTTCCAGCTTCTTATTGGCTAGCTCTTACATATTGTTCTAACCCATTTCTGATATTCTGTGTAGCCCACGAGCTGGCTTACCAGGGAGGATCTTAACCTGCATCTGTCTGGAGCGGGAGAATCATGGCGACTCTCTGACTCAGCTTCTTTCTCCCAGAATTCTCTTCTGTCTACTCCGCCTACCTAATTTTCTGTCCTATGAGGGCCGAGGCAGTTTCTTTATTATAATTAACCAATGTCTTTCCTCCATCATTTCCCCTTTTTCTGTTTAAACAAAAAAAAAAAGGCTTTAACTTTAACATAGCAAAATTACATATAACAAAACAGTTATCAAGTAAAAATTACAGTTACAATATTTATATCTATTTTATCTCTTATCATAACTAAGGAAAACTATATTCATTCTTCAACTCCATCAAAGGCTCCAGAAGGATATAATAATACCTAAGTAAACAGGAAGTCCAAAACTCTAGAAATGACAGAGATTATTGTATATAGTTGTATTTGGTTTAGTTCTGTCTTATTTAGACAAAAGGGGGAGATGTAGGGATAAGTCCCACCCCTTAGGGGGCGTGTTCGCCTCAGGCTAAAGTTTTCCTATAAATTTGGCGAGCGTGCTCCCAGCGCTAGCTTCTGCTTTCCTGGTCTCCGCGGGAACAGTGGTTCTGTAAGTCTATTCCTCCATTAAAGCTGTCTAAATTTTGACAATCTGTCTGCATTCGCTTACGCCGTTACAATTTATTATGCATACAACATTCTGTCTCCATGTATGCCAGCACACCAGAAGAGAGCGCCAGATCTCATTACAGGTGGTTGCTGGGAATTGAACTCAGGACCTCTGGGAGAGGATCTCTCCAGCCCCCATGGTCCTGAATTCTTGGCAATCCTCCTGCCTCAGCCTCCCAGATGCTGGGATTACAAGTGTGAGGCACTATGCCTGGCTCCAAATTACATTTTCAATCATTTCAAATAATTATAAGGACAGCTAGGTGTGGTGATGCATGGCTTTGAGCCAGTACTTAGTAAATTCAAGGCAGCCTGCTCTACACAGCAAGGTCCAGGCTACCTGCTGCTTCACAGTGAGACCTCATCTCAAAACAACTAGATAAGCAGAAAATAAAATCATACTGACAAATTAGAATCGGGGCAGGGCTGCCATTCCACAGGCTCAAGACAGCCCTTATCATTACTTTCCCTTCCCTTCCCAGTGACTACAGGCTGCCTTGCTCATGGATCTCTCCCGTTTTTGAAATCTGCAACTTCATTTTGCTCACATTACATCATTGCGATTTGGAGTTTTCTGTGTCTCTGATGAGCAGCCACAATCTTATTTGTAGTTTTTTATTTATCACATCATTTTTTATGTGATATATAGATTTACTACATAATCTAGCAGAATCATATTATGTGGGAAATTATTCTGTCCATCCTATCGTTGTTCTTGGGGGGTTATTGTTGTAGGTTGTCTATTTTTGCTTTGAGACAGGACCTCGTAGATAGGCTTGGCTAGTCTGGGACTCACAGAAATCCATCAGCCTCTGCCTCCCAAATCTGGGATTAAGGGCATGTGCCACCATGCCTGGTTTATGTATGTTAAAAAGCAGACAACAACAACAACAAACCCCTTTATTTTTAGTGTGCATGTATGTGTGGGTTTGAGTGGATCTCAGAGGACAACTCTGTGGAAACAGTCCTTTCCTCCATAACACAGATTATGGGGATCGAACTAATGTCACCAGCCTTTAGTAGCACGCGCCTTCACCCACTGAGCTGTCAGCCCAGTCACTCTTATCTCTGCCAGTTCAATAGCTGAAGATCCATCCATTCCATGAGGTGCCCTCCCCCACCCAGGGGTTCTCTGTGTAGCGCCACCACCACCCAGTCAACGAGGTGCGTTTTAGTGAACACTCTATTGTTTCTGGTAGGTTCTCAGGAATACACAAAAAAATCAGAATATTATTTTACTTGCCTCTACTTAGCTGACATCCATACATAAACTGGTGTACTTACTGAAAGTTACTGGAATTCAGAAACCATTTCAGAGTGCATTTCATACACTGGTGACCAAATTAAATGTAGTGTTTTGGTTTGGGTTTGGGGGTAGCTCAGTGGTTCCATGCTTGTTTATCAATTCTAAGACCCTGGGTTTCATTTGTAGCATCATCAAAACAAAAAACCCAAAGCAAAACAAGCCAAACTGCCCATTCCTCCCGAAAATACTAAGGTGGAGGTTGAAAGAGAAGTCAATTCCATTACAGCATTGAACCTGAGGGTAAAAGACGGGTCACTGTTGTGAGGTATTTGACTACCCTGTTTAATAAAAACTTATGCAGCTAACAGTTAGGCAGGAAGAATAGGTGGGACTTCTAGGCAAAGAAAGGAACTGGGGATGGGTCCAGGCAAGCAGAGGAGATGCCAGGAGAGGCAGAACAAGTCAGAGGTACAGAATGAAAGAAAGGTAAAAAGCCACGTGATAGAACATAGATTGTAAAATATGGGTTAATTTAAGTTAGAAGAGCTAGTAGGACAAGCCTAAGCTACAGGCTGAACTTTCATAATGAATAGGAAGTCTCTGTGTCATTACTTGGAACTGGCTAGTGGAGCAGAGAAAGACTTGTTACAGACTACAGTGGGATTTAAGTGCATCATCAAAGCACAAAATTTTCTATATTTGCAATACAAATGAACACTTAAAAGGCTTTCAGACTTATGCAGCTGCTAGGAAAATTTACTACGGGGGCTGGAGGAACGCTGCTGCTTTCCCAGAGGATCCAGGCTCCATCCCCTGCACCCACATGGTGGGTCAGAATCCAACACTCTCTTCTTGCTTCTGGGATTATTGTACATGAATGCCTCCCTCCCCCACATACATACAGGCAAAACACCTAGACACACAAAATAATAAGAAAATAAATCTTACTATGAAGGCAGCAGGGCAAAGGGAAAAGTTCTGTTTTCAAGATTCAGGTAACTACAGTCTAAAGATCAAGTTACGGCTTTCTGTGGGCTCAAGCTTCTTTACTGGAAAAGGAGGGTAAGATTATCTCAGAGTGTTGCTGTAAGGATTACACAGGGACACGCGTTCTTCCGGCATGGTATTCTTCTATCTATGCTTTCCAATCCTGTACTTTCTTTCACTCCTTCCCTCCATCCTTTGCTGCTGTTTGGAAACAGTCTCACCTAACCCAGGCTGGCCAAAACCTTGCTGTGGATGACCTTGAAGTTCTGATCCTCCTGCCTCCACTTCCTAAGTGTTGAGATCACAGCCTTTAGCGTGGCTCGTTCTAGTACATAAGTAGCTGACACTGACTTTAACATTTGCATTTACTTGGAAACAGACTATGAAAACTTGTAAAGAAGTCAGTGTGCATGCGTGCAAGCACACGCCCATACAAAATTGCATACATGAAGCTATTAAAGAAAGATGAATGCAAATCTAGCTGGGCTCCATTAATCAGCTAGAGCTTGGTTAGCAAAAGTTAATTACACAGCAAGGTAATTAAGGCTGATTTTTTTTTTTTAACTCAAAGAAGAAAACATGAAGACAAATCCTGACCCATACAGGTAATGGGGGAATGTTAGGTCATCTGAAAGCCAGGCGTGGACTCATGCCTGTAATCCAAACACCAGGAAGCCTAAGACAGAAAACTGTCAGAGTCCCAGGCAAGTCAGGGCTAAAGAGACTGTCTCAAAAGACACTCTAAAGATACCCTAATGCCCACCCCCAAAAAGACTGTTTGAATTTTCATTGGATGGGTCTTGGAGATGAATGGAATTCCAGATAAGAAGGGAAAGTGAAATAGCTTGTTCCTCAAAAATTTTGTTCTGCTTTTTGTGGGATACTAAAATTTGGTAAACCAAACATTGGGGTTTTAACATCCCATAGTTTTGAATTCAGTCATCAAATGTCAGAGCACTTTTAAGAAACAGATATTAGCAGTCAAGGAATGCCATAAACCTTGTTTAACTAACAGTTTGAACATAACACAAACTACTAATTTACACCTACAAGTCTTATCAACATCAACAGCACTGTAAATGGTAATGATAATATTCTGCCTTTTTCCCGTGCCTCGGAGCTAATTCTACTTTATATATATTATCTCATTAATTCATACTGCAACCCTGGAGGCATATTTTGGGGTTAGCTAACTTTTCCGCCCAGTAACTTAGAAAAATAACTCGAAGGCCACAAAAGATCAAGTCCAGAAACAAATTCCAAGTGTATGGTTTCTACAGTCTCAACACGGGTCCGAACAATCTTTCACAGGAGTCGTATGAGATATCCTACATATCATATATTTACATTTCTATTCATAACAGCAGCAAAATTAAAGTTATGAAGTAGCAACGAAAAGAATTTTTATGGCTGGGGCTCACAACATGAGGAACTGTATTGAAGGGTCGCAGCATTAGGAAGGTTGAGAACCCTGCTCTTACATCAGGTTTCCAGCTGAAAACCGAGTGTGTGTAATCTTTGAGAAGTGTGCAAAGAGCACACAAACACCGTTGAGGCTAGGCACCCTTTTGAACTCTTACGTTAAATTGCGTTAACATAAAAACAGACCTTCCGCGCTAGTTCTTTCTCCCAGGTCCGCAGCCCTGGGTCGAGAGGATGCCCCCCTCTTGAGGGTCGCTAACTCCGCTGGCCTCACTCCTAACCTCGGGGCGGTTCGGATACACGCTCCTTTCCCTCCATCACCGCATCCCCTGTGCGGCTCAGTCCCCTCACCATCGAGTCTAGCACCAGGACTCCCGCTGCGGTGCCCGGCTCACAGTGCCAGCAGCCTGATCCGAGGTTCCCGTCCGGCGACTGTGAAGCCAACTCCGGGCGTGTGGCAGGAAGCTACCCAGCGCGCAGTCGCCACGGCTCCAACCACAGCCCAGCGGAGGGGCACCGCGCCGCCCGCTCTGCGGCCGGAAGCGGGCAGCAAGCCTCGGCGCGGCGGCGGCCCGTCCCAGGAGGTCGGTGCCCAGGTCTCTTCGCTCGCTACGCCAGCGAGTCCCGTCGCCGTGGCAAGCCGCACCCGCCGTGGCCAGGCCTCTTCTCCCTTGCCCCGGCAGCGCGCGCAATGGAACGTCCCGCGGGGGGGATTGTGGGAGGCGCACGCTCGAGGGGTGGGGGCGAAGGCGGCGGCGGCCGTGGCTGCCGTTGGTAGCCGTGGGGGCGGGGAAGGGAGGGAGGCGAGCCGAGGAGGAGAAGGAGGAGGAGGCGGAGGAGGATCGGGCTCGCGCCGCCGTAGGTACGCGTGAGGGCTGAGCGGGCACCGGGAGCGCGCGAGCGGGCGCCCCGGAGCGAGCGCGTCGGTGTTGCCGGCTCGGGGCGGCGGGAGGCGGCGGCTGGAGGGCGCAGGTCGCGCCCAGTCCAGACACACTCGGAAGCTTGCCGGCGGGCGTGCGCGCTGCGCGTCCGGAGACGGGTGAGGGGGGGGGGGACGGCGGGGAGAGCGCGCGGAGGGAGGAGTGGGAGGCGGGGAGGGGGGCACAAGGCGCCCTTCGCTCGCTCGCTCCCTCCCTCCCTAGAGCCGCCGCCGCCGCCGCCGCCGCCGCTCCCGCCGCCATTTTGGGTTCGCTTTGCGGAGGGGGAGACGATCCCGGTCTCGGTTGCCGGACCCGCCTTCCCTCGGTTTCCCCTTCCCGACCTACGCCTTTGGCTTCTCCTCTGGCGTTTCCGCCGGCCCGCTTACCCGCTGGCCGCCTCCTGACAGCGGGAGGGTTACGGCGTGGACCCGGAGAAGCCGAGGCGCCAGGCTGCCACCTCCTCTTCCCACTTGCCAGCGCTCGGCGCTCTCGGCCTCGCACGGTGAGTAGTGCTGTGCGAGCAGGCCTTTGAAGGCCCAAGTACTCTCTCTCTCTCTCTCTCTCTCTCTTTGGCTGCCCGGGATCCACTGTCACCTCCCGGACCTGGACCTCCGGGAGAGCGGGGTGCGGATGGGGGAGGGGAGAGGAGGGAAAGGGATCCTGAGCTTACCGGGAAGTCCCTCTAGGCGGGGTGGCGGGGTGTCCCTGACCGGCGGGCGCTTCTTTTGGGGGAGGGGGACGGGGAAAGTAAGTGAGTGGAGGCGGAGTCGGCTGTGCCCCTGACAGGTTAGTTTTGTAGTAGGCCTGATTGGAGCATCTCCCAAGATCCAGTTTATGTCTGTCTGTTTAAGGGACAGAAGTGGCCAGGGAGATGATCTTCAGAGGGTAGTTTACCTGTATGAGACTGGTGTTCTCTAAAGGCGGAACTATGTGCAGACATGACATACTGATCTGTTAATAAGTTTAATAAATAAATGTCATTGGTTACTTTGTACTTTGGAAAGAAATGTTTTTGGTCTTCAAGACCAGACGGTCTGTTGGTTATAGCTGCTGTGTTTATGTGTGTGTGTGCAAAGATGGAAAGTGCTCAGGAGGTGACTGCATTTGTGGAAGTGCAGTGGAGTTCCCTTTTAAAAACAAATGCTGGGACGTGTCCTCGAGGTCGATAGTGTACACGTACTTTTGCCTACTAGATAATACAGCAAGCTTGCGAGGACCAGGGAGGGAGGAAACTTGACGTAGCTTGTGTTTTTGAATAGTCAGTTGTGTAAATATGAAAGCCCAGAACATCACCCTCAGAGTGATCAGGCCGAGAATAAGGCCATGTGGATCTATAGTAGTGCTTATGTTAGCATAAGGTTTTTATACTCAGAATGCTTTCAGTTTCTCTGTAATCCTAGAGCTCTGAAAATGATAGGAAAGTAGGAATTTGGGGCGTGAAGAGGTACTCTTCCAAGGTCACATGTTAAATTAGTGGCAAAGTTGGGACTACAAGATATTTTGATTATTAGCTTAGTAATGTATTGCCCATATCATAGTGCCTCAGGAGATTGTTATTGGCAAATATAAGTGTATCTGGAAAGGAGGCATATGGTTAGATTATGCTTGTGAGAGCCTAAAGTGCCAAACGTGTGGAATATATACTGTTCTTCCTGTCTGACCTATCAAATAGGTATTTTAACTGTTTTGTGTTCACACAGCAAGCAGAGCCTTTCTGATAATTTAGTGTGTATGTTTGATAACTGAAATGCTTTCACAGCCTAATTTGTACTTGTGTGGCTGTTGTTTGTTGTTGGTTGGGTTTTTTTTGGGGAGGGTGCATCTGTTTGATTAAACCCAAGGCATTAAACCTGCTAGCAAGCTTTCTACCACTGAGCCACACTGCCATCTGGGCAGTTTAGCTTTATATCTACAAGAGAAAGGATCTTCTTTGTCTCAATGAACAACAACATAATTATTGGATACTTAATAATCGATCCCTGTCTTGGGATAAGAATAACCGCGATCTGTTGATTAGCTTGTGTAATAGCTTGGGGTGCATATGAGGGGAGTTGTCAGCCTATTGAGAGAACAAGTGAATCCATGTGGAATTGAAACCATGAAACCTTCATTAAAAGCCTATTCAGTCTGAGTGTGGTGGCTCACACCTGTAATCCCAGCATTCTGGAAGCTGAGGCAGGAAGATCATGCGTTCGAACCCAGCCTCTGCTTCATAGTAAGTTTAAAGTCAGCCTGGGTTACAAGAGACCTTATCTTAGAAAACAAGACAAGGGGCTGGAGAGATGGCTTAGCGGTTAAGAGCATATACTTGTTCTTCCAGAGGACCCAAGTTCAGTTCCCAGCACCTACTTCAGGTGGCTCACAACCACCTATAGCTCCAGCTCTTTTAATGTCTGCATATAGCCCTGGTGTGCACGCACATGCGCGCACACACACATCTTTAAAAAAAATTTTAATGCCCATTTAATTTAGAAGGAATTTTGGTTGCTCACTTTACTGTAGAAGGATACAAGAGTGCCTTCACCCAGCAGGATGGTGTGTTGTGACTGACTTTATCTTAACATTTTCCTTTTGTCGTCTTTTTGAAACAGGGTTAGCTCTCTGTAGCTCAAACTGGCTGGCCTCAAATTTGAGGATTGTAATCTTCCTGCCACAGCCTTCTGGGGATTACAGGCATGAGCCAACTTGCCTGGCTTCTTTGGCAGTTTCTTTTGGCATTTATGAGTAAACTGTTTTTGGAATCTGAATTATTGATATGTGCCTTTTGGATATTGGAACTTCTTGGCTGGACTATAGGAATTCTTCGAAAGGCTAATTTTGTAGTAAGGATCCCCTCTATGAATATGAAGAAAGAATCTTTGAACTAATTCAAGTCTTATTATTAGTTTGTTTCTTAATCTAGATTAATGGTGCTTAGATTGTTTTATATATATAATTTACACATGAATTATGTATATACTTTTGATTTTTCTGAGTCAGTATCTTACTGTGTGGCCCTTTCTGTCCTGAAACTCGATGTGTAGACCAGGCTGACCTCAAACTCACAGAGATCCACCTGTCTCTGCCTCCCGAGTGCTGAGATTAAAGGCGTGCGCCACCGCTTCACCCATCTAGTATGTGTTTACTTTGAGGAACTTAAGTTGTAATGAGATAGAACCGGTATTTGCTCTGATCTTGAGACACCCAGTTTCCACATGAATTTTGTTTTTGAGTGTGACCATCAGGAGAACTTTAGGGTCAGGGTTTAAATTTGCCCTCAAGACAGGCTTCGTGCATTTAGAGAAAACTAGACAGGAAGATTATGAGTTCAAGGCCAGCCTGGCCTGTGTAGTGAGTTCTAAGCCAACTTAGGTGGTAGAGTGAGGTGTTCTCAATAAAACCAAAAGAAAAAAAGGATTTGTCTGCTCAAAATGTATTTCTGTAGTTGGTAGACAACTGTGAGTTCTGTTTGTTTGGCTTGTTTTGCAACACCTTTATAGTCTCATTGTTTGTTGAGACTGATAATTCAAAGTTCTTTTCCCCCCATTCTTTTTTGTTTGTTTAGTTTCGTTATTTTCGTTAGTTTAGTTTGTATGTTTCATTACTTCTACATGAAGAGCACTTATGATGAATAATACGTAGTCTCTGCTGTTCTAGAGATTTTATTCCAGTTGAATTTATGACTTGCATAATGTTGATGACTCTCCAGACTAGAAGGAGAAATTGAAATTTGCAACTTAATTGCAAAGGGTTTTAATAGCATTTATTATTTTAATTAAAGTTTTATTTTTATGTGTGGGTGGGTGTGCTTGCCATGGTACATAAGGATGTCCGAAGTCAACTCTGTGGAGTTGTCGTCTCCTCCATCTTTGCATAGTTTGGGATCAGGTCGGGTGCAGGCTTTTGAAACAAATGTGTTTACTCAATTATATTGCTATTCTTAGGAAGCTATAAAACTGTGTATTGTATATAAGGTTATATATTTAAAAGTGTTTTCAGTGGCTGAGGGAAATAGCTTGTCTATTAAGGGCACTTCCTGGTCTTGCAAAAGACCAGGTTTGGTTCTCAGTACTCATGGCGCTACACAACTGCCCTTAACTGTAGCTTCAGGGAACTCAGCACTTTCTTCTGGCCTCTGCCAGCTCTTGGATGAATGTGGGGCACATAAACTCATCTAGGTGCACACACATGTATGAAAAGTAATGTTTTTTGTTTTTGTTTTTAAATGCCTTCATGCTGGGTGTGGTGGAGCATGCCTTTAATCCCAGTATTTGGGGAGGCAGCAGCAGGTGAATCTTGAGTTCAAAGGCAGCTTTGTCTGCCTAGTGTAGGAGTGTAGTAAGACCAGAATATAGTGAGACTGTGTCTTAAAAAAAAAAAAAGAAACCACATGCATCTGATGTAAGAAAGCAAACATTGTGGTATGTTTGTTACCAGGCCTGGCATGCTCTGGTTTTTTGATCCCAGGATGGCATTACTATATTTTTCTGGTATAAAAAGGTCTTGATGCCATTTTGGGGTGTATATAAAGGCAAAAATACTTTTGGATGTAAAATTGAGAAATCATTTGTTGACTATCTGTGAAATTAAAAATAATTAGAGGACTTTTAAAGGAACAGGATTCAGAAAGACTTATTTTGGAGAAGGCATTTTAACAGAGTAGACTGTAGGATCTTAGGGAAAGTATTTTGTCTGTTTTTAGATTTGTGTTATTTTATGTATATGAATGCTTAGCCTGTATATATGCATGTAGACTGTGTGTGTTGTGACGTCCATGAGATGAGAAGAGGGCCTTGGATCCGGATTGGTTACTCTGTGATTGCTGAGAAGGAACCAGAGTCCTCTGCAAGAGCAACAAGTGCTCTAACAAGTGTTGGACTAGCTCTCCATCCAGTCTCTTACTTTGTATTGGAATGGCCTTTGTAAAGCTATGCGGAAGGAAGAGCTATGTATTTGTGAAAAG